TTTGTATTTGAGACCATTGCAATTGCCTAACGTAGTCCTTTATTTTGAACTGGGACTTATGTCTCAGTTTAGAAGTAGTATTTCTTTAATATTTGGCCTCTCTCACATTTATATACAACAACTTGTAAATCAAACTCCTCAATCTCGACTCTAGTTTTGTCCATAATTTTTATACTCCCGATCATATAGATTTGTTTGTATACCAATTTGTTCGTCCAACTGAACTGACTGTTTTCTTTTCTTATTTATCAAAAGACATGGTTTTATAACTTGGAAATACTAGAAAATGGTCTTTAGCTTGAAAGCAATTTTTAATTCTGTCATGCAGCCACTTCCAATTTCCTTACTGAACATTTTTAGTCAGATCTCTTTACTTTTATGCAAGGGAAGGATTAAATAACTAGTCTGGAGCTTGATAATATTGTACTGTACTTTATCAGTATTTTTCAATATGAATAAAAGTAAAAAAGGTATACTTCAATGAGACAGCACCCAAATAACTTCAAAAATAAATTGCTTTGCCAAGCACAGCTGGATACTACTGCAGAGGTCCAACCCTGAACAGTTAGGGCAAAAATGGAAACAATATTCGCGCTTGATACAGGTCTGAATTTGGATTGTAATTAAATATTTGACACATAATAGGTTTCTGACACAGAATAACTGTAGTCAAAGAACTTAGAATTGGTTATATGATTTGAATTTATATTTAATTTTTTGCTTTTGTGCAATACACTATGCTGTTTCGCCTCCCAGCCCCCCCCCCCCCTCCCCCCTTTTTAAAAAAAAAAATCTTTCCCTCCAGATATGGTCATAATCTCAATTCAAATTTCCAAAGGAGTTTGCAACCATGATTACCCATTTAGATACATCATAAAAGTCTTAAAATAGAAAATGACATACATAATCATGGCTAAAATTAATATTCCGTAATCAGCATTGTTAATAGTAACTTCTAAAAATAAATTGACAGCTAATCACCTCAAGACAATACAACATTTCTTTATACATAATTTAAAAGCAGTGTAAGGGAGGTAATCCAAACATAACATTGTACTTTTAAGTAATTGTCCATTAACCAGGAAACCCTTGTTTTTCCCCCTCATCCTAAACGGTTTGAGCCATAACCCCCCAAAGTTAATCCTAACCATCCCTTTGTGGTATGGAAACTTGTGGTCTAATTTCAGAGAGATCCATACACCTTTCCACAAGTTATTGTCTCGAAACTAGAAAAATGCTTATTTGGGCCCCTTTTTGGCCCCTAATTCCTAAACTGTTAGGACCATAACCCCCAAAATCAATCCCAACCTTCCTTTTGTGGTTATAAACCTTGTGTTTAAATTTCATAGATTTCTATTTACATATACTAACGTTATTGTCCGGAAACCAAATGTCTTCAGACGACGACGTGATACCAATATACGACCGCAAAAATTTTGCGGTCGTATAATAAGGGACATCTAGAAATCATTTCTGTATTCTTTATACTTTTTGCCCATTATTCTCTATTCTTTATATTTTAGCACCTCAACATTCTCTTTTCTTTATTTTTTTGGTCCACTTTTCTCATTATACTCTATTTTGTAAACCCCCATTCACACCCTCATATATAGTTTATAAAGTTACTTTCATGAAAATATATTAAAAATTCTTCTACCTTAAAAAAATTGCAGGAATTTAAATACAAGGGCCTGAATAAGCTAGGTACATTAAGCAGTGATATTGTACACCTACCCATACCTATTAACTTGATAAAATCAAGGATTGTAGTCTCTAACTGGAATAAATCCTTGATAAAATGAATGTTATATAATCTTTTTTGATAATTACAGTGCCTATTGTGATAAAATGATGGTCAACAAGTGGCAAGTAATCTAAAAAAAAAAACCTAAAAAAACCTAAAAAATTGAAAAATTAGTACACTGAATCCAGCAGAAAATAAATTCTTTATGGTGTTTTTATCTTGATTAGATTACATATGTCTAGTAAAGTAGATCAGAAATAATATCAGTCCACTGTCAATGTTAATATGCAGTAATGGCTGCCAGCATGTCTTACCAGAAAGTGTTAATTTCCATCAAGCTACTCTAAATGTCTTTAGTTAATAATTTATGTGGAGCCATTTCAAAACCTCTAAATGTCTAGACACAAAAATCTCAAGTGTTAAATAAGTACATGACTTACATGAAAATAAATGTTCTTGGACTTCTAAGGCGTCTAGAATGTTATTTTCATTCTCTTAAATGATCAAAACAAATGTAAAATAAAAAATAATCAGTACATGATTTACGCATTACGTAGAAAATTATTTTTGTTTTAATGCAAGTATGGACATGTAAATGCTTGAGTATTATATAGAAAAATAGAAGTAGAGTAAGTAGACATACCCAGGGGGAATCTAAAACAATAACACCATAGGTAAAAGAAAAAAAGGACGAACAGACAAAAAGCAGTCAACAAAACAGTTAGTTTACACAGAAAACTAGAGATTGAGAAACATGAACCCTGCAAAAAAACTGGAAATGAAGAAGGTTGAGCAGTTTCTGCTCCACAAGCGACATCAGTCTTGTTACTGATGTTAAGATATGATGATCAGTAATATTCAGTGATTAGGAATTATACCATAGTGGATTGGTAAAGGTTTCTTTTTTAAGGTAACAGGTAAGTAAATGGATGATCTCACAGAATTTTATAAAATTTTGCATACAACTTGAGCATACCTTTAATACTAACAGTATCTGAGAAAATTGACCAAATTACTTAAACTTAATATTAACCAATGAGCCATCAAAAAGAAGATGGACAAGTACCCTTACAAACATAATGCATAACAAAAAATGTACTTTAAATATAATTGATCTATTAATTATTGTATTCAGGAAATTAACCTAACCAAGAAAACTTAAGGTTGACCACTGAACCATGAATAAGAGGTCAGGTCAGATGGAGAGAAATGTACCCCTTACAATCATCATTGACACAAAATACAGTTAACCTATTAATTATAGTATCTGAGGGGCCTCTGTTGACAAATGGTTTAAGGAATTAACCTACAGTGATCACAAGCCTGTCAACACTGAGGTTGTGAGTTAGAATCCTGCTCATGGCAGGTATGGTCAACTCAAACCTTTATTGACTAGGATAGCCAGTTTTCCTGAGGAATGGTGGTGGTTCTCTCAAGAGTACAGTGGCTTCCTCCACCAATTAAAATTAGCAACCATGATATAGCCAAGAGAGCTGATAGTGGCATTCAGCACCAACAATCAATCAGTCAATATAGTATCTTTGAAAATTACCTAATCACCAAAAATTAATATTGATCACTGAATGATGAATAAAGAAATAAGGTCAAGGTCCAGTGAACCATGCCTGACAAATAAATATAAATTACAATGAATGATTCTATATACCAAACATTGTTGACCTGATACTTAAAATAACTTAAACAAGAGTGCACATGCTGAAATGTCTCGCCTGTTTGACTTATCAATGAATTCATGTTGAAAGTCTGTAATATGAAGGTTTTACTACAAGTATCACATAAACTTAACATTATCAATGCTCTATGAAAATGAGGTCACAGTCAGATGAACCATGCAACACAGACATGTGCACCATTATGGTGTACATGTCTGTGTTGCATGGTTCATCTGACTGTACAGTCATTCTATACACCAAATATAGTGGTCCTATTGGTAATAGTACCAGAGAAACAGATCAAAACACAAAATCTGAACACTGACCAATGAACCATGAAAATGAGGTAAGACAGACATGTACACCTTTCAAGCATTCCATTCACCAAATATAGTTGACCTATTGCTAATAGTATCTGATAAACTGACTATATTCGAAAAAATTTCATTGACCAATGAAACATAAAATTGAGGTCAAGGTCATATGAACCATGCCAGACAGACATTACACCTTACAATTGTTTCATACACTAAATATAATTGACCTATTGCTTAGAAATAGATAGAACCACAAAAACTAAACATTTTCCAATGAACCATGAAAATGAGGTCAAGGTAAGATGAAACCTGCTAGACAGTACACCTTACGATCATTCCATACACCAAATATAGTGGCCCTATTGCTTATAGTAACTGAGACGACCACCTAACTTTAACCTTAATCACTTCAATGAGGTAGAGGTCAGGTGAACCCTACCTGACAGACATGTAGATGTTGCAAGGAACCCATATACCAAATATAGTTATTCTATTACTCATAATAAGTGAGTAGTTCACTTGACAAAAAAAACTGTATTTTTTTCAAGCAGTCCCTGAATCATGAAAATGAGGTCAAGGACAATGGCCAAATGACAAGACAGAAACTTTGTAACATAAGGTATCTGTATACAATATATGAAGCATCCAGGTCTTTTACCTTCTGAAATGTAAAGCTTTATATAAATAGTTTACGCAGACGCCATGGCTGCCAGGTTGTAATCTGTATGTCTCGCATTCTGCAACCATTGTTGCAGACGAGACAAAAATCAAGTTTTAAATCAAATCTAGAGTTTTTCTATGCTATCATTCAACCATAAAAATGAACAATGAACATATGCCTGACAAAAACTTCAGAACAAAATGTATCTTTTGAAATATGTAGCTATCTATAAAAAGCTAATGCCATGGCCACTGCCATATAAGCATTCCTATGTATAGCATTCTGCTACATTTGTTGAAGGCAAGAATAAACTATACAAAAATTGGATATTTGTTTTAACATTAAGCAGGAAATAATTTAAGAATAGGGGAAATAACTTGGGTGGACTGCATACATGTAAAAATTTCAATTAACTTACAAACTGATAGAGAAAATGTGAAGTAGTGCATATAAAACAAATTATTTCAAAAATAAACAACTAAAAATATGGGAATATACACCACACAGCAAAAGACACAAACTTAGAATGTTGAAGTCATCAACTTTCTTTAGATTACTAGTTTGTTGTATTAATATGAAGGACATGAAATTCAAACGAAACACAATTGAAACTTGAAGAACTTTTATTATGAAAAGTGTACATTTATTGCATATTTTAGATAAAAACAAATTTCATTGCATAGTACTGTTCAAGAAATATTGTAACAACTTGTTTGATTAAAACATGCATCACTTCACATTATCATTACTTTGCAGGTAACAACTTTGAATTAAAAAATGCTTTAACTGGTATTTTCATTTAATCTATTTTTATTAATTTGCAAAAAATAACTATCAAACCTTAAGCTAAAATTTTTGCATTCAAAGGCATGTAGAGGACAGCATTCCAAAGTTTTATTTTGATCAGCAATACAGATGTAGCACTTATCTTATAAATTACATGTAAAGTTATGAATGATTATCTTCATGCAAATACAATATTGATAAGGTTATGACAAAAGACTGCATTAACTGGTCCGTTTAATTGACAATACTTAGTTAAACTTTTCATAGACATCTCATTTCATTTGGACTAAATAATCAATTCAATAGGTCAACAACTTTGGGAACTTAATCTTATTAACCCTTATACTTTTTTAAGTTGATCTTTTCTGTTGTCAATTATATGAGAAAATAACAAAACAGAATTGATGGCAATAAAACTATCACATTATTTTTTTCACAATTTGATCATAATCTTTAAATTTTTTAAAGTAAGATGTTAATAAGTACCAATACATATAACATTACACTCTTAAAAGGAAGATAGTTAATTTCACCTAGATCATGTTCACTGAAGTGAATGCAATTTTTTTTTTAATAATATGATGTGTTAAATTAACTACAGTGCTTGTAAATACAAGTGGGTCTTTTACATGTTAAAACTAAAGATTTTCTTTAAAGAAAATTGTTAAAATAACACTAAACATTAACAAAAATGTAAGATCTTTGTAAAAAAAAAGTCCAAATTCGGTTTATATGATTACTGATACAATATATTATACAATTCTTTCATCACATTAAAAAATTCATATTGACTGAAAAGAAGTGCATTTTTTTGCTATCCACTGTCTTTTTTAAAATGATTTCGATTTCATCTCAAATGTTTCATAAAGTAATATTTGTGTGATATAGCCATGTATATGAATTGTTTACTAGGTCAGGGTCATATTTAATATTTGGGAAATTATCTCCCTTTATCTCTATTTTTTATTTGGGTAACAGAATGATTTTACTTTTAAATTGTCAATAATAAATAAAGCAGAAATAATTAACAAACGTTTCATGTGACCTATATCCTCTCATCATATGCAGGATAAAATAAAATTGGACGGAAAACTGATTATCACATTGCTGCTTATAATACAATAAAGTTATCTAAAACTTTTCAATATAAATATATAAGTATAAATAATATAAAAATAAAATGTGGACCAGCCACTCAAATATTCAATAACAAGGGAAAATAAACATGTCATTTAAGCCTCTGAATCTGGTACAGAATGTTTCTTCTTCTTTTTTCTGTTTTTCTTCTTTCCTTTTTCTGTTGTCCCTTGGTTCATGTCAATGACTTCTCCAGCAGATTTTACAATATCTAATTGACTTCCTTTATCATCTTGAAAAATACAAAAAATATAAATAAGTTAGCACAACTTCATTGCAATTAGAATCATATGACTGGTTTGTTTATTTTTGTTTTAAGAATTTATCAAAAAATTAAACATATTTAGATAGATAAAGAACAGTGGACACATTCAAATGTCTTACATGCATAATTGATTTTGACAAAATTATAATTCAACAGTCAATTAGATCATGGTCTTACTACATCTGTCAAACTGCCCATGGATCATTGCAATCAAATAACCAACAATAGATATTGCAGATTTTAGTAAGGAAACAAAGAAACTGATGTATCAAGATTACTGAACCTTAATAAAAAAAAAAAAGAACTAGATGTGTCGGAACGACACGAATGGACCTGTCTCAAAAAGTTGAAAATCTGCAATTTCAACAACACATGTGGACACAAACATGCATGGATAGTATCCAGCTCTCAACACCAATACTAGTTTGAAGAAAAATTTCCTTGATCAATGAGTAGTTAAATTTCAAACTATCAGCAAACAGGAAGTGGATGTACTGCAGATCTAACAAGATGTGTTGAAACGACATGAAAATAAGCATAGCAGAACGAAACATAAACTTGATCTGTAACTCATCATGGTAGTCTTACATATAAAATTTCAGCGAAAAATCTGAAGGCGTTTAGAAAAAAATTCCGTATAACTGTGATTTTCAACAATTTATCAAAGTCCAAAGCCCGTAATTTAGGCAAAAATTAGCAGAGCGGAACGAAACTTAAACTTGATCTGTAACTCATCATGGTTAACTTACATACCAAAAATCAGCCCAATATCTGAAGGCATTTAGAAAAAAATTGCGTATAATGGTTTGTTGCGGAATGACGGAATGACAGAATGACGGACAAGGGTAAAACTATATGGCCCGACAACTTTGTCGCAATACATGTAAAATCTCAAAATGATATTATTTATATATAGAAAGTAATTGGATTTTGTTTCTTATAGACATATTTTGATATGAACTTTCCCAGGAGCTTTGGGTTTATAAAATAATCTATTAAAGAAGTAATGACATACCATTCTCTTCATCAACAACTGTAAATGTTGGATTATCTTTCCCTGGCTTTTCATCATTTAAGTCAATAGATCCAGGAAGTGAAACTTTTTCATCTTCAAAACCAGCATTGATAGCACCTCTGCCAGATGTTCCTGATCCTGGTCTCAACTGTGAGGAACTTGGACGGGAACCAGTCTGCTGTAGGGAACCAGCTGAGCCGGGCCTTGCATAAGGTGGCACAGGAGTTACTTGCCTTTGACTTGCAGCAGATGATGGCCTAACTGATGTTGTAGAATGCCTTTGGCTGGAAGCTGATGATGGTCTCACTGAAGAAGAAGACTGACTTCTAGGTGTACCTGCACTCTTTTGTCTTGCCTTCTCTGTAACAATTCTGCAATACATAATATCTACGAGTTTTTAAATACATACAGGTGAACAGGTCTAACAAATGCATTTATAAGAAATAATGAAGCAAACTTTTGAAATTGATACTGTAAACGATTATAGACTTTTATTCTATAACTAGATGATAGGTCTTTAAGACACAAGTGTCAAACCTCACAATAAGTATCTGAGAAGCTACCATTAGGACCTAAATGCAAACTTAAGCTGTCAAAGCATAAAATTAAGTTCATGATAATAAATTTTTAAGAACTGGTAAATATGTGCAACTCTACAATATTGTAACAATGTAACGATCAAGTATCATTGGTATTGCACTGTGGATGCTTAAAATACAAACAAAAATATTAAATGTAACCATGTTTGTAATTGATAACAAACTTTAATGGGACCCCTGTAGCTGAGGGGTCTAAGTAGTCGAACTACTATATCACTAGCCTGTCAACACTGAGGTTGTGAGTTCAAATCTAGCACTTAGCAGGTGCACGTGACTCCAATCTTAATTGACTAGGATTGTCAGTTTTCCTACCTAAAGCAGGTGTTCTCTCCGGGAACTCTGGTTTCCTCCACCAATAACAACGGACTGCCGTGAAATAGCACAAAAGTACTGAAATTGGTGTTTAACACCAATCAATAAATCAATCCAACCTCTAATAGACAAAAACTAAAAGTACAAATTTCAGTGAAAAAAATAGAATTAAATAAGGCTTTTATTGCACTCTGTCCTTTCAACAGTTGCTTGTTCAAGATATATAGTGGCTATTTTGGACATGTTATCTACATTTAATACTGTAGTAGTATTCCACTTCCTTGATATAAATGCAATAAAACACTTATACATTGTTTTCTTTTAAATTCTGTAGGGAAATTTTCTATGAACTTGACATCAGATCCAATGCATGACAATAATTTATGCTATGTATTTAAACATTTGGTGGTTCAAACTTAACATCATACCTTGCATTGTTCAGATTGATCTCCTCAATTTCATGCATCTGACCAAGCATATCCATAAAGTCGTCTTCTTCCTAAAAGTAGGTTTTTTTTTTAAAATATATTTCATACCGGTACATATCATTATAAATTGAAACCAGTGGTAGCAAGTCTACTTGAAGTACAAACTGGTTCCATTTTATTTTAAAGAAGACACAATACTGATTTAAAACCTTCTATAACATACTTTTGTTCTCAAGATTTTCTCTTAAGGAATCCATACCATGACTGACCATGTGATGACTGAATAGAACATGGTGTGAGTAATAACAAGAGTGCACATGCTGAAATTTTGCACCTGCTGTAAAGACCATGAGTGATTTAATGTTGAAAGTCTTAAAAAATAAAGGTTTTACTGCAAGTAATCACATAAGCTTAACATTATCAATGGTCGATAACAATAAGGTCAAGGTCAGATAAACCCTGGCAGACATACATGTACACTTTATAATCATTCCATACACCAAATTGCCTTTTTTTGGTTTTCTTACATTATATGACATTCAAATAATACTGTTTAGTATATGAACTTTGTTTGCAAAGATTTTTTGGGTTTTTTTTTTTAAGTATTTTATATTCTTCTATTCAATAACTAAATTACCTCTAGTGCTGAGACCGACAAGTCAACACTATCAGAGTCTGACATAACTAAAGGACCAGGGTACAGATCTTCATAATAACTAAATTACCTCTAATTCCGAGACAGACTAGTCAACACTATCAGAGTCTGATATATCTACATGATCAGTGTACAGATCTTCATAATAACTAAATTACCTCTAATTCTGAGACAGACAAGTCAACACTATCAGAGTCTGACATAACTAAAGGACCAGGGTACAGATCTTCATAATAACTAAATTACCTCTAATTCTGAGACAGACAAGTCAACACTATCAGAGTCTGATATATCTACATGATCAGTGTACAGATCTTCATAATAACTAAATTACCTCTAATTCTGAGACAGACAAGTCAACCTATCAGAGTCTGATATATCTACATGATCAGTGTACAGATCTTCATAATAACTAAATTACCTCTATTTCTGAGACAGACAAGTCAACACTATCAGAGTCTGACATAACTAAAGGACCAGGGTACAGATCTTCATAATAACTAAATTACCTCTAATTCCGAGACAGACCAGTCAACACTATCAGAGTCTGATATATCTACAGGACCAGGAAACAGATCTTCATAATAACTAAATTACCTCTAATTCTGAGACGGACAAGTCAACACTGTCAGAGTCTGACATATCTACAGGATCAGGATACAGATCTTCATAATAACCATCTTCTTCTGTTAAAAATATACATTTTAATATTCATACAAACTTAAAAGTAATTTGTGTACATGTTATTTCAATGTTAAAAAACAAATAATTTGAATAACAGAACAAACCCCAGAATAATAAAATATTTTGTGCAAAGTGTGTTGGTATACTCATATTTTTGCTTGATTCTGAAGGTTTAAAATATAGAATAAATAAATTGGGGAATGTGTCCATGGGACACAGATGATTCCCCCGCTTGCATTTAAGGTTATAAAGGGACATAACTCAAGAACAGTAAAAGTGTCACTACTCAAATTCGTACTTGATTTGAGTTTTGTGGTAATAAGCATTGTGTATAGGTTTCATAACATTTGGTTGAGGCAAACTTAAGTTAGAGAACAAATAAAAAAAATGTAAAAAATTTTCCATTTGTAAAGGGGCATAACTCTAGAACGGTAAAAGTGATGCCACCAATTTTTGAACTTGATCTGTGTTTTGTGGTAATAAGCATTGTGTATAAGTTTCATAACATTTGGTTGAGACAAACTTTAGAGAACGGAAACAAAAAATTCAGCAATTTTTCTATTTGTAAAGGGGCAAGATTTCTGTAATTTGTGTATTTTAAAATTTTATAATAACAATTTAAACAACTAGGCACACAGTGTTATGATTGATTGATCATTGGTTGCTTAATGTCCAGTGACAAATATTTCATGCATGTTCAGGACGAGAACAAATAAGACAGTAAATACAACAGTTAGATCCGGTGGTATAAGCCGTTCGGGATGAAGGTCAGGGAAATTAGGAATGTCACTGGAAAATGAGGGTTTACTGGATATGGGATAGACATTTAGCATTGCAACAGTCCACCTACAGACCCCTGAAAGATTTGTTACAACGGTTGTTAATGTGCGGAGCACATGGCACTCTTTGAACCGGAGGCATCGGAATTTAATGTCCCCATTCTGATCGGAAGTGGCTGCGTACTTGTACATCCCGCACAGCCAAATGGACACTTTGCTTTGGCTAGGATTTTACTGCCGGTCAGAAGAAGACCTGTAGTGACCATATTTCTATTCCTCAGTCACATTTGGGAGTGGCACACAGTAACAAATACATGATTTCCTTTAATCATCAAAAACTTGATTCAAAGTTGATGAGCAAGTGAGGAACACCCATCATCGCGCTAAATTGAAGTCTTGTCCACAATATATGCAAAAGTCTTAATGTTCCATTTTCAATTTTGTTGTCAGAGCTTTCTTTCCTTGCGTCACAAATTTAATTGTTTTACCAGACACTGTAAAATTGAAATCAAAGACTTGTTTCGTTCATGAATTATTCGGAATTTTACAAGAAATGGAGAGATGTGTCACACTGGTAGATAGTTCCGAGAAACCCTAAGGAAAGTAACAGTTTGAATCATTCAAGCGCTTAATGTTACACGATTCTAAAAAAAAATGAAGCATCACAATGATAAAAATTATATATAAACAGAGAATTGTTTTGGACAGTTAATGAACGTAAATCCGTAACACATAGACTGTTAATCGTAACACTGTAATTTTCGTTCAAAATTCATAAAAATTACGGGAAAATTCTAATGGTTGGCATCTATGTACAATATATAATGCGGTTATGACTTCTTGTTGCTGTAAAAAATGCATCAGATATGTATTTGTAGAGGTCCTGACCAAGGATCCGGAAATTTTTCCACACAATTTCGGTCATTTTGAGATGATTGAAAAGTTGGTGCCCCTTTCCAAATTGTCGATGTCAACTTGACTAGATTCATATCATCAACGAACTGCTGTTTCGTCGCATAGTAAATGTCTTACCATTACCATGAAGAACAGTTTAGGGAAGGCAATAGTTTAAAATTGAAATGATTTTAATGACTCAAAATGGTAAATCTCTCAGACATTGCATACGTTTCTTTCGATTTGACAAAAGTTAAAACCGGAAGTTTGCGATAAAGTACGAATAATTCCGGATTCATTTCCGGGATTTGTTTTGTTTATCAAATTGACAGGAAATCAGCGGCTTTTTATGGTTTTTTAATTTTATTACCTTTAAAAGTGTTTGAATGTAACAGACAATATTTGCACTCGTTTAATTTAGCATGAAATCAATTTGCATTTTACGATTAAATATTAAATTTGCTGAAGACAATTTCATGCATGCGTATTATATAGTAAATAAAGCACATGAAAAAATATTTTTTTCTCCGTAAATTTAGGTTTAATTTTTAAATCTGATTTGATGATTGTCTTTGCTGAAAAGTAATTAAATAATGAATACACTTGTCAGGGAATTTCAATTTTTGTTAAGAAATTATTCTGAGCTTGTGATCACTGTCAGGTGTGAATTGTGAAACCACAGGTAAAAAGTGATTAGCGATCATTAGCCAATGTTTCCCGGAGGCATTGATATAGATATTAGGAAGGCCCTCAGGATTATCAAACTACTGAATTGGCAGTTTTATTACAGGAAAGGGATTATAAACAAAAACAAGTGATCACAACTTACACAAGACAGTGCAAAATGGCGATTAAGAAATCCGATTTCAAACATTTAGTCAATGAAATGACCGAAATTACTTCTTTAAAAAAATAAAATTTGTCCTAAATCCCAATTACTCGTTTAGGACAAATAGTTTCATCTTAGGACATGACTGGCATATATGACCGTTTCCGGACCCTTGGTCCTGACAGACAGACATAAAAGGGGGAAATTAGTGTAACCCCTACTTTGAGTTGAGGTATAAATATTTTTTCTAGGTCATACCTTGAAATTCTAACATGGATGGTTCGTTCCAGATCCTCTGTAACTCTGGTTTGGTAAGTACTTTCTGTTTAGCAACTCTTTCACTTCTACCATTTAGGAATATCCCTGGAAATTATCATTTGGGAACAATGAAATTATTTTTAGAATACATAAAACACAAAAACATGAATTTAAAATTTGTTTAATACCTAAAATGAATTCTGTTCTATTTCAACTAAAACCAGTACAATGAAACTGGACAGAAAAATATCCTTCATCCTTACATTCAATATTACCAATATTATTACTTCAATCACCTTTCTTGGGCATGAAGTTCGATATACACTCAATGATCAAAAGAAACATTTAAAATTTCAATTAACAGAGGGGAAAATACACAAAATAAAATTAAACGTACAAGGTAACGTTCCTCATGCAGTAAGACAGGTTTCCCAAAGCAGAGACAAATAACTCCAAATAACATTAATTTCTTGCAGTGTTCTTTGAAGAAAATTTTGAAGGACAAAATATATCAACATAACATAAAGTAACCTTACCCATGCAATACATTTTTAATAGCATTCTTCTTTTCATTGGATTTATCAAGATAAAATCATAATCTCTCTGTGCTAATCTCTTAGCAAATGCTGGCATCACAGCCAGGAACTGTCTTGCTGTATTTCGAATTGAATCTTTAACGCTTTCTGAAATCAGGAAAAATGATTTTCTGTAGTACTTCATTGAATTTCCTATAGTGAATTAGTTTTTATAGGTAAAACATAGGGAGCTCAAAGAAACAAAACATACTTTTGATTTAGAATTGTAATTTGAATATTGTTAAAATTTCTTTCCTCTTAAGCATGACTATCATTTGGATAGGTTTATTTGCCATCAGAGAAATATCCACAATTTCTTGCAGCTTTAAAGAAAATGTTAAATATGCAAAAAACATCAATATATTTTATTTCTTAATGAATGAATGAAAGATGCACCTCCATCAAGAAATCTTTATCCAGATACATAATGAGAATATTTTAAAGGGACATGAATATGGATATTACTTTGCACTACACTAGTATACTAAGTCAAATTATTAAAGTTCTAACTCACAAGGTAACAGTCCACATCGAGACAAGTTTCCCAAAGCTCTGACTCCAAATTGAGCAATTTATGCAGGGAAGATGCAAACACAAGTTTAATGTCTCTGGTTTAACCATGATGGGTTTAAGATAAAGGACATCTTACATTAAAGGCAGAGGCAATCAAGCTAATGAGATTGCTAAAGCTTAAGGGTGTAAATTTATTTATTTCTGTAAAAAAGTAATGAATAATTTTTCATTTATGTACAGAATTTTTATTCTTTTGACAAAAATGTCCTATTTCTAAAATTTAAGGTGAAAACCCTCAACCATTGTACAACATTACTATAAGGAGGCAAAAATCGTGCAACTATATACAGGAGAGTTTACTGGCTCTTTTGAGGACAACTTTAATTTCAAAGATAATAATTTCACCTGATCAGTTTAAGGATATGTCAAGGTTTCACATAATGTCTCAGGTACCTACCTGCAAACAAAGATTTCTGACACATGTTGGAATGAACTTCTATGATCTCATCTAGTAAATCTAACATGGTTCCATGTAGAGCATCACCTAAGTATTCTGCCTCTCTGACATAAGCATTCAATATCTGTATCTGCTTAGAGAGGGTGTGGACGGGAGCAAACATTACAGGATAATCATACATCTTCTCTGTAGATAAAACAATTCATTCTTCAGTAATTAATACCACTTACACAGACAAGAAGACAGTAACCCAATGACAAAAAATAAACAAAAGACATCTAGTCTGCAACAATAAGTGTCTATATAATATGTCAAGCTCTAAATTGCTCAGAGGCTATAAAAATTGTTTAGTCGTTATGTTGCTGACCAATCCACTGTATTTTTTTTTACCATAAACCTACGTTCTATTTTGGTGTCATTTTAAGATAACATGTGTAAATCAAATTCAACAAAATAAAAGTTTTGAATGTAGAAGGAAGGATCTCATCTGTTTGAAGCAGGTGCAAACCTCGAAACTGATATACCAGCAGATTTTATTGGATTATAATATGGTATCTTTCAATATCATAACTAAATTTTTAATAAGATATAATTTTTCAATGTTAGGATAACAGATGAACACTTTTTGTGCATTAAAAGTAAGATTGGATATTATAAGATTAAAATATTTGAACATGAAAATTTTATCAGTGTTTTTGGAAAGTTATTCCAATTAATTATTCAAAACACAAGAATATGAGTCTGTAGGACACCACGCCCAGGTTGCCCTATCATATTGACATGACCAATGAACTGTGAAAATTTGGGTCAAAACTCTACCGTAATTAGGCATATTTAAAATAAGTTATTTCTATGTTGTGTTATGTATTCTTTTGTGGTTCTTTTGGTTGTTTTTTTTGTTTTTGCCATGGCATTGCTAGTTAGTTTTCGACTTACGAGTTTGAATGTCTCTGTGGTATTTTTTGCCTCTCTCTTTAAGATAATGAACATGTGTTCTACTTTACAGGTCGATGTGACCACAACTTCATGGTACACTACATTAAACCAAAACTTAATCCTGATTTTAGAAAAACTGATGCCCGGTCCGAAAACATAATGCCCCACTTCTATCAGATATTGGTATAAAAAAGACTAATATTAACAGAGTTTAGATGTTTCTTATAACAAAAGATATGTACTTACTCAGTAGTATTTTTGCACGTAAAAACATTTTCAGAAACTTCCTAGATTCCTGACTCAGTTGTCCTTCAGTGGATGTTGAAAATGTTGGCCATATAGGTATATGTTTACAGTGACAGCGGTATAGACACTGGTTAACAATCAGGTACATAGTAACACACAGCCAAGTAAGAAGCCATACCAGAATAGTAACCATTATCAACCATCGGCTGTACTGAGGAAGAAGCCATGGATTGTCCAAAGTATAGGCATTATAGGATGTTTCTAATGTTCCGATAATTCCTGCTGCTCCAAGACTTATGAAAGTCATTATCAACAATATGTTAAAACATATTAACCTGAATGGTCGTACAATGACAAATAACAAGGCATATAAAAACAGCAGGATTGTGACAGCTGTTGCTTGCCCCTTAACGTTGTGAAATCCTGCTATAAACACTATAACCAGTGACAACTTTACAAGCTGCAAGATTGCTCTGTAGTAAATACCCCAGTAACGAAATGATGAAAAAAAGTAAATATCACTGTGCAGCCAAACTTTGTTCAAACCAATCTTGTATTCTGTCTCCTTTAAAAGTAAGTATGCCTCGTGGTGTTTGGAACATGACCCCATTGCTTCAGTTCTTGACCTGTATATTATGTAAATTGGAACAACCAAAAATAAAACAATGTAAAAAAATATACCAAACACAAGGTAACCCCAGTGACTTCCTTGGAAACAACCAATGTTATTCATTACATCCACATTCTTATCACCATTACAATGGAATATATGTCCAACACCTACACCAATAGGTAGAGTAAGGAGCTGGACAAATATCAAATATATCCTTCTCATCCATGCTGTTTTGCTTAGAAACTGACGATCTTTCCTAACCCATAATATAAGGTAAACAGCAACAAATATACCAATCAAAAACAGTATACATCCCCCTCCAGCCAGGGCAAATGTAGAATAACTCATTGGTACAGTGGCACTAGGAGTGTAGTAACTCTGCGTACTGACATAAGCATCTTTGTAGACCTTCATGAACTCCCAGACATCAAGGTTGAATAAGAAGAAGAAATATGACTTTGCTATCCAGCTCCCTGACCAAGTCCACCTTAATGCCATGCTTTGTAGTAAGGCAAAAATCTGCAGAAAATCAAATGTCAGTAACAGAAGATCCTGCCAGAGTAAGGAAACGTGTCTCCTCTTTTTCTCCTCTATTTCCAAAATTTCCTCTTCAAAATCATCCATAATGTCATCTTCATCTGGGAAATAAATTGATCTAGATGCATTTTTATCTTCTGGATGAAAGGTTAAATTTGTCTCAAACAACAAAGGTTCAACCTCTTTCTTCTGTACAATCTTTTTAGAAGTCATCTTTTCTGGATCTGTCTAAAAATATAAATAACCAATATCAGAGGGCACAAAGAGACAGCAAGGAAAAAAAGCATAATAAACTGCTTCGCTGAGCACAGCTGGATACGCCTGTAGAGGTCCAACCCTGAACAGTTGGGGCAAAAATGGACACAATATTCAAGCTTGATACAGGTCTGAATTTGGATTGTAATTAAATATTTGACATATTATAGGTTTCTGAATAAATGTAGTCAAAGAACTTGAAATTGGTTATATGAATTGAATTTATATTCAATTAAAGATTTCTTGCTGTTGTGCAATACACTGTGCTGTTGCACAGTACTTAGAAAATCTGTTGTCAGACTATAAACAAATAAAGTTCAATTTCTTCTCAATGTCATATTTGAAATTTATGAAAATCAATAGGAAGATTACATCAATAGCTATAAATAATTCACCATGAGAACTGCTGAAAGCATTTTTGAGTTATTGTCCAAAAACCGGGATAATCCCCCCTTTTTTAATGAATAAAACCCCATAACCCAGAAATGTAAAATCTAAAATTTATAAAATTCTAAAGGGAGCTTACATCAACAGATATAAACAATTCACCAAAGTTTCATGAGAGCTGCTGAAAGCATTTTTTAGTTATTGTCTGAAAACTGGAAAATCACCCTTTTTTAATGAATAAAACCCCAAAACTTGGAAACGGTATATCTGAAATTATAAAAAACAAAAGGGAGCTCACGTCAATAGATATAAACAATTCACCAAAGTTTCATGCACAGTGGTTAAAGCTTTTTTGAGTTAATGTCCGACATGTTGACGACGGACGGACGGACGGACAGACGGTCAACCATAATACGTCCCGTAAACGGGCGTATAAAAATATAAATAACCAATGTAATAGAGGGCACAAAGAGGTAGCAAGGAAACAAAGCATAGTTCGTATTGTAATGAAGCCAATTTATTACCAAATAAAAAATATTTTTGTTTATTTTTGTATGCCTCAAAATGCCTTTCCTAAAGTTCTTATTGGTATGGTTGGTAATGAATCGTGACAAAAATTGCAGGTCTTCCAAATTACTGGAGGTAAAATAATTGAGCAACACCAAAAAAGAGAATTCCTACCTACCTACCCTATTTTTAAGTAGGAAAGTAGGAAACACTAAATGCACACTTTTATTTTGCCTCTCACATGTTCATGTGAACAGTCTTTCGTGTAAATTTTTACATTGTCATTATTTTGGAAATGTTTTTATTTTATTATAAGACAAGTAGTGGTTCAAAGCTCTCATAATTAATATTGAAAGGGATAAACATGAGACTTGGTTTCAATGTCACTTACTTTTGTAGATACAGTTTGGTAATTACCAATTTATTACAGTTTTCTAAAATGTCAAATAGTATTAGAACCTATCATATAAAAAGTTACAACTGTAGTACATGTGTAACTATATTTTAATAAAAGGGCTATTAAAGGTTCTCCAATATATTTCAGTTTCAGACTTAGAGAGTGTCAATTTATTACCAAACATGTACCAATGTTAAAAGAGTTTAGTAGTTTTATCCAAAAGATTTTGTGTCATGGATGGATACCTCATATCCTTTCTTTTCTATTATTAATTGCATAGACCTCTATCAAAGATGTGTTTTTTTTTGGGTTTTTTACATATTTTCCAAGACTTTAAAATTTAGCTACTAGTACATGACAGTCTGGATGGGGTCCTTCATTTCTGTATTCTGTAATTGTATAGGTAATTTTTCTCTATTCTTTATTTTTTGCCCATTATTCTCTTTTCTTTATATTCTAACACCTAATTCATGTGTAATTATTCTCTATTCTTCATTTTTTTAGACATATTTTTCTCTTTTCTACATTTTTTTGGCCCATTTTTCTGTACAGTATTGGTCCATTATTCTTGATTCTGTAAACCCCATCCAGATCCTCGCACATGTAACCTAGCTTGGAAAGACATTGCAAAATTGACCTTAAAGGGGCATTAGCTGTCAAATTTATGTTCACCGATTTGACTCAAATTCTCATATTTGATCTATAACATACTTAAATGTATATCCGAATTACCATGATTACAACAAGTCTGAAATAAACAATTAACAATGCATGGACGTGATAACATATATCAGCATTTCGTGTGTATTTTAGTCTAGAAGCCATCTAATTAACCATCGAAGACTGCCGACGGTCCAATAACCCGATATAAACATAAACATAAATAGATAGCGACCTCGTGCAATTGGACTTTTCTAGGTGTGTTTTATTTCATGTTATAGGTAAAAAAAAAATAATCATCCTTTTTACCTGTATGAGAATTGATTTTTTGTGGATCGAATCAGTCAAGGAAATGGTTCACCTTTGTTTCACTTTCAATGTTGACATTCTTTTCCTTTTAATGGCTGAACACGATCAAAACATGCGTAACCAATCTCTAGCTAATAGGTTAAATTTAAGGTCACATGAATACAGATTCAATGAGGTCGAATTATTCACTTGCAAGTGGATAGTTCATCAGCGATGTTTCTTAGCTTATTTTGACAAAATTGAACTAAACTGGCTGCTAAAAGCAAATTATTATTTCACTTTCATTTATGATTGAACAAAAATAAAAAAATATATTTTAATTTTTTCTATATCTCGTAGCTAATGCCCCTTTAACATGTATAAGATGTCTTTTAGTTGTTTTGTTGTTTGGGTTTCTGTGTCACTGATCTCCTTTTATTCATGAATATCACAAATATAATTTTTATTGTGTTACAGTACAAAACAGTTCAATCATACAAGCTTACAGTAAAATACTTCATTCAAGATTCATGGGGAAATTCAGGGCAAGTCACTTTTCTTCTGGACAAGTGAATTTTACAGTTTTACTTGCTGGAAACAAGCACTCACAACATTTATTTCCACACCCACGATTTCATGGCAAAATTGTAACCCATTCATATAGTTTTCTGTTTATTATCACTTAATAAGTAAAATATACAGTCTGTGACATCTTTATTAGATTAATTAACTGTTAACACAGAGATATGTCTCGCCTATTTGTTATTTTGATAATGCAAATGTTTAAATTAAAATTACAATACTTTAACATGTATGTTATGCAAATATTCAATATGATGAACCATGACTGAAGGTACAGGGCTGAACAATTTCCATGGAAATGAGATGTGCCAATGCTTATACAACTGCAAACCAAATACTATTGACTTTTCATAAGTCATTCCCTTTAAACAAACCTAAACACAAACATTAACTTGTAAACTATGTAAAAGTTTCAAAGTCAATGAACCATAATTAGGGGGTGGGGTTATATAATCTCCATGGAAATGAAACTTGCAAATGCCAATACATTTGCAAATGCCAATACATTTGCATACCGAATATCATTGACTTAACATAAGTGGTTCATCTTAAACTGACCTAATCACTAACTAATACATGTAAACTAAGCAAAAGTTTCAAAGTCAATAGAACATGACTGAGGGGTAAGGACCAAATATTCTCCATGGAAATGAGATGTGCTAATGCTTATACAACTGCATACCAATTATCATTGACCTACCACTAACAGTTCCCCTTAAACTGACCTAATCACAAACTAATACATGAAAACTAAGCAAAAGTTTCAAAGTCAATAGACCATGAATGAGGGGGCGAGGCCAAATAATCTCCATGGTAATGACATGTGCCGATGCTAATACAACTGCATACCAAATATCATTGACCCACCACTAGTGGTTCACCATGAACTAGACCTAATCATAAACTAATACATTGTTGATGCCGCCGCCAAAACAGCATACATATGTCTCGCTTTTTGATTCCGTCAAGGCGAGACAAAAAGGATCATTTAGCTTGTGTCAATAAAAGTTCAGCAGATTAAAATGTTAACCACATGGGATCAAGCTTTTTTAATTAGATATTAGAAAAGGTGTACATTACTTACAGGTATTTAATCCAAAGATAAAAAATTTGAGAACCAACAGCATATCAACTACTACTCATACACCTTAACGCTATTTAGTCCTATCAAGAAAAAAACTGTTACACAGAGATATGTCTCGCCTTTTTGTTATTTTGATAATTAAATGCAAATGTTGAAATTAAAATAGCAATAAATTTACATGTAAGTCATGCATAATATTCAAAGTCAATGAACCATGACTGCAGGTGGTCGAAACAATCTCCATAGAAATGAGATGTACAAATGCTTACACAACTGCATACCAAATATCATTGACCTTCCACTTGAGGATCCCATAAACTGACCTAATAACAAATACATGTAAACTAAGCAAAAGTTTCAAAGTTTGACTCTGCAGCTTTTTTTTAGACCCAGCAGGGGTGAGGGGAAACAAACTTAATTTTAATTTCAGCTTGACCTAATCACAAACTAATACATGCAAACTAAGTAAAAGTTTTAAAGTCAATAGACCATGACTGAGGGGGAAGGGCCAAATAATCTCAATGGAAATGAGATGTGCCAATGCTTATACAACTGCATACGAAATAACATTGACCTACCACTAGTGGTTCCCCACAAACTGACCTAATCACTAATCACAAACTAATACATGTAAACTAAGAAAAAGTTTCAAATTTAATAGACACTGACTGAGGGTGTAAGGCCAAATAATTTCCATGGAAATGAGATATGCCAATGATTATACAACTGGATACCAAACATCACTGGCCTGCCACTAGTGGTTCCCCATAAACTGACCTAATCACAAACTAATACATGTATGTAAACTAAGCAAAAGTTTCAAAGTCAATAGACCATGACTGAGGGGGCGTGCCAATTAATCTCCATGGAAATGAGATGTACCATTGCTAATATAACTGCATACCAAAAATTATTGACCTACCACTATTGGTTCACCATAAACTAGACCTAATTACAAACTAAAACATTGTTGATGACGCCGACACCTCTGCAGGAAAAAGCATACCTATGTCTCCCTTTTTGACAAGGCGAGACAAAAATTGCGCTGTTTGAAGTGTTTACGATGGTTTAAACAAGTCTCTTTGAAAAGTTTTATGCACAATATATTGTTTAAACAGCACCCCAGATAGCTTCAACTGGATTGTGACGTCAAGAAAAAGTTGTGTAATTTCAAAACTTATCCAAAATGGGAATAAATAGCGAATTGATATATTACCTCAATGAAACTGCACCCCATTGATATTTTTGACATACATCGTAACATGTATATATATAATATATAAAAGTGACCCATTCTATCAGCATGTCTGTATATACAAGTAGGAAGAAACCCCTGTATTATTGTAACAATGTCCTAAATAATGGATATCCAACCAATATTACTTCATTTTGGTGTATAAAAATGGTTAATGCTGAGAGCTATTTCATATATGGTTATTGCATAGACTGATTTAAAAAGAATTCAAAAGATATCATAAGGACCATTAGAGTTACAGTTCCAGGGCTAGTCATGCTAGTGAGAAGACTTGTGAAAGAAATGGTGAAGTAGCCAGATGGCTTATCATACTCAAAATAAAAATTAATTTGGATAGTTGAAAAGTTTTTTTCTTCGGGTCCGTTCGCGCCCAATACACGTTCGCACCCCACACGTTCGCCCCCTAGGTCCGTTCGCACCCTACACGTTCGCACCCTTTTTTTATTCAAAAACCTGATAAATTTTTAGATGTTTTGTAAAATATTTTTATTTTCATAAATAAAAATTCGGGAATTTTTAAATGAAATATTGTTTTAAATTGATTTGATGATTAATTATTAAATGTTAATTATGTGTGATTACTGCTAATTGGTATTTATACACAGCCTAATATGATGTTATTGTTGGGTGTTTAAAAATCATGATTGTTGTCATGGTTGTTTTAACTTGCTTTAAATGTAAATACTGCATGTATTTAGCTTAGTATGAGTAAAACTTTGAAGATTTTAAATAAAAAACATGAAAGATAATTGTTTTTAACAGCTTGGCTCCTTTGATCTCATGTGTGTCAGAATCTCACTTTATTCATAAACAATGAAAAAAAATATTTATAGCAATACACTATCCAAAACATGATTACGAATTATTCAACATTTAAAAAAAAGGTTGTCAGAATCCCATTTCCTTTTGAAACAATAAAAAAGAAATATTTATAGCAATACACTAACCAAAACATGATTAAGATTTTATCAACACCTAAAAAAACGTTGTCAGAATCTCACTTTATTTAGAAACAATGAAAAAAAAAAAATTTATATATATATATTGTTTTACATGCACACGTATAAAAATTGCGGTTTTTATCCAACGCAATCATAGGTTTGAACGTTGTTTTCAATTTAGACTTGTATATATATAGATATATATAGAGCAATACACTTACCTAAACATGATTCAAAATTATTCAACACAAAACTAAAATACTGGTCGTCAGAATCTCACTTAATTTAAAAACAATGAAAAAAAAATGTTAATAGCAATACATTTACCATTTACCATGACACAAAAAAAAACCTTGTCAGAATCTCACTTTATTTAGAAACAATGAAAAAATATATATTTATAGCAATACACTTACCAAAACTCGTTTACAAATTATTAAACACAAAACCAATAAAAATAGGGCGCGAACGTGTAGGGTGCGAACGGACTTTGGGTGCGAACGTGTAGGGTGCGAAAGTGAAAGGGGGGCGAACGTGCATGGGGGCGAACGTGATTGGGCGCGAACGGACCCGGATTCTTTTTCTTCTTCAGTCACAGAAAACCATCAACGTACTGATGTTTACTTTCCGGTGCGTGCCTGGTAAATGTTTCCAATTTTATAATTTATTAAATATTATCAAAACGTAGATTAACAAATTTGTTAGTTTCGATGTAATTATTAATTTTTGTTTCTGTCATATATTTTTTTATATCATAAATTTTTACAATTTTTCTTGTTTAATTTATACATTTAAAAAAAAGTCATTTTTTTTTAATATTTCATTTTTTTATTTTTTTATTTAAGATAAGAAATGATTGCCTGTTTATGACAGGTGTGGATAAGTGTGTTCTATAACTAGCTACGGAACCGTAATTCATAGGTCCTTATGATATTTTTTGACAATTTGCGGACCATATCATAACTTAACTTAAGGACCTATGTCTGAGATACGGTTCCGCAGCTACTTCTATAACATTCTCTTGCTTAATAAAACTGCATCCCAGAACCACTCCTGTTTAAAGAATCTGAAAAATTCTATAGATATACCGATGGTTTTTAGTAATCAAATACGTTGAATCTAAGGAACAATGATGTCTCATTACATTTTTGTTTTTTGTTTACCAAGCACCTGGATCCACCATTTTGGCGTCATAGAGTCGTTACTTTCCGTAAAAGATCGGACAGGAAATAATTTATTTACGGAAGCACACGAGTGAACAGCGCAAATTCATCTATGGGACTTCAATCTAAAATGGCGTGGCAGCCAGAGGAGAATGGTCTCCAACAGATATTGCAACTGCTGAAAGAATCTCAGTCACCAGATAATGCCACCCAGAGAAACGTTCAACAAGTATCCTTTAAAATTTATTGAAAACATATTCCCTGAAGTCCCGAAAATCGGAAACAATGTCTACATGGAAGCACGTGTATCGCGTTTACATTTTATTTGCCACCAGTTATATCAAGGAATTATCTTTATTTTGACATTTTTTTCACCACTTAAGGTAGCATATTAGCATAAAAATGTTTGTTCACAAAATTTTATATGAAATTTTGTCCCCTTTTACATAATATAAAAAATAAAACGTGGGTCATACGGCAGTTTCTCTTTGGAAGACAAAAAAATATAATTATTATTACAACTTTATACAAGGATCAAAGAAAATATTTAGAATTTAAAGCTAATAAGTTTTTTAAATAACCATATCTTTGACACCAAGACATGCCAACCTATTTGGTAATGATTACAGTGGGTTGCTGACTATATTCCTTTGTCAGTCACTAGCCAGACTGGACTAGTAAATAAAATTCTTCCTTTCTATGTTCTGTGAAAGTTTGAAAATATGTGAAGATTAAATAATGAAGTGTTTAATAAAAGATCAATATCAACAAAATATTAAACAAATGGTGGTTGATAATAGTGTATCTGGACGAAAAACATTCATTATCTTGAGATTTCGGTTAATGTCGATCCGTCTTATTACCAGTTTAAGATGTGTAAACAAGTCATAAATTTAAGGGCCTTGGTGGCCGAGTGGTCTAAGTAGTTGATCTACTGTATCATTAGCCCGTCAACACTAAGGTTATGAGTACAAATCCCTCACGTGGCAGGTGCACTTGACTACATTGTAGGATTGTCAGTTTTTCCTACCGAAAGTTGGTGGTTTTCTCAAACACTCAGGCTTCATCTACAAATAAAAACAGACCGCCTCAAAAGTGCTGAAAGTGGTGTTAAACACCAATCAATCAATTGTAATAAATTTAATTTTTATGGATGAAATTTTGCATTCATATAAAAGTGAATTTATATGCAACCCACACTCGATTAAATGTCAAAACACTTTTGTAAAATATTAAAAGGAGTGTCGTATTTGTAAACTTTACTGTGTTTGCAGATATGCAACAAGTCGTGTTTATTTCCAAATGGTATTGAGATATAGCAAGATGGACTTGTTTTCAATCTCAGGTATCTCGTGTGGAAACAGTTTAAAATAAACAATCAAAATTTTGATGTTTTTTCTGCAAAAAAAAAACTACATCAATTCCAATCAAAACACATACGGTTAAGAAATTATAATTACAGACCAGTTTCCTATGTCAATGACTTGCACAATGAAAGAATTGTTTTTTCAGACCCATTTGTTTAAAAAAATGTGTCTTTTAAAGTTTAAGTTTTGTCAATTTGCAGGCTACTGTCATTTTAATTAGGTAAGAGTAATGATACAATACCAGTTTGATTGACAACTGTCATGATCACCAAACAATCAGAGACAAGGTGGGGCCTAAATGACAAGGTCCCACCTCCTGAAATGCCAATCATATTGACCAGATTTCTAATCAACCTCAGTGTTACACAATTAAACAGACTCTTCATTATACACCTCAATACACATCATCATCATACTTTATTTCCTCCTATAGAAGATTGACAATATGCATATATAAATTATGTACAATTATAAAGTTTTGAAATTATATAATAGAATGTCACTTAATATTTTGGATGGGAAAGTATTTACAGTCTACAGTATTTTAGAATGGAAAATTTTGTGGAAACTTTGTATATGTATTCTCAGTTGTATTGATTCAGCGTCGTCATCAGCTTCTTGACAACAACCATTGTTGTATGACGTCATAGGAGTGAAATTATCAGATTTATTTCACATGTGAAATTATCGATTTTTATTTCACTGGGAAATCATGGTAATTTATTGCAACCTATGTAATAAGTAAACTTATCAAGCAAAACATTCACTAGCTAAAGAATCATGACATCTAGAAAATATGATCCTTAACGCCAACCAAGAAACTTGAAGAGCTGAATAAGTATCCCGATTTTAACAATTACCTAATTTTTGTGTTAACAAAGTTAAAAACTGAAGGTATGTATTAACTGTCACATCCATTATGTTCAATATATTTGCAGTGGAAAATTTATATTGTAGAACATAATTTTCATTTCATTCATTGCTCCAAATTTGTCTCCTCTTTAGGGAAATTATCGAACGAGCTTTAGTAATGATTGAATAGATGGTTCAAAATATGTTATCCAAAAAGCAAAACTTTTCCAAAATTTGTTTAATTATTGTAGCAAAGATCTTGATAGTTTTTACTTAAATACTATGATATATACTTGTGAGCATTAATACATTTAAGAGGCTCCTACATTACAAAATGATGTGGCCACTGTGACTGGGAGTCTATTGACTGAACAAAAGCTTTACCTAGGAATAGGATGAAAAATCCTGCATTCTGGCTATTTCCAGGCACTTTATTTGAATTGCAAAGACCCTTATTGATTTTGAGGTCACTGTCAAATGTTCAGGTTACAACAGCAATAAATACTAAACTGAAATTTGGGCAAATTTTTCATTTTCTATAATTTGACTTAAATTGTCAGCATAGTAAACATCAAGTCTTTATGATCGGAACCCCAAAAATCATTACAAGTCACAAGACCTGCTTCTTCTACTACAAATCAATATAGATGCAACTAGACTTTTGCACCAATCATAGTGCTTCTGTAATTTTTATGCCCCTGTCGTAGCGGAGGGGGCATTAAATTTTACCCTTGTCTGTACGTACATCTGTCCGTACATCCCAAAGTTGGTTTCGGTTCTCTAACTTTAGTTTGCCTCAACCAAATGTTATGAAACTTATACACAATGCTTATTACCACAAAACACAGGTCAAGTTTGAATTTTGGTGGCATCATTATAACCGTTCTAGAGTTATGCCCCTTTACAAATAGAAAAATTGCTGATTTTTTCGTTTCTGTTCTCTAACTTTAGTTTGCCTCAACCAAATGTTATGAAACTTATACACAATGCTTATTACCAAATAATACAGATCAAGCTCGAAATTGGGTAGCGTCACTTTTACCATTCTTCAGTTATGTCCCTTTATAACTTTATATGATATGCAAGCGGGGGCATCTATCTTTAATATTTTGTTCAATTTTCATCTGTTTAGCAATGTTTTCCCATGCCTGCGTTACATTTAGACATTGATCTGTAATATTTAAGTAGAATAATGTATACTTGGTTGAATTTTGGTATTATTGTAGTTCAGCAATATTGTTACATGTTCAAATCTACTTTATATGAAAGTATAAAAAATATCACTGTTAAATTTTTCTGGATGTACCTATAATCAATGATAAACAAATGTTCACAAGTTTATTTCACAACAAGTCACTACTATTTTCTATAAATCTGATAGTCCCAGATTGATCTGATATCTGACAGTCTATTAGGGGATTTTGTTGGTCTGTGCCAGTGTGGGATGTCAGATCTTAGTTTATAGAGAGAAAATGGACATTTTCTGACTCAGACCTGGTATCACGACTAGTATGAACCTTTAGTTTGCTGAGTATTCCTCTGTAGGACAAACGATACCCTCTATTTTTGGCTTCATATTTTCATATTGATGAAATTGTAACATGGCTGTCCAATTCTGTGCTCATAGAATTCTTGGAGTAAAATTATGCATATTAGTTTACCCTAAGACTTGCATATACACAAAAATGTTTTAACAAGATTTGCCTCCTTATTCAATCTGTTGTATGCAATGTAGAACATTACAAATTGTTAGCATAGTTTAGCTCCTGAGAGGAAAAAAAAGTAGATTGCAACATCTGGAGCAAAAGTAGGATCATGGGGAATAAAGGTTTTCTTTGTGCTACTAGGGGGTTGTCTGAATTTTTTTTTAAAATGTTGTTTTTATTGCATCCCATTTGAGGATGGCACTGTTTTACTTTTAAAGGCATTTTTGTTATATCCATAAGATGCATGATTTTCAAACTCTTTGACCATGTTTACAGAAATTTTTTTGTTATTTACATGTTCTTTTTATTCTCTCGTTTAAGGGACATATTATTGTATACCTCTGTCCGTCATCAACATGTGGGACAATTACTCAAAAACTCTTTAACCAATTTCATGAAACTTTAGTGAATTGTTTATATCTATTGACGTAAGCTCCCTTTCCATTTTTGTAAATTTTAGATTTTTTAAACTTCTTTTTGTTGAGGGAAATCAGGTTATTCAACAAAAACAACATGAATGACAACATGACTTGAATTGCAGGAGATTCACCAGATATTTTCAACACGTGAGAAATTTTTTTTTCTGAATTCCAATGGCGAAAAAGGGTGTATGGGTTATGTATAAGTACAAATTATACACAGCTTTTTACAGTAGATACTGTGGACAGATGAGCATTACATGTTTTTTGTAGCATCTTGTTTCATTATGTGGTAACTTTTTTTATAGATGATCCAACCAGGTCCCTCAGTGGATTAATTCTAAAGAATAATGTCCGTGCTCATTTTGAGAAGTTCCCCTCAGAAGTCACAACATTTATAAAACAAGAATGTTTAAACAATATTGGGGATCCCTCTCCACTCATCAGAGCTACCATAGGAATCCTGGTAACTACGATTGTAGCCAAGGGAGAACTGAGGAACTGGCAGGAACTTCTACCATCGTTATGTAACAGTCTGGACTCTGATGATTACAATGTTTGTGAGGTGAGTACAAAATTTACCATTATTTGGATGACCCCAAGGAAAGGGTCCAAATGATATTTGTCTTTTGGCCTGTAGCCAGTTGTTTTGTTTTTTAGGGGATGGGAGATTCCACTCAAATCTTGATACTTCAGGCCAGCAACTTGCATACTTTCTAGATTTTGATTACTTATCTACATCTACAAGAGCTTGTTGGATTGAAATAACCCTTTTTATACGACCGCAAAAAATTTTTGTGGTCGTATATTAGTATGATGTTGTCGTCGTCGTCGTCCGAAGACACATTGGTTTTCGCAATATTACTTTAGTTTAAGTGAACTGATCTCTATGAAATTTTACCACAAGGTTCAATACCAGAAAAGGAAGGTTGGGATTGATTTTGGGGGTTATGGTACCAACAGTTAAGGAATTAGGGGCCAAAGAAAAGCATTTTTGTAACTTCCAGACATAACTTGTGTGTTAGTGCATGGATCTCTCTGACATTGTACCACAAGGGTCCATATCACACAGGGAATGCTGGGATTGATTTTGGGGGTAATTGCCTCAAAATATTAGGAATTAGGGGGCAAAAAACAAGCATTTTTCTAGTTTCATGACAATAACTTGTGTGTAAGTGTATGGATCTTTCTGAAATTGTACTACAAGGTTCCATATCACAAAGGGAAAGCTGGAATTGAGTTTGGGGGTAAATGCCCAAAACGTTTAGGAATAAGGGGCCAAAAAGGGGTAAAAAATAAGAATTTTTCTAGTTTCCAGACAATAACGTGTGTTCAAGTGTATGGATCTCTCTGAAATTGTACTGCAAGGTACCATACCACAAAGGGAAGGCTGGGATTGATTTTGGGGGTAATTGCTTTAAAATTTTTGGAATTAGGGGCCAAAAAGGGGCAAAAAACAAGCATTTTTCTAGTTTCAGGACAATAACTTGTGTGTAAGTGTATGGATCTTTATGAAATTGTACTACAAGGTTCCATATCACAAAGGAAAGCTGGGTTTTAGTTTGGGGGTAATTGCCCTAAATGTTTAGGAATTTGGGGCCAAAAAACAAGCATTTTTCTAGTTTCCAGACAATAACTTGTGTTCAAGTGTATGGATCTCTCTGAAATTGTACTGCAGGTACCATACCACAAAGGGAAGGCTGGAATTGAGTTTGGGGGTGATGAATCATAAGGGGGTTCATAAAAATTTGGGGGGGGGGATTTTTTTTTCTTTAAAATTTTCCATTTTAAATTGGTTATTTCTGATTTATATATAAAAGCAAATAATAATGATATGGTTTGAATAGGTAAATTAAAAATTTTTAAGTTCTTGGACCACATTCATTCTGTGTCAGAAACCTGTGCTGTGTCAAATATTTAATCACAATCCAAATTCAGTGCTGTATCAAGCTTGAATGCTGTGTCCATACTTGCCCCAACTGTTCAGAGTTCGACCTCTGCGGTTGTATCAAGCTGTGCCCAGCGGAGCATTTTATTTAACAATTAACAAAATGTCTTGAATTAATTAAGCCTATGGTTCCTTATCTGAAATGCTGTAAACTGAGCTCTAGTATATAAGCCCAGTGGTAAATAAAGTTCTAAACAACCATAAAGAATGTTGAAATATTTTCTTTAGAATCCATAGTGTTTTCTGTTTATCATTATGTAACAAGTTTTGCTTTAACAAAATTGTTTATACAAGTTAGGTTTAGACTGCAGCAAAAAAATTATATACAAGCGTTAGATTCACATACTTGTTCCTAACATTTACAAATGTTATATTTTCACAAAAAGTTTTGAATATGAATTGTGTGTGTATAGTTATTCATTGTTGATATATTTGTTTTGGTAGAGAACATAATATAATTGATAGATTTCCAATACAAGGCACAAAGATAAATTTATTTCCAATTAGATGTGTGAGATAGAAATTGATTTGTACTACTGAAAATGTTTTGAGTTATTGTCTAGATGCTATCAAGCTGAATGTTTAAACTATTTATGGAATAGTTTGAATAATAGGTATTTTATTGAACTGGTTTAATACATATATGCTTCTATGATGAATTCAACAGCAGTTTTTTCATCAGACCATATAATAAAGTCTTACAAATAACTGTGTCTTTGAGTCATCTGGCTTAAAGCTTCATTGATTAAAGATTTTATCCCCCTGTTATAATCCTACGTTGATGACCTGCAGAAATTTGATTCCTGTTGGAATATTTAGATGATACAAAATGTAGTAAATCCATATTAATTCTAGTTATTACTGTGCCTTCATATAAATGCATATCATGTATCGAAAAAGATTGATTTCTATGCCCCTGTTAAATCTCTTGTTGAAATTCTGTGTCAGAACAAAGGCTTGCAGGGACATACTTTTGTCTCGTTAGTACTGTGTGACTGGATGTTGTCCAGATTTTAAGCTACTTGGCTAACACACAGTTTAGCGAAATACAGACCTTAATTCTCTTAGCAAATGTTTCCAACCTTTGTTATTAACCTTGAGCTCAAACAAGACTTTCAGAAAATCTACTCAAGTCATTCTGTATACAATATCTCCAACTTGTTGAAATTAGTTTAGCCAACATATCCCATGTTTGTTGACTACAATTAAATACTCAATTATTAAGGATAATTCTGAAATTAAGCAAGGAATAAATGTTTTGTTTCTTTTATTATTTTATAATGTACATTCATAACTAAAATATCTTTATGCGTAGATGATGCCAAATTGACTGATACCGGAATGTTTGCAATAATAGGATATGTAATAATAAAATTGCTTTGAGAGCTTCAGTATGTAAATAATAAAGAATAACTTATGACAGTGCAATTAAAACCAAATTTTATGTCTCTCAATGCTTTTTTATTATGTTTATTGGTATTTGCTTGACATGCCAGATTTTACATGTACGTTTTTGAAATATTAGAAAAATAGGGAAAAAAATTGGAAATGCGAATTGTAAACAAAATCAGCTTTATGTAAAATTAAGTTGTGCTATACAAAAAAAATATATTTTCAATGCATTACTTGTCTAAAACTAAAAGTCATGTAAATGATATTACATTGCTCTTGGGGTCATAGAGCTTTTGTAACTTATCCTTGTTTATTAAAAGTTGTAGAAAAGTCCCAGAAGTGGAAGTTTGAGAAAAAGTTTGCATGCCAAAATTGAGAAAATTTCTTAAATGCACTGAGGCGACTGTTTTCTATTGTCATAGGTGTAGGAAAAATTATTGGGAATAATTGTGGTTGTTAAAGTTTTATTGTTCTTTATCATGCTGTTGCCTTGCTACAGGTCTGTAACAGGACCAATGACTTCTAAGTCAAAATTACCATCAAGTCAAACAAGGAAATATAGTTGTACATATTGCATGATTGGAGTATATGAGTGCAGTTAAGATGATGCAATTTGGTTAATTAATTTAATATATAGTTGGCAGTACATGTAATTATACTTGATGATATCTGTAAGTTGTTGATGATCACAAAACATGCTAATAAAAACAGCATGTCGAAATCTATATATATTCAGGACCAAGTAGCTTCTATTTTGAAGATCAGTGAAATTTGATGGTGTGAAGGAGTCATTAAACCACATGTACTTAGAAATTATAACATTCCTTGTTAGTCCTGATGGTCATGATTAAACATTGAAAAGTTACATCATTATATTATTTTTAAAACACTGTTAAAAAATGAAGATTTAAAAAATTGTGTTGTGAACTAACTATGAATATTTACGAAGCCATTATTAACTAGCTATTTATTGATGAAGCTGAGGTTTTAAAGAGTTTTTAGAAGTTAATAGATATATTGATATATCATATGATTGCTTTTAAACCTAAGTGTCGGAATTACATTGACATTTTTCCATAGGGTGATGTATTATACAAAGAGATTTATGTATATGCAGAAATTTAGCATTTATATTTGGTTAGGAATCAATACAGTTACTAGAGGGAATATTGATCTGAACTAAAAGCTGGAGGCTTGATTGATTTTGTGGTTTGTCCATGAAAACTTCTTAATTGTATAAACTTGCCAGAAAAGTAGATATTTATGTAACACTTGGTTTCTTAATAAAAATGTCTATTTGTTAATTATTTACATGTCCTTAACAGGGTTAGTGGAAAGTTGCATGATTAAAAATCAATGAAGTTCTAAATACACCAGACAAGCTCAGTAAAGCTGGTACAAAACAAGAGAGAAATGATTTTTAAACTTTGTACATTACAAGATAGAAAAGATTATTATTAAAAAGATGACAATACTGCTTTGTCTGGTCCCTTCAAATTATAAATCTCTCTGAAATTGTACTGCAAGGTACCATACCACAAAGGGAAGGCTGGGATTGATTTTGGGGGTAATTGCTTCAAAATTTTAGGAATTAGGGGCCAAAAAAGGGGCAAAAAACAAGCATTTTTCTAGTTTCAGGACAATAACTTGTGTGTTAGAGTATGGATCTTTATGAAATTGTACTACAAGGTTCCATATCACAAAGGGAAAGCTGGGTTTGAGTTTGGGAGTAATTGCCCTAAACGTTTAGGAATTTGGGACCAAAAAACAAGCATTTTTCTAATTTCCAGACAATAACTTGTGTTCAAGTTTATGGATCTCTCTGAAATTGTACTGCAGGTACCATACCACAAAGGGAAGGCTGGGATTGAGTTTGGGGGTGATGAATCATAAGGGGGTTCAAAAAATTTGGGGGGGGGGGGATTTTTTTTTCTTTAAAATTTTCCATTTTAAATTGGTTATTTCTGATTTATATATAAAAGCAAATAATAATGATATGGTTTGAATAGGTAAATTAAAATTTCTTAGACCACATTCATTCTGTGTCAGAAATCTGTGCTGTGTCAAATATTTAATCACAATCCAAATTCAGTGCTGTATCAAGCTTGAATGTTGTGTCCATACTTGCCCCAACTGTTCAGGGTTCAACCTCTGCGGTCGTATCAAGCTGCGCCCAGCGGAGCATTTTATTTCTTTATGCTTGAAGATATTGATTTGATATTGGGTGTATTGTTTAATCATGACAAGTTACAGATCAAGTTTTAATTTTGTTCCGGTCTAATGATTTTGTGCAGAGTTATGGTCCTTGAACTTAAAATATTCACTCAAATAATCAGTTTTCCACACTTTTTTTTGTCATGCTTGAAGATATTGATTTGATAATTATACCCCCGCTTTAAAAAAGTGGGGGTATACTGTTTTACCTCTGTCTGTCCATCCGTCAGTCTGTCCGTCCGTCCCATGAATATTTTCGTCGCATCTTTCTGAGGAACTACATTACAAAGATTTCTGAAATTTGGTTTCAGGGTTTATATAAGTCAGCTATACTGTGTGATGCGTTTTCAGATTCATCACTCAACAACTTCCTGTTTACTGAAATATTTGGGCAGGGGTATCATCAGTGAGCAGTAGCTCGAGTTTCACTTGTTGGTATATAGTTTTATCATGACATGTTACAGATCAAGATCGAAGTTTGTTCCAGTTTGATTATTTTGTGCAGCAATGGTCCTGGGACTTAGAAAATTCACTCAAATAATCAGTTTTCCTCACTTTTTTTCGTCATGCTTGAAAATATTGATTTGATAATTGGTGTATAGTTTTTTCATGACAAGTTACAGATCAGGTTCGAATTTTGTTCCGGTCTAATGATTTTGTGCAGAGTTATGGTCCTTGGACTTTGAAAATTCACTCAAATAATCAATTTTCCATGTTTATTTTCGTCATGCTTGAAGATATTGACTTGATATTTGTTATTTAGTTTACACCATGACAAGTTATAGATCAAGTTAGCATTTTGTTCCAGTACAATGCAATTTTAACTGGTAGGGGGATATATATTGCCAGGCAATACTCACATAATGCTTGTTTTTATTCAAAATTTACCATGATCTATTAAATTGAAATTATGGTCCATCTTACAATCTTTGGCATTTCAATGTGGTTAAACTTGTATGTGTAGAAATACAACATTATGTTGCAACAGTCTCAAAGTACATATCATGCATACAAATGTATGCTACACAAATCTAAGATATTGTACATTTTAGTAAAGATTAAAAGAATATTCGAAAATGGCTCTTGTGAAAAATAAATAAAGGTGATTTTGGTCCGACTGGTGGATTGGTAAAAAAAAGAAGCTTATTAAGTAACTGTTGCCATCTTAAAAAATTACTTTATTAAAAATCTATTCCAATTGAACAAAAATTTTGGGAAATGTCCCTTTGTATATCTTTTTCAAACATTGCTGCTTTCCTTATAGTTAAAACATAATGATAAGAGAGGGATTGGGGGTAGAGTTCAGAAGAAAATAACAAGTTTGTAGTTATTGTGTTTATAGTTAATGTACCAATCACCCTGTCAGTTTGTCTTTGTCATCAACCTTCCTAGTCCAACTTCTGCTAAACCATCAGATGGATTTGAATGAAATTTCAAAGAGCTCTTCCTTAAAGTATACTATATGAAGATGGACGCAGCATTTCTAGGTCGACATCCGGATGGAGATCATTGCAGATTTTTCAAATTCATCAAATGTTGTTGATTTTTTCAGCACAACTTCATAAATGATGTGTAACATCTGAAATGTGCACGAAGAAACAAATTTTCAGTCCTGCATGTGGCAAAATTGGCAGATTTATTTGATTCATTTGTTTATTAACATTTTTAGCTTTATTCTAGTCTAAAGTCTAAATCATTCGATCATTCCATTGAAACATCAGGGAAAACTGTCCTGTTTGTTTACTGAAGACCTAATTAATGGTTATAGATTTGATCAGATTTTAAAATAATGGACAGTTGACAGATCAAATGAAAAACTTAAAATATTACATAATATTTTTTTTATTTTCAGGGAGCATTTGGTGCACTTCAGAAGATTTGTGAAGACAATGCAGAAGATTTAGATAATGATAGTACCAGACCATTAAATATACTGATTCCTAAGTTTTTACAGTTCTTTAAGCATAATAGTCCTAAGATCAGGTAATTGGTCAACATTTTAAGTTTTGAAAATATTATTAAAAGCATTTCATTTACATTTGATGTATTTGCAAGGATAAATTATTTATTTGATGATTTCTTTTTTACACCATTTAAATACTGCATAAACAGTTATAATACTGTCTTAATTTTGTTAGATTATAGTTAAAAAAAAATATCTCTTGCATATGTAAATTTATAATTTCAGGTCACATGCAATAGCCTGTGTAAATCAGTTCATTATCAGTAGAACCCAGGCCCTAATGGTTCACATAGACAGTTTTATAGAGGTAAGTCTTTTTACCGTTTCCCAAAAACTCATCCTCAAGAGGGTTTTGTAACTTCTGAACTTGTTAAAATACTTTAATGCAACCCTACAATGATACAGACATAGCACTGTAATTTCAAGTTTTACGCTTCAAACATCTTGTATGTTAAAGACTCTCAAACTTTGTATGCATGTTAACTAATTATACGACCGCAAAAAAATTTTTGTGGTCGTATATTGGTATGACGTTGGCGTCGTCGTCGTCGTCCGGCGTCGTCGTCGTCGTCGTCGTCCGGCGTCGTCGTCCGAATACACATTAGTTTTCGCACTCTAACTTTAGTTTAAGTGAATGGATCTCATTGAAATTTTACCATAAGGTTCAATACCACAAAAGGAAGGTGGGGATTGATTTTGGGGGTTATGGTACTAACAGTTAAGGAATTAGGGGCCAAAAGGGGCCAAAAATAAGCATTTTTGTAACTTCCAGACATAACTTGTGTGTAAGTGTATGGATCTCTCTGACATTGTACCACAAGGTTCCATATCACAAAGGGAATGCTGGGATTGATTTTGGGGGTAATTGTCTCCAAATTTTAGGAATTAGGGGCCAAAAAGGGGCAAAAAACAAGCATTTTTCTAGTTTCATGACAATAACTTGTTTGTAAGTGTATGGATCTTTATGAAATTGTACTACAAGGTTCCATATCACAAAGGGAATACTGGGATTGATTTTTGGGGTAATTTCCTCCAAATATTAGGAATTAGGGGCCAAAAAGGGGCAAAAAACAAGCATTTTTCTAGTTTCATGACAATAACTTGTTTGTAAGTGTATGGATCTTTATGAAATTGTACTACAAGGTTCCATATCACAAAGGGAAGGCTGGGATTGATTTTGGGGGTTTTCCCTCAAAATTTTAGTAATTAGGGGCCATAAAAGGGCAAAAAAAACATGCATTTTTCTAGTTTCAGGACAATAACTTGTGTGTAAGTGTATGGATCTTTATGAAATTGTACTGCAAGGTTCCATATCACAAAGGGAAAGCTGGAATTGAGTTTGGGGGTAATTGCCCTAAACGTTTAGGAATTTGGGGCCAAAAAGGGGCCAAAAAACAAGCGTTTTTCTAGTTTCCAGACAATAACTTGTGTTCAAGTGTATGAATCTCTCTGAAATTGTACTGCAAGGTACCATACCACAAAGGGAAAGCTGGGATTGAGTTTGGGGGCGATGAATCATAAGGGGGTTCAAAAAATTGGGGGGGGGGGGGGGGGAATTTTTTGTTCCTTTTTTTTCTTTAACATTTTCCATTTTAAATTGGTTATTTCTGATTTATATATAAAAGCAAATAATAATGATATGGTTTGAATAGGCATACATGTGAACCTCCCGACGGGAGTACAATAATTCCGTTTTCAGGGGTCTCCTCCCGACCTCCCGTTGAAAAAATCCCGTGTATGAAATTTTTCATGAATGAAAAATTTCTGCCCAACATAACATCTCAGGCATCTGGTGTAACTGACATTACCTGAAGTTATATCTTACCTGTAAATCAATTTACATGCATAATTATATGGCTTCACTTGTCAGCTTGGGTGTCAAACATACTGGTAAACAACGATTTTTACCTCAGGCTAACTGCCGTTGTGTAACAAAAACTGTGTATTTATTGGGTTACTTCCCTTGATTTATCCTGTTTTAAGTTACTTTCCTTTTAATAATGAAAATTTTTAAAAGAATATAAATAAAATATAAATTGAACAAATAATCATAAAAGGATGGTTATTAAATGATTTTAAATGTCTTAGGACAAATAAAAAAATAATAATTTGAAAATTATTTGAGGATTCTATACTTCCTTTTAAGGCTTAAATTGAAATTTATATAATAACTATGACCCTAACTTTACAGATAGAATGAATTTCTGAGTTTGCAAATAAAAACTATTTGCAAGAGAAAAAATAAAAAAGTAAAAACTATTTGCAGACAGCTAAACAAATGTTCTGGTTGCAATGATTGTTTTATAGAATATGAAGTAAAAAATTTAAAGAACATACTGGAAAAAAACAATGTTAGATTGAACATGTAGAATATAAAGATGGAGAAACTTTATAAGTACAAGGGTACAATAAACATAATAAATTGGTTGGAAAGTTAAAGAAAACACACTTTAAAAGACCATTTTTACAGCACACGGTTACATTTACAACAAAATTAATGTCGATTAAAAACCTCCTGATCTGAGTCCTAATCTCCTGACCAAAATTTCCCAATCTCCTGATCTGAGTTTCACAGTCCATCACATGTATGAATAGGTAAATTGAAAATTTTTAAGTTCTTAGACCACTTTCATTCTGTGTCAGAAACCTATGCTGTGTCAAATATTTAATTACAATCCAAATTCAGTGCTGTATCAAGCTTGAATGTTGTGTCCATACTTGCCCCAACTGTTCAGGGTTCGACCTCTGCGGTCGTATCAAGCTGCGCCCCAGCGGAGCATTTTATTTTTGAGATTGAGACCCCTTTCTGTATGGGATGAATTCCCCCTGACTGGTAGAGGATGTTGTCTCCCAAGACACCTGGTTTGAAAATATTTAGCCTCAAGTAAAAGAACCTGATTGGCAAATATTCATATTGGGACATTTAAGGCATATTGCAAGGTTTTGATGGTATAAAATTCAAGATTTCAGTCTTAATATTTTATAATTGCCAATCAGACACCTATACCAGTCTGCACCAAAAACTTTTCTAACATCTAGTCCAAAGACCAATGTTCCAACATTTTTCTTATGTGGCTGAACAAAGTTTTGCAAAAACTTACAAGTCAGAATAGAATTTTTACTAGTTTGGGGCATCGGACTAGTGGCTAACGGTGCAGACTGTCATTGTTAGTTCTGTATTTTGAAAAACCTGTTTTTCCTGGCAGCAAGTAAAGTCTCTAGGGCCAACCTTAAAAATATGTTTGTTTGCAGTTTGTCTGTACCTTCAGACTGCAGGGTCGGTAGGTAGGAAAAATATTTTATTTTATCAGCCAAAATAAAGTTGAAACAAGCAGTTACATGAACCAAGTTTCTTGTGAAGAAAAAACATTTTAAAACAACACTGAAAGCCAACATGAAACGAACAGGCATTTTCAGGTAAAAACCTTTATAACCAAAACTGAAACTTAACATAGTGTATTATACAATTTATGACAAAAAAAATATATATGGTATTATGAAATATTGGAACACTTATAAACAAGGAATGATTAGAATTGTCGTAAAGAAACATATTCACTGAAATATATGCATCTTTACTAGAATGTTTTCATGAGTAGAGTATTTGCATCAGAAAAATGTAGATATTAAAGATTCAAAAGACAATGTAGGAGTGTGTTAAAAAAAAATCAACCATTAAATCTGCCTCAATTGAAAAAAAAAAGACAACTTAAAAAAATATATTAGACATCAGACTGTTTTCATATTTTTAACTTTATTTGATTATATGTAATAAGGTTATATTTTGAAAGATATGTTGATGCCAGGCTGTTAATTAAAACCAACAAAAATCTTGACTAGCTTTGGGGTGAAATCCATAGAACCCCATTAAAAGTAAATGGTCTGTACTGAAATGTTTTGACTGCATAAAAAATTGGCAGCATAGCTCATGACATAAGGACATGTTTCAATTCAATTCACACAGTTTGGGTATATTTGATATTGTAAGAGAGAGAATAATTGCAATGAGTGGGGCAGCCCCCCTTATCCTAAAGGAGCATACTCATTGCAATCGAAAATAGATTTGATATAGAGAGCATATATTTATTTTTCAAGCCAACCATTCATTTTCTCTACATCTTTGTGTAGTTTGTGTGGCTTATTGATTTAACATTTCAAATGTGCCCTTCCACCGTACAGACGTGCTTACAGGTATCCATAAAGTCACTGAGGAGTGGTTTCATCTTTGTCGTCTTTAAAACGATTTAAAGAAAATATGGCATACTTCAGGCTGCTGTCGAATTGTTGAACCACTGATATTGGTTCCATAAAGTCATGCTTAAAAGATTCTGTATCTGATTTGTTTGAGACAGAAACGGTTATCGTGTCAGTTTTATGAATATCCGTTGCTGCATCATATCGTCAATGATATGATCGCCAAAGACATCATTCCATGTGCAACTCTGCCTGAATCAGTATAAACAGTTTACTATTAAACTTTTCTGTATATTATTTGTCTTATTATTAAAAACTGACAGAAGACGACAGAATAAAGTACTCCTCCATGACTTCGTGGATACCTGTAAACAATCTCCATGTGCTTTACCATTAAAGGGTCCGATGAACGCTTGACAGGAAGGGAAGAAAAACCAAACTTCAAACGTGTAATTGACCTAGACTTTAAACCAATTCCGGATTGAGTCAATAGAAGGATTAAAAATAATTTCTTCAAATGAAAAGCAATAAATTTTTCACAGTCGGGCAGATTTTCGAAGGTCGGTCAGTAAACTGCAAACAAACAATATTTTAATTTAAGCCTTGTCCAGTGTCAATGTTAGTCAAAGTGATTTTGTAGAATTTTAAGCAAATTGAAACTATTACTTATGGCTGTTAGTCTTGTTACATATTAAGTGTATATTTTTCAGAACCTGTTTTTCCTGGCAGCAGATGAAGACACAGACGTAAGAAAGAATGTGTGTAGAGCATTAGTCATGCTAGTGGAAGTCCGTATGGATCGTCTTATCCCACAGATCAACAATATTGTGGAGGTATTTATTGTTACAGAGTATAAAGATGATATGTCCATAAGTTTGTGGTTAAATTGACAACAAAAAAAATTGAAAGTGTTAACTGTTACTTGCTGTTTGTCCAGATGAAACTACTGAATTTATGTCATGCACAGGTATCATTCATTCTGTTCATAGGAGTCGAAACAAATGTATTGTGTCATGTATTCAAAAAAGTTTGAGTTGTAAATTTTGAACATGTCTGAAGAGTAAATTTCAATCATTTTGCTATGATAATACTCCTAAATATATATGTTAACAGGAGATTGTTTAATGTAGAAGAATTAAATGTAACTTCTCATTGTCATTGGCTTTGGTCATACAATTTCAACCATTAAAAACAATATTTTTGACAATTTGAAAAAGAATGATTGGTTAGTCACATACAGAATATGTGATTCCATCAATGAATTCATTAACTTGTATGAACCACCTAAGATGCCTTTCTGAGAGAAAAAAATCTTTGTTTTGACAACACTAACACAACCTTTTAGTGTTCAAGAAACATGTAAGAAAGCTTGTGTTTACACATAGTCTTTACTTATACATGTACGACCTTTGAAAACAGTTATAGGGATCTATTTGTGGCCTGGAAGCCAAAGTTTCTGCCATTATTAAACATGCTCTCTTTTTATAATGGCATACCAATTTTCTCTTCATTCATCCCTTTAAACCCTCTAAGCAGAACATCCATATTTCATTGATTGTTAAGTAGTTGTCATCCTGAATATGAATTGAAATTTGCTGCTGGATTTTAAACAGACAACAATAACTAGCATGTGGCTTGAACCTGTGCATGTTGTTCAAATTTTACAAAAAAAACAAGAATGCTTTCAAACAACTACAAAAAAGGCTAAACTTTCCTCAGTTTTAAACAATACTATTATGGAATGCTCAATATCAAAATTGGTATTAGATATGTTTTTAATATTAAGTTTCTTTTTGCAGTATATGATGTGTAGAACCCAAGATGATGATGATAGTGTAGCATTAGAAGCTTGTGAATTCTGGTTGTCATTGGCAGAACAACCTATATGTAAAGAAGTACTAGGATCACATATAGATAGACTTATACCTGTCTTAGTTAAAGGAATGAAATACTCAGAAATAGATATTATACTTTTAAAGGTAAACATACTGTACATATGCCAGTAGGTTGAGGGCTATTCCATTCAGAGGAAAGTTGGAAGGGTAGGAAGGGAAAATTAGTTCATGGACACAGAACCTGTTGGTAATTTTTGGTTGAATGTCCATTTGATGTGTGCAAAATTACTTGAAATATGGTTTTAGGGTGATATTTACTCCACACCCATTTTAATTAAATTGCCCTACAGGATTGAAATACAAATTGTTCTTTAAAAATATATTTTTGGCTTTTAAATTATTTATTTCAAGTAGCATTATGTAAACTTGATAAAACATTGATTGTTATCTTGAATTATCAACACCCTGTTTTGAACAAGAAAAATTTAGAAAAGCATCAATTTTAGGGTATTTTCTTGAGCAACATGAAAGTAGTTGAATGAAGTATATCATCAGAATGAAGTATATCAGTAGAATGCTTCTTGTAAAAATGTCTTTATCTCAAGGCTTCCAAAACGGTCATATATTCCGGACATTTGTATAATGTCCGGTAAAAGTCCGGCTGGGCAAAGCATGAAACGGACATCTACTTTTTAGTTTTCAAGGCTTAAGAGACGGTCATTTTAACATAATTCGCGATCTTTTTGACCCAACCTTTTGCCTTTAACAGCCACACATTTCCGGTCATAAAAGTAACATGATCATTAAGTACTATCAAAACAACCCCTACTTTAATACCTTCTCATTTTAATCAAGGCTAATTAGTTGTCGAACAGCTGAAATTTACCTGTTCAGGTGTCAGGTAAACTATTTTGAACCGGACATTGATCAGTCTATTCAAAGTTATTTTCTTACATTTCAGTGCTTTGCATCTAATTAATTTAGTTAAAGGGAAACTTCGCAAAAAAATGAAAAATTGATATTATGTTCATTCTGTATAAAAAAGCACAAATTCATAAATATTAAAGTTTTATTCTGCTATATAAGAGATCACCATCGATTTTAAATTTAGAGTATCAATTCTCTGCATGCGGCCATTTTGACATCTTCTCGGTTTAGAAACCACGATATATCTATAAACCACAAAGGACCAAAACCAGCAGTAACCTAACGTAGTCGTAATTGCGTGTCGATATCTTGTCAAGCGTACAGTTGTTTTATCCGACAAGAAAAGCATAAACAGTTTCCCGGGTAACAAAAATGATTATAATAGACATGGTTGTGCAACCTTTCCTAACTAACATGATACGGAAAATGTAATTATTTTTTTTAAATAACTATGGTCTGTCGTATTTAAACTGTTTTTTTTACCAAGGATTTGTATTTGTTACTATACAAATCCTTGTTTTTACTAAGTTTTGAAACAAGAAATTTATATGGGAATTAGTTAAAAAGTCAAAGCTCAAAGTCATAAATAAGTGTCCCGTGTATAATTGTTATTGAAAATCTAATTTGTTCATAATTCTTTTATGTAATAAACTTTAATGTTATAAACCAAGGCTCCGTGTTGAAGACCGTACTTTGACCTATAATGGTTTACTTTTATAAATTGACAATTTGTGACTTGGATGGAGAGTTGTCTCATTAGCACTCATACCACATTTTCTTATATCTAATTATTTAAATAAATTCAGACCTTCCCTTATCTGATCACCAGCGTGGCTAAAGGAATTATTCTCAGAGGTATTGTGAGGTGACACGTCCAGGTATTCATGCGATTTCCTGTCAGGCTTAAAAACTCTTATTACACAAATACATAAAGCAAGTTCATGCATCCCTTCATTTCTAAGGGTATTGATCAGTGTACACGGCCGATAACTTGTAACTTTCCATTTTGAAACTATCAGGTGTAATATACATCTTTGTCTTGCGTGTCCGATAGTGATATACTAGTCATTACTACACTACGCTTGTTTATAAATAACATTTCTGGTGTAAAGAATGATATTTATGAAAATCTAAATAATTCCAAAAAAAGATTTGATAAAATTTTTCCAAGGGTAAATTGTGGAAATGTAAGTATATACTCGTTGTCAATAATGATGGACATTTTGAAACATACAAATATTGATTTAACAAAAATGTACGCACTTCTCGATCATTGGTTAATACGCCTAGATAGAAAGTTATGGAACTATAGATAGTCGCAATTAAAAATATATACATGTTTTTGAATATAACAGAGAAACATCCAGAACCAATTTGATTTAAATACAGTTTGATATCTTACTTGCTTTGGTTCATCGAAGTTATGGACATAGTAAAATCACAGATTTATATTTCATTTAGATTGTTCTCGAACAGTTAAAGAAATTCGTCATCACCACAATTGATGAGTATAATGTATAATGATGTGAACATGGTTCTAAAAGTACATTATGCTAACTTTCCTGTTCCGACATGCATGTAATATATATGCCACTGGACGTACACTAATGATCCCCAAAAAATCTATTTGAAGAAATAAAGAAACTTCACTCCCGATAGACTGATAGTATTTGTATTAACGTCTGATTAGCTAGATGGTTGATTAATTTATTTAGTTGGCTTGTGGGGGGAATAAACTATTCCCAAATATTGCACTTATGCATAAAATATTAAATGAGAGTAATATGAGAGAAAATATAAATACGAAAAGTCGCATATCTGGTAAAAGAAAGTCTCACTGGCAACTATAGAATTTCACGTACAATTGTCATTCTTAATCGAAATAACGGACAGTCATTAAAATACATGCATGTACACTTTGACAAAAACTATACATCTCTAGTTAACGACAATCAACCATATAAATATTTGAATCTGATGTGACTTACCGTTCATCTCTTTCTTTTTTCTTCTTTTTTTTTTTTTATTTGGGCAGGTACACAAACATTATAATGTTAGATATACTGTTCCCAGGTTGGGAGTGGGGCGGTGGTTGGAGGTAAAGTATATTGAAAGTTTCAAAATAAGAACGTTGTATTTTTGAATTTACATGAATAATTCTGATCTTGGACGTTGGTTTCTTTTTTTTTAGTTCAGTGATTTAAATTGAGAGAAAAAAATCTAGTCAGAATTTAAATCGTACCGGCAATTTCCACCTAAGACTCCTCTAAAATCATGAATGGTCACGCTTCACAATCATCAAAATTTTCTTTGCATTGGTACATTCTGTATCGGTAGTGATTTACCTTGACATTTCCGGGTATAACAGAGCTACTTGTATATTACCTGTATGTGGTTAGGTGATGTCCCATGAGGTCTTACGTATACAGGTTCACATTGGTTTCTGATAAGGTTTTATGACATTCACACATCTGCATGTTCTGTATACCAAATTCTTATCTTATTTTCAGACCAAACGAGGATGTGAATATTTCCAGGAAAAATATTGAGTATCAGAGTATCAAATTAATTTCGGGATTTTTTTCTTTCTTCGTATTAAATCACAGAAATTTAAAGAATATACTGCTTGTCCGCTTGAGGTGTATTCTTGTCAGTTAAGACTGACATATATGTCTCTGGTATAGAGTGGGTTTATGAATGAATGATAAGTCTTTCAAAGGTACAAGATATAAAGCACATTGAAAATTGATTCCGCCGGTCTGTCTCCATTCAAAAAAGGAAAGTTGACGTTATATTGATTCTGTTATTTTTTTTAAACGTCGTTGGTCAAATAGCTAAAGTATGTATACGTTGTGAGATTTTAAATATTTTAATAAGGGCATTCCCGATTATGTAAATGTAGATCGCTGTTGACGGACCAAGCTATATTAATCATGTAACCACGATAATGTTCGCTAAACATTGAAATATTCCAGGTTAATACCCATGATAATTTGAAAAAAGTAAGTACAGTGTTTGGTTTATACGCTCGTTTTCGTGGGCCATTTTTATTTATAAAATTATTTAATTGAAAGTAATACAGAATTTCGATGTTACAACAAAATACTCACCTATCTATTATAAAATTAAGCTTACGCAAAATATAAAAGATATATATAACGGCGATTCAGGTATTTGCCACCATATTCCTCCCCAAATAATTAATGTTTTTATCATTCATACGAAATGTTGTTCACACCTGTAACGATGAACCGTGTTGGCTAAAATTCACTGAGTGAAGATCAAAAGAATAGAATTACAGAATGCTAATCTTTTAATTACCTTGAATTTAACCACACATTCAACAGGTAGTCACTAAGTGTCACAGTACAATACACATTGTATTTACACAGTACTAGTGAAAAATGTTTGCTAGACTGAAGTAAAAGCCTTCAGGTGAGAATACAAACATGCATTTTTAAAACAGTATCAGTTATATATGTTTGTTCAAAATATCCGTCGGAAAAAAAATTCATAAAAATATATTCTATTGTATGATTTACTTTTATTACTATAATCATATCAGAAATCCTTTAAATATAAATCGTACATTTTAATTTTGAAAGTTGCACGGCTGATCACTTTACTTTCTCAATTATTAGTTGGTTAATAGCTACACCAAAAGTCGTCGATGCGCTTTAAATCGCGTTATTAGATGATTAACGAACAAGATTTACAATGAGATTTATTCACTCCCGGCATGCAAAAAGACTTAAACTACGTCACATAAGTCAGGAAGTTCGAATAAATTAAATTATTAATTCCCAATTTTCTTCTTTATTAGTGTTCATATCCAGATAAAACTTGGTGAATATGTTTTTTATGGTATTATGAACATAATAAGATGAAAAGTAAAAAATCGCGAATTTTCCCTTTAAAAAGATTTAAATTATCAGAAATACGTTTACAAATATGATTTGATGAAATAATTAAAAAGGTGAAAATGAAAAATCGTCATAACCACGTTGTTTGAACCAGAGACATGTCTCTGTTTGAACTAGTACACGTGTGCGCAGGTGTGAAATTTAATTATGCATCCTAATTTCTTCAAAAAATGCTTAAATTGTCATTGATACCTTTATCTCACGTTTATTTCGAATATTTTCTTGAAGAAATAACGTAGAAAGAGCTACTTACACTCATTCATGCTTTGCAAACGTACACGGAATTTACGTATCCGTCTCTGGTCCATGTTTTACCATTGTCAAGATAACATCCGGTTTAGATTTGAAAACAATAGTAAAGTTTTTGACAATGTTATTTTGCACAAATAAAGAGTCTAAGCAGATATAAGTACGCTGATGTTGTACACTTCGAATGATGCACCGCCAATTTAACAGTTTACGTCAGAACTTCGAATTTGAATCAAAGAAAGTTTAATATCGTTTTCTTTTTTAATGTCAATCATTGGGATGGCAAACTCGGCAACTGATTACCGTAATTGCCTTTTATTTATTTAGTCTTAAGGGATTAAAATCGGGATAATATATAAAATGTCCGGCTGGCTAAAAATAATTTTGGAAGCCCTGCTTTATCTTAATTTATTTTTAATAATATGCATAAATTATGAGTTTTGATAAAATGTTAATTTTTGAATATACATAGTACTGTGGATTCATTATTATTCGTGGGATAACAATTTTCGTGGATTTCGTTGTTACAGGTGAACCACGAAATTAAATGTTCAACGAATAACAAATTTCATATAGTATTCTATGCAGACTTTGGCAAAACCACGAAATCAAATATCCACGAAAATGCAAGTTTTCCTCAATCCACGAAAGTTGGTACCCACGAAAATAAATGAATCTACAGTATATAAACTAATTTGAAAATATTGGGATTATTAAGGAAGAATTACTTTTTAAATGTAAAAACTTAAAAAAAAAAAAAAATATTTCTAATAATATGAAATTTAGATGTAATTATTGTGACATTTAAGCATGAAATCATATATTTTCAGGATGATATTGTTTGTTATATGGTTGAAATAACATTTTACTTTGTTATAGGTTTAGAATAACATTATTTTGTTAACCAGATTTCCGAAGGAAAAATTGGTTATTGATTTGGGGATGTAGGGCGGGCGGCTGACAAACAGTGTCCATGCATTTACTCATGAACCATTCAACCGAAGCTTTTCAATTGTAATATGTTGTTACTGATGACAAAATGGAGGTCAAGTTCAATATTAATGATTTTCACTTTCACCGTTCAGGAGTTACAGTTCTTGAAAGATTTAAAAATGGTCTTTCCAGTGGTGTCCGTGCTTTAACTCATGAACCATTCAACCAAAGCTTTTAAACATTTTAATATGTTGTTACTGATGACAAAATGGAGGTCAAGTTCAATATTGATGATTGTCACTTTTTCCTGTTTAGGAGTTATGGTCCTTGTGATATTGAAAAATGCCAGGACACAAATAAATGTTAAAAAATCCGGTTTGCTGTCGCTCTGACAGCCTCTTGTTAAGGGTTAAAATAACATTTTATCTTTGTTTTAGGGTTAAAGTAACATTTTAAGTTTGTTATAGGGTTAAAAAAAACATTTTAAGTTTGTTGTATGGTTAAAAAAAAACATTTTTAATTCGTTATAGGGTTAAAGTAACATTTTATCTATGTTATAGGGTGATGTAGAAGAAGATGATATGGTTCCAGACAAAGAATCGGATATCAAACCAAGATTTCACAAGTCTAAATCACACACACAGAAACACACAGATGGGGATGCTGTATGTATTTTCCTGACAAACCGCAAAAAATTTTGTGTTCAGTTGTGAACAGATTTTTTTTTTAAACTATCCCATACCTGCTTTGTATTAGAATTATATTATGAGATACAATTTTGTATGCCCCCTCTGTTTTAGTTACTAAGGCATAAAGTTTTCAACTTGTCATACATTCAGGTCTTACCAACACAACTTGTTTGATTATGAAAAAAAAATATCCTTCATGATACTACATGCACATATACAAGTCATATCACATTGTGAGACATTTAATGTTGAACCCAATGTCTCGTAATATACAGTCCAGCATTGTTAATCTTGGTACCTTCCAAATCTGCATTTCATTGACACAGAATGTATGAAAGAGCAGACTTCCAATAAACCCAACATAAGATGGCATTACACAATTTTATACAACACTACAGGCAATGGAATATATTGTTATGAATTATCCATTTCTGTCAGTCTCTTTGTCATACTCAACAACTATGTACCACTGTGATTTTAAATTTGGCATTTAGCATTAGAATTATACCCTCTGCATTTTGATGCAGGCTGTATATAATGATGTGGTGTTTGTCTGTTAGTTTATGTGTCCTTCCAACCCACTTATGTATTCATTACTGCTCTTGAACTACTTAACAGAATTTTGTCAAACAGTCTCAGAATCTTACTCATTTATACTAGGTTCTAAAAACTAAAATAATTCGATTGAAGTTTTTTATTTGGATCCATGATAATATCTACTCTTGATGTTTCCACTTATTTCATATTAGAAATCTTAACAGATTTAATGTATATCCTTCACATTGAATTGAAGTTCAAGCTTACAGTTGATGAGAAAAGCTTACAATTGATTAGGCATACCATGTCCTGAATATTTGTATCATGTTTAATTAAGTCTCCCAAACGAAGTTTGGGAAGACTTATTGTTTTTGCTCAGTTCTTATTATTATTATTATTCTTCTTCTTCTTCTTCTTCTTCTTCTTCTTCTTCTTCTTCTTCTTCCGCCGCTTTTAAATTTGAACTTGTCCGCACCCGTTCTCCAAAACCGCTAGTCAGATTAACTTAGGGTTTCACAATATGTTAGACTAACATGTCTAGTGGTGCAATCAGGGTTTTGTTTGTGCAATGGGGTTTATAAAGGGGTACTTTGAGGGGCAAAAAGAAAAGAGGGTTTTACTATAGAACCCTATGGGATTTTATTTTTTAAAATTTTCAAATGATTATAAATTGAAAACCGTTTGTGATAGACACAATCTTTTTAATTGAAAATGTTCTAAATGATAAAGCCCATTAAATGAAATACAGGGTTAGTCCCCAGGGGTCACCCCCACCCCCTGCCATTTAAGAAAGTTCTAATACCTTGTAAGTGGTCAAGATCCCCACCCCTAAACCATATATATTCTGGTTTGTCATGCTAAGATGGTTTGAATGATATACAGGGTTAGTCCCCAGGGGTCATCCCGACCCCCTGCCATTTGAGAAAGTTCTAATATCTTGTAAATGGTCGAGATCCCCACCCCTAAACCATATATATTCTGGTTTGTCATGATAAAGCACATCAAATGAAATACAGGGTTAGTCCCTAGGGGTCACCCCCATCCCCTGCCATTTAAGAAAGTTCTAATATCTTGTAAGTGGTCAAGATCCCCACCCCTAAACCATATATATTCTGGTTTGTCATGCTAAGATGGTTTGAATGATTTACAGGGTTAGTCCCCAGGGGTCATCCTGACCCCCTGCCATTTGAGAAAGTTCTAATATCTTGTAAATGGTCGAGATCCCCACCCCTAAACCATATATATTCTGTTTTGTCATGTTAAAGCACATCAAATGTTATACAGGGTTAGTCCCCAGGGGTCACCCCCACCCCCTGCCATTTAAGAAAGTTCTAATATCTTCTAAGTGGTCAAGATCCCCACCCCTAAACCATATATATTCTGGTTTGTCATGCTAAGATGGTTTGAATGATATACAGGGTTAGTCCCCAGGGGTCATCCTGACCCCCTGCCATTTGAGAAAGTTCTAATATCTTGTAAATGGTCGAGATCCCCACCCCTAAACCATATATATTCTGGTTTGTCATGATAAAGCACATCAAATGAAATACAGGGTTAGTCCCCAGGGGTCACCCCCACCCCCTGCCATTTAAGAAAGTTCTAATATCTTGTAAGTGGTCAAGATCCCCACCCCTAAACCATATATATTCTGGTTTGTCATGCTAAGATGGTTTGAATGATACACAGGGTTAGTCCCCAGGGGTCATCCCGACCCCCTGCCATTTGAAAAAGTTCTAATATCTTGTAAATGGTCGAGATCCCCACCCCTAAACCATATATATTCTGGTTTGTCATGATAAAGCACATCAAATGAAATACAGGGTTAGTCCCTAGGGGTCACCCCACCCCCTGCCATTTAAGAAAGTTCTAATATCTTCTAAGTGGTCAAGATCCCCACCCCTAAACCATATATATTCTGGTTTGTCATGTGAAGATGGTTTGAATGATATACAGGGTTAGTCCCCAGGGGTCATCCTGACCCCCTGCCATTTGAGAAAGTTCTAATATCTTGTAAATGGTTGAGATCCCCACCCCTAAACCATATATATTCTGGTTTGTCATGATAAAGCACATCAAATGAAATACAGGGTTAGTCCCCAGGGGTCACCCCCATCCCCTGCCATTTAAGAAAGTTCTAATATCTTGTAAGTGGTCAAGATCCCCACCCCTAAACCATATATATTCTGGTTTGTCATGCTAAGATGGTTTGAATGATTTACAGGGTTAGTCCCCAGGGGTCATCCTGACCCCCTGCCATTTGAGAAAGTTCTAATATCTTGTAAATGGTCGAGATCCCCACCCCTAAACCATATATATTCTGGTTTGTCATGATAAAGCACATCAAATGAAATACAGGGTTAGTCCCTAGGGGTCACCCCACCCCCTGCCATTTAAGAAAGTTCTAATATCTTGTAAGTGGTCAAGATCCCCACCCCTAAACCATATATATTCTGGTTTGTCATGTGAAGATGGTTTGAATGATATACAGGGTTAGTCCCCAGGGGTCATCCTGACCCCCTGCCATTTGAGAAAGTTCTAATATCTTGTAAATGGTTGAGATCCCCACCCCTAAACCATATATATTCTGGTTTGTCATGATAAAGCACATCAAATGAAATACAGGGTTAGTCCCCAGGGGTCACCCCCATCCCCTGCCATTTAAGAAAGTTCTAATATCTTGTAAGTGGTCAAGATCCCCACCCCTAAACCATATATATTCTGGTTTGTCATGCTAAGATGGTTTGAATGATTTACAGGGTTAGTCCCCAGGGGTCATCCTGACCCCCTGCCATTTGAGAAAGTTCTAATATCTTGTAAATGGTCGAGATCCCCACCCCTAAACCATATATATTCTGTTTTGTCATGTTAAAGCACATCAAATGTTATACAGGGTTAGTCCCCAGGGGTCACCCCCACCCCCTGCCATTTAAGAAAGTTCTAATATCTTCTAAGTGGTCAAGATCCCCACCCCTAAACCATATATATTCTGGTTTGTCATGCTAAGATGGTTTGAATGATATACAGGGTTAGTCCCCAGGGGTCATCCTGACCCCCTGCCATTTGAGAAAGTTCTAATATCTTGTAAATGGTCGAGATCCCCACCCCTAAACCATATATATTCTGGTTTGTCATGATAAAGCACATCAAATGAAATACAGGGTTAGTCCCCAGGGGTCACCCCCACCCCCTGCCATTTAAGAAAGTTCTAATATCTTGTAAGTGGTCAAGATCCCCACCCCTAAACCATATATATTCTGGTTTGTCATGCTAAGATGGTTTGAATGATACACAGGGTTAGTCCCCAGGGGTCATCCCGACCCCCTGCCATTTGAAAAAGTTCTAATATCTTGTAAATGGTCGAGATCCCCACCCCTAAACCATATATATTCTGGTTTGTCATGATAAAGCACATCAAATGAAATACAGGGTTAGTCCCTAGGGGTCACCCCACCCCCTGCCATTTAAGAAAGTTCTAATATCTTCTAAGTGGTCAAGATCCCCACCCCTAAACCATATATATTCTGGTTTGTCATGCTAAGATGGTTTGAATGATTTACAGGGTTAGTCCCCAGGGGTCATCCTGACCCCCTGCCATTTGAGAAAGTTCTAATATCTTGTAAATGGTTGAGATCCCCACCCCTAAACCATATATATTCCTATTTGTCATGTCTCGAACATTTGAATGACGTATTCGGTCAGTCCCCAGGGGTTCCCCCCACCCCCAATGTTCTAATATCTTGTAAATGGTTGAGATCCCCACCCCTAAACCATATATATTCCTGTTCGTCATGTACTGAACATTTGAATGACGTATAGGGCCAGTCCCCAGGGGTTCCTCCCCACCCCCAATGTTCTAGTATCTTGTAAATGGTCGAGATCCCCACCCCTAAACCATATATATTCTGGTTTGTCATGCCAAGATGATTTGAATGATATACAAGGTTAGTCCCCAGGCATCACTAATGCATATAACTTTACTGGACCAAACCAATTTTCACTGGACGTTGCCCAATGTCAGGCAACCCTGGGAATTACGAATTATGGGAGCTTCGTTTGGGAGACTTCGTAACAGCATCCTGTTACAATCATTTCTTGTTTGTTTATTTTTTGTATGATAGGATGGTGAACTATCAGATGATGGATATGATGATGATGACAGTTTATCTGACTGGAACCTAAGTAAGTACCAATAATTACACTTAAGATAGCACAATACAAAGATTTTTTCACCACCAATCAGACAGCTGTAAACTAATGAAATTACTTTCATACAGCAACACATTTTGACCTCCAAAACGATGTCTCAAATTTTCCCTATTGTATTTCATTCACTCATAAACCTTCAATAAAGTTTGCAACTTTATTCATAAGAAACCACTAAATTAAGTTGGGTTTAAAATTTATTCTTTTAATGTTATTGGAAATCTGAGACACTATATTGAAAATAACAGGTCAGAGAACAATGTGCTGAAATTTTTAGGGCACCTATGGACATGTAACAAAAAAGGAGCAACAACATGTCCATGAATAAAACTTCCTTACATACCAATACCCTCCCATATTCATGACTAAAATGTATGGGTCGCATTAAATATTGAATAAGGACTTTCCTACCCCATTAACTTCAATATAATTCAATTAGGTTATGACCAGTGAAAAAGCATTCCATCTCAATTCTAAATATATAAAGAAAATGCACACACCCTGTGCATCAAAAATCAGATCTTGGTGGGAGAAGTATCACAATTGACCTTGCTTTAAGTCAGTTGCTACTGATATGGTCAAAACTCCGCCCACCTGGATGAACATCAACTATTACTGATCTCAGAAGTTTAATTTTCATATTGCATTTTGCATTTTTCTATTTGGATTTGATTAATTCAGTACACAAAACACATTTAACAATGTATTTTGTTTTTAACATTTTCCCATAAGGTAAGTTATATGCATGTGTAAAGAAAATGATAAGTTGGTCAGTCTAGAGGATTCATATTGGACATTTCTAGATTTATAATTGTATGCAATGAAAATATGGTGTTTTACACAAACTATAATTTTCTTGTTTTTTGTAGTTTGAATTTTTTTTTTTAATTTGTGTTTTGTTTAAAAAAGAATTCATATTTTAACATTCTCCTCAAGAAAATCTGATATTAGAAGCAAAATTAACATCATTAAGATCAGCAGCATTAAGTGTTGTACAATTATATTTGTTTAATTAGTCCCCTACCGACGAAGTCGAAGGGGACTTTAGGTTTGCACTCCGTCAGTCTGTCCATCTGTCCGTCATTCCGGCAAATCAGCTTTCCACACTTTTTTTCTTCGTTCTTGAAGATATTGATTTGATATTTGGTATATAGTTTTATCATGACAAGTTATAGATCAAGTTCGAATTTTGTTCTGGTCTGATGATTAAGTACAGAGTTATGGACCATAACTCTGGACCATATCTAATGTTAGAGTACTATGTTAAACCATTATTTCTGTACAAAGGGAGATAAGTCATTTTTTAAAAGACATTCTTTGATAAATTATTTGAAGAATTTTTTGGCAAGTTTGTTTGTTATTTAGTATAAACTAATTTTCAGAATGTTATATATATATAAAAAAAAATTATGAAGAGAAATCCTTTAATTAGATAATAATCTTTTTTTATTAATGTATATATTTCAATACATTACATGGTGTAGATAAAAGTTGTTGACATTTTATAGATAAGTTACATATCTATATTAGTTTGTGACAAATGAAAGAAAAATTATTTGGAACTATTAATTATATTTGATTATAATTTGAAAATAGATATACACTGTATTACATCATATCTAATTTTAGAGAACTATTAATCATATCTAATGTTTTTTTCACTCATGTAATCAGTTTTCCACACTGTTTTTAGTCATGCTTGAAGATATTGACATGATATTTACTTTTTGTTTACACCATGACAAGTTATAGAACAAGTTAGCGTGTTCCAGTAAAATGAATTTTTTCCTGGTAGGGGACTATGTATTGCCATGCAATACTCTCAGAATGCTTGTTCTTCTTCATTTATATTTTAATCCCTTCTATAGATAGCTCCAATGGTTTTCTTGTTTTTTTTCTCCTTCTGGCAGCTCATGTATAAATGTATTTTTATTTTGAATTCATTATCTTCTTTTTCTATGAAAACCCTAATCCACTTTTTTTTCATAACTTATTTTAATAGCTGGTCAGTGGTCATAAAGTTATCAAATGATTCTATTGATTAACCACTGCCCACATGTTCTTATCTTGTATGAGTTATACAATTGCATTTGTTTACAGAACTAATAAACAAAACTCATTAACAGTGCAAGATATGGAAACACATTATTTTTCTGTGGTTTTGGAATATTAAGATTAAACAAAAATAACTGAAAATAAAATTTTAATAAAATGTTGTTGTTAACCGAAATTTAGAAGGAAAAATCTGTTATTGATTTGGGGATGTATGGCAGGCGGGCGGCTGCCAAACGGTGTCCTTTCATTAACATTAAAACGCTTTGACGAAATCTTTTCAAATTTAGATATGTTGTTTCCTGTGACTAAATGAAGGTCAAGTTCAATTTTCACAATTTTAGCTTTTCTCGTTGTTGAGTTGTAGACCTTTCAGTAGCCAAAAGTGATACATATTATATGATTGAGTTATTTCCCTTTGAACAGAAATGGTGTAATTAATAAGTATATTGATAGATAGTCTATCAATGATTGTATCTGTTCAATTGGTTTAGTCAGGAGTTGTCAAAAATTTCTTTATATTTTTTTTTGAAGTCGTGTGTTTTGAAGGTAGACGTCACAGTTGTTATGTGGTATTTTATTTTTGTTGTGTGTGTTAATGTTTAATTTTTACTTGATCCTGTTTGGGGGTCCAAATTTTCAAATATCATTTTTCATTAGATAATAATCTATTTTTATTAAAGGATATATTTCATTACATTACATTGTGTAGATAAAGTTGTTGACATTGATAGATAAGTTGCAGATCTATATTAGTTTGTGACAAATGAAAGAAAAAATATTGGGAACTATTAATTATATATATAAAGTTTGATTACACTAAGTGGTAAATATCAATCACACAATTATAATTGGAGTGACAGATTTATTTGAACATTTTCTGTTTCCTAAGTGTTGTTGATGATAAGCTCTGTAGGATAGTATAAATATAGTGTGAAATTTACTCTTCATTATTAGACATTTTGAAGATAATTACAGATAAGTTTTATAGATTTTTAAAAGACATTGTATTAATGACAAATGATATTTTGGATTATTTTTTCTTTTCTTTGGTTAATTGTTTGAAGAATTTTGTGGTAGGTTTGTTTATTCTGTATAAAATAATTTTCTGAATGCTATATAAATTTTTTTTTGATGAAGCGAACTCCATTAAAAACTAAGCTTATATTGTCTATTAATAAACATGTATTTAGATTTCTGATTTTGGGCCCAGTTTTCAAGTTGGTCCAAATCGGGATCCAAAATTAAACTGTGTTTGATTTCAAAATAAATTGAATATATATATAGGGTTCTTTGAAATGCTGAATCTAAAATTTTGGATTTTTGGGCCCAGTTATCAAGTTGGTCCAAATCAAGGTCCAGAATTAAACTTTGTTCGATTTCCATAAAAATTGAATTTATGGGGTTCTTTGAAATGCTGAATTTAACCATGTATTTAGAGATTTTGGATTTTTGGCTCCTTTATCAAATGGGTCCACATTGAGGTCCAAAGGGTCCTAAATTAATTTTTACTTGATCCTGTTTGGGGGTCCAGATTTGCAAATATCATTTTCAGGCAGGAAAATCCGGTTTGCCTGTCACTCAGACAGCCTCTTGTTATACGCCCGTTTACGTATTATGGTATACCTCTGTCCATCCGTCCGTCTGTCGCCAACATGTCGGACATTAACTCAAAAACGCTTTAACCAATTTGCATAAAACTTTGGTGAATTGTTTATATCTATTGACGTGAGCTTCCTTTCATTTTTTATAAATTTTAGATTTTACGTTTCCGAGTTAAGGGGTTTTATTCATTAAAAAAAGGGGGATTTTCCAGTTTTCGGACAATAACTCAAGAATGCTTTCACTAACTTGCAAGAAATTGTGGTGAATTGTTTATATCTATTGACATGAGCTCCCTTTCGATTTTTATAAATTTTAGATTTTACGTTTCCGAGTTACAGGGTTTTATTCATAAAAAAAGGGGGATTTTTCAGTTTTCAGACAAAAACTCAAAAATGCTTTCAGCAGTTCTTATGAAACTTTGGTGAATTGTTTATATCTTTTGATGTAAGCTCCCTTTAGAATTTTATAAATTTTGCATTTTACATTTCTGAGTTATGGGGTTTTATTCATTAAAAAAGGGGGATTTTCCAGTTTTCGGTCAATAACTCAAAAATGCTGTCAGCAATTCTCATGAAACTTTGGTGAATTGGTTATATCTATTGATGTAAGCTCCCTTTTGATTTTCATAAATTTGTAATATGACATTGAGAATTAATTGAACTTAATTTGTTTATAGTCTGAGAACAGATTTACTAAGTATTGCGCAACAGCACAGTGTATTGCACAACAGCAAGAAATCTTTAATTGAATATAAATTCAATTTATATAACCAATTTCAAGTTCTTTGACTACAATTATTCAGGAACCTATAATATGTCGAATATTTAATTACAATCCAAATTCAGACCTGTATCAAGCTTGAATATTGTGTCCATTCTTGCCCCAACTGTTCAGGGTTGGACCTCTGCAGGCGAATCCAGCTACGCTCAGCGAAGCAGTTTATTTTTGTATTGTGCTACCTTTAATAAATGGTTAATAACTGTAAATTCAGATATTATTCCAATGTTTTTATTAATGCGAACAATGTGACAGTATCAGGTTTCCAATAATGAAAAATCTTTTTCATAGTTTCAGTAATGACTTTCCATTCACAAAAAATTAGCAATCTGGCTTTTTTACTGGTAATCAGTGATTCGCAATAATAAATGCTCACATTAATTTCTGAATTTACAGCATCCGACTGGAACTTAAGTAAGTAGCAATGTTTTTACTTAGATACAAGGTTAATTTAAAGAAGATATTACTGGCTATTGGGAGCTGTAGGAATAAAATTTCACAATCTGAAGTGTTAAAACATTTTTGTGGTAGCAGACACTCTCTTATTGTATAGGAAATAGTAAATGTAAAACTTTACCGCTAGATCTATGTGTCAAAACTTGAATTCTGTTGATCAGCTATTTTTGGTATACAGGACAAATAGTGGTATCTTATAATTGTCACCTCACTGTTAAATCACTTTTGCTCTACAAGATTAATATATCCCTCGCTCTGAAGGAGGTAGGTATACTGTTTTACCCCTGTATGTCCATCAGTCCAATGAAATGTCTGAAACATTTTCCCCTGGAACTACAAATCAGTTTTTCCTGAACTTTTGTATCAGGTTTTTTGTGAGCATGCTGAACTGAGTGATGCTTACCTGTATTCAGATTCACCCTTCCTTGACTTGCTGTTATTTTCATGACATTTTTCCAGGTAACTAAATATATGAATGTTATGAAATTTGTTATAAGGCTTCATATGAAAATGCTTAACTGTGTGATGCATATTCATAATCATCATTCACCATCCTCCTATTAACCCAATCCTTATTTATTCTAACACACAATGGCTAGGTATGTAGTTTTCATCTCTGACATTTTTTTTGGAAACTTCAAATAAAAGTGTTTTTTTTTTGTTTTTTTTTTTTATCAAAGCTTCATGTTACCATGCAGTACCATGTGGTGCATTTTCATATCCATTGCTCTTCATCTTTCTGTTTACCAAATCCTTAAAAGTGGGGGTACCATTAGTGAGCTCACAGTTCTATTTGTTTTTAAAGTGCAAAAAAAGTTGTTAAAGTTATATTTTAACTTGTAACATATGGATGGCTGTATCCTTTGTACCACCGTGAAGACCAGGATATAGTGCCCCTAATATTTTGAGGTTGCATGGAGACACTGCTTTTTCATGCCTTTGTTATATTTTTGGTTTTCAGGAAAATGATAAATCATTATCATATTTGAATAGAAAAAATGAAAATAGATAATTTGTTGATTGATGCCTGTTTATGAGAACAAATGATCTGTTTACAGGGAAGTGTTCTGCTGCTGCACTGGATGTGTTAGCCAATGTCTTTCGTGATGACATATTACCAGTGTTATTACCTATATTGAAAGAGACATTGTTTCATAATTCGTGGGAAATCAAGGAATCAGGAATATTAGTGTTGGGAGCTATTGCAGAAGGTTGTATGACTGGAATGATTCCACACCTTCCTGAGTTGATACCATACCTGATCAGCTGTCTAGGTGATAAGAAAGCTCTAGTTAGATCTATAACATGTTGGACATTGAGTAGATATGCTCACTGGGTTGTAGGACAACCACATGAGCAGTATCTCAAACCATTAATGGAAGAGGTATGTTTTTTTTCTTGAATTTTGTATACTCATTATATTTTAGGATGAAAGATCTTTGAAAAACTTTTAATTATTTGAGAGGCAACTAGAGCAGGGGAATGTAACCTTCTGGAAAAGAAAGCTAGCTGTTAAAAACTTTTAAAAGAAACATTTCTGCCAAATACATTTCATATCTTTTTGAGGAACAGTATTGAAATTTTGTCTTTAAATAGAAGGACAAATAATATATTGATTGAAGAAAAAGAAAAAACAATTTCTGTTGAGGGGCAGTATACTGGTTTTCATCTGTCCATCTGTTGTCCATTTCATGAAATGTTCATCACATTTTTGCACAAAGCATCTTGAAATATGTGAGCATTAGCGTGTGATGTGTTCTAAGATACACCACTCATTAACTTCCTGTTTGCTGAATATTTATAACAGGAGTGTCATTAGTGAGCTTATTTGCTCACATTTCAAGTCACCTTGTTGCAATTGAGTAATAATGCATCTGAATTCTAATAAATATTGCTTAACTTACAAATTTATTGTGGTAGGAGAAGGGTATATCTTCAATCTAGTTTAAACATTCAAACAAATTATACATACAAAATATCTTTTTTCTTCAGTTGTTGAAGAGAGTATTGGATGCCAACAAGAGAGTACAGGAAGCTGCTTGTTCAGCATTCGCTACCCTGGAGGAAGAGGCCTGTACAGAACTGGTTCCTTATTTAGGCTTCATACTTGAAACTTTGGTGTTTGCATTCAACAAATATCAGGTTAATTATTTTTTGTTTAATATTTGACCCATTTAATTACTTTCATAATTAATGCAAATTAGACCATGAATTAAAATGAAAGAGGTTACTTTTGTCTACTATGTAAAAACATGTCCCATGCTTAACTTACAAGTCTTAGTTTGATAATGCATAAGTCATCATTGATTCTTACACTTAATTTTATTAAAATATATTTTACATGAGTACAACTAGGGCACAAGTATTGAATGCCATTGCTAACGTTCAGTGTTATACCACAAAAAGATAACCTTCTATAAAGTAAACATAGAAACTGACTATGTATTGAGCTACATTCATATGATGTTGAGGTAGGTTATTGGTTACATATTGATATTAATGGCAAAACAGAAATATTTGAGGGAGAAAATATAGAAAAAAAGATCTTGGTGATTTTTATGATGATAATGTCAATGTGACAAGAATGACTGATGGATGAATCATGTTTGTATTCGTACTGTCTGAAAAAAGCTGTCAAGATCTGTACATTTAACGCTTTACCTCATTTTTTCTTCAGATTACTTCTCATATCAAAAGTCTTTAAAAAATCAAAACAGTATGTGTTCCTATATTTAAGCAATATAAAAAAAGTTTGCAGACAATGATTTCATTTGCATAAAGAAAAACATCCTAAACTCGTCAAAAGAGGATAATAAAAAAATTTTGCTTTGAAATGCTGAATTTATCTTCCTTATTAATTTATTTGAATGGAGACACTAACTATGATTTCCGTATTTTTACAGCACAAGAACTTACTGATATTATATGATGCTATAGGAACTCTGGCAGACTCTGTAGGCCATCACCTTAACAAACCGGTAATTATTATAAATTTCAATAGTCTAGTTTTAGGTTCCTGTTATTTAGATACAATATAATGCACAATGATGTAGTTCATGTTTCAAACCTTTTCATGCAATATGGAGTTGTTCACATCAACTGTCTGCCATTTGTTTTCACTCAAAACAAAAACTGTTGGAGTACTCAATATATACATTTTTATACGCCCGTTTACAGGACGTATTATGGTATACCGTTGTCCGTATGTCGTCAACATGTCGGATAATAACTCAAAACTCTTAAAGCAATTTTCATGAAACTTCGGTGAATTGTTTTTTTTATTGACGTAAGCTTCCTTTCAATTTTTATAAATTTTAGATTTTACATTTACGAGTTATGGGATTTTATTCATTAAAAAGGAGGGATTTTCCAGTTTTTTGACAATAACTCAAAAATACCTTGAGCAGTTTTCATGCAACTTTGGTGACTGGTTTATATCTATTAAAATAAGCTCCTTTAAACTTTTTATGAATTTCTGATATGACATTGAGGACTTATGGAACTTTATTCGTTGAAAAAGTGACGGGCGTATTGTGCACTCATGGCGCAGCTCTTTATTAGTGGTAGATAAAGTGCACATTGGAATTGAACTTCATATTATTGAAATGTTGAAAGTGATCGAAATCAATTTTGTTGTATTGCTGAACCATGAAAATGTGTACATCATTAAATACTTCAGAGTTCAAACCCAGTCATAAATCGGATGAACCATGCATAATGCATAATGCTTTATGATCCAAGTTTTTTGTATGGAAAACAAAGTATTCATGAAAAAAGTAAGCCATTTTATATATCAACAATACCAGAGTGCATACTTTCATGGTATATTCTCATAACTTTCAGGAGTATGTCAACATGTTAATGCCACCACTCATAGAAAAATGGAATGTCCTGAAGGATGAAGACAAAGATTTGTTTCCTTTGTTAGAGGTATGAAAATATATATATAGATTTTCTTAAATGGATATATTCAAAGCAACTACATGTGAATGTAAACTTGATTTTAAAGTAGCCTGAAGTAAAAGTTTTCATCCATTTAGAGAGGAATATATCAACTATTTCAGTAGATAGCTTGATTTTTTAAGGGAACACTTATATATAGTGCTTATTTGCCGCCCTCCTGCAAATTGAAGAAAGTAAGGTTTGCACTCGGTCCGTTCATCAGTCTTTGGTAAGTTTTCCCCAACTTTTCCTTAATGCTTCTATGTAGTGATTAGAAATTTGGTATCTAGTTGGCCTGCAGCTGTTGACAAAATCTAAATCTTTAAATAAATATTCTGACCAAATCAATGATGTGTGGAAATTCTCAATTTCATTATTAACGACTTAGTCAAATATAAGTATAAACTCATTGTATGCAAAGATTACAACTAGTAGGAGACATTGTTGTGCATATGCAATACCCTCAGAATGCTTGTCTAAAAGATGTTTTTAAGGTTTATAAAATATATAATCATCTAAAACATTGTATAACTGTTTTGAGGGATGTTCATATCTGTGTTACTGTTACATTTATTCCAATGATCAAATGCTACTCTGTATATAATATGTTTTCTGTTTTAGTGTTTGTCCAGTGTAGCTACAGCTCTTCAGTCTGGTTTCCTGCCATACTGTGAACCAGTCTACAGAAGATGTGTGTCTCTTGTAGAACAGACATTGAACCAAAATTTTGTAAGACATCATTCATTCTTACTAGCTTTATTAAAATATATTTTTTTATTAGTATTGAAAATAATAAAGTTTGAATATAGAAGTAAAAGCAATCTGCACTATACTGGCATAAATATTGAATGCCATTGCTAATAATCAGTGTTGTAATACAAAAATACAAAAGATAAACTTCTATGAAGTAAACATTGAAAATTAATATGAATTGAACTATATTCATTTGTAATTGAGGTGCATTATTCGTAAGATAGTGAAATAAACTGCAAAATGCAAACAGAAATTGAGAGAGAAAAAAATTGAAAAAAATGATCTTGGTGATTTTTATGATGATAATGTCAATGAGACAAGAATGACTGATGGATGAATCATGTTTGTATTCGTACTGTCTGAAAAAAAAGCTATCAAGATCTTTACATTTAACGCTTTACCTTATATTTTCTTCATATTAATACGAGGATTGTATATCATGTAATTTTAACATTGTCCTATGAGCATTTACATTTGTCTGGTATCAAAAAGTTTTAAAAGATCAACATATGTTCTGATATGAAAGAGAAAGTTAAAAACCAGAGATAACTTTTCAAGTGCATTATAAGCAGGAAAGGTCTAATGATGGTTATGCGTATATAGATTGGAGGATTTTGTTTGTAGCGCCACAGTTATGGTGTCTTGCAGGCTAACCAAACCCAACCAGACCAAGTAGATCCTCCAGATAAAGACTTTATGATAGTGGCATTGGACCTGTTAAGTGGACTAGCTGAAGGACTAGAACACCATATAGATTCCTTAGTAGCTAATAGTAACATCTTGAAATTACTGTATCAGTGTATGCAAGTGAGTTGATTCAAAGAATATGAAATGACTTTGGTGACAAGATTTAAGAAAAAGGTTTAGTAGTCAAAAGCTTCTGTGTGGTTTTCACTTTATTTCCAAGCAGATGGAATTTAAAAAATAACAAATAATAGTTAGACATGGACTTCCTCAAATTCTTGGTGGGTCTATAGTGAACTATGTTCTGGAGATATTGGGGAAGGCCTTTGAATAATTTGTCTTAATTGAAGCGTGTTCAACCAAGTTAAAACATAGCAGCTTAGATATGAAATCACTTTAACTTTGCTGTAAACCAAAATAAGCCTAGCGTTCTCTCCCAGAAATGATAGCTTGTAACTTTGATTTTTTCATCACATATGAAATTTATATTTTAAGTGTTTGCATTTCCAAATCAGGCAGAACAGAATTATATATTGCCTTTTTTGTTAAAATTATTTTTAGGATTGAGTATTGTTATTCATATTTGCAGTAACTATTTATTTGTTGAATTGTTTAATTTGTTCTCCTCTTGAACATACATGGAAAATTCAAAATTTGAACATCAAGTTCAGATTTTATGAATGAATTTTCTACTTAACACCTGATACTTTACATATAGGATTTATCTCCCTTTGACTGTTCAGACTCGCAAAAAAAATTAAAGCGTATTGATGACTCTCATCTCAATCATATAATCATAGTCACCAAGACGCATGCGTCACCCTACCAAATCAGTTTTATTTTCTGGTCATTATACCAAATAACCATAGAAAAAATATACTAAGTGGGGAGGTAGGGCGGGCAATTTCTCAGGTGGTAAGTAGAAAATTCATTCATAAAATCTGAACTTGATGTTCAAATTTTGAATTTCATTTCATTCATTTTCTACTTACCACCTGATACTTTACATATAGGATTAGATTACAAAGCCTTACCTTCCATTGGAGGTTGGGTAATTTTTCTATGGCTCTGCATATCTTTTCTTCTCTCTCCTTATCTCAGTAGATGTTCAATTTTCTATTTACAACTGTACATATTTACAATGTTCTTTTTTTTCTATTTTTTTAAATTTTTTTTTTTTTTTTTTTTTTTTTACTGCATCCAAGCAGAAACAATAAATTTTAAATTGTCTTTTTAGTTAAAACTTTCACATCCACATTTCTAAAGTAAAAGTTGTATCTGTCGACCAATCTGCCGATTCAAGAATACTTTTCATGCTTGCTCCATTAAATAGAGCCCATGATGGTCCAATCGCTCTAGTGGAATGTGCATTCACTTTAAAATCATCATCTCCATAGGCCATTTTAATCGTATTTACAATCCATCTTGCAATGGTCTGTGAAGAAACAGGTTTAAAAGGTTTCACTAAGGATAAAAACAATTTGCCTTCATCTTTTCTCACTTTCTCAGTTCTCTTTAAATAGATGGCAATTGCTCTCTTTGGATCCAATTTCTTATTGTCTTTAAAACATGGTACAAAAATTTTTGAACCATAATGATTCTGTCTGTCCTGTTTAGACAATCCAGGTCTTAAAAAAGTAATACCTCTACTTTGAATATTGACAAAGCCCTCTCCAATCCTTAACGCTTGAAGGTCTGAGCATCTCCTGAACGTCGTGATTGCTGTAAGAAAAATAACTTTATAAGTTACAAATTTAATCTCAGCTTCACGTAAAGGTTCAAAAGGTGATTTTTGTAACATGTCTAGAATTTTATGCAAATCCCATTCAGGTACTAATTTCACTTTTGGTGGTCTTGAATTGAATACCCCTTTTAGCAATCTAATAATATAAGGATGTTGACCAATGGGTATATTGTCAATAGGTGATAAAAGTGATGAAAGCATTGACCTATATCCCGCAATAGTGCGATATTGTAAACCTGATGTATACAAAGATGTAAGAAAATCTGCACAATCTGCTAGATTTGCTGTATAGGGATCTTTTTACCTCTCACTACACCAGCAATTAAACTTTTTGAATTTGCTTGTGTAATCTTGTTTTGTACCAGATCTCCAGGATGCCCTGAGTATCTTTCTAGTGTCTCGTGAAAAGCCTTTATCTCTGAAATTTCGGTTGATAACAGCCATGCTGTTAACTTGAACACTTCTGGGTTTGGATGATAAATTTGTGTTTTTGGTTGATGTAGAAGATTTTTTAGTAAAGGAATGTTTATTGGTTTTGCTATTGACTTTTGTAGAAGTTCTGTGTACCAATGTCTTCTTGGCCACAGTGGAGCAATTAGTATTATCCGACATTTGTACTGACTCATGTGTTTCAGAACTTTTGGTATTAGGCAAATTGGTGGAAACGCATATGCCCACATGTTCTCCCACGAAATTGTCAATGCATCTACTGCTAGGGCCTTGAAATGCGGAATCCAAACACAAAACACTGGTGCTTTGTGATTGTCTCACGATGCAAACAAGTCGATCATTGGATTCCCCCATATTGAAAAATTGTTTGAACCACTTGATCGTTCAGTGTCCATTCTGTTGGGAATATTTTGTTGCGTGACAACTGATCCGCTAATATATTCTTTTGACCTGCTATGTGAGCTGCCCTTAGAACTATTTTGTTTTTGATTGCCATTTTCCACAAGTCCCAAGTCTTGTAGCATAGATCTATTGATCTGGTGCCCCCTTGTTTGTTCACATATTGAACTACTGTCGTATTGTCGCTTTTGATCAGAACATTTTGTCCCTGTAACTGAGGTAGAAAATGTTGTACTGTGCGATGTACTGCATCTAACTCTAGAATATTGATGTGTAATGATTGTTGGGTTTCTGTCCATTTGCCCTGAAAAATCTGACCCCTCATGTGACCCCCAAAACCTGTTTTGGAAGCATCTTTGGTTATTGTTATATTGGCTGACCACTGGTGAAGTGATCTGCCCTTGGCTGTGTTGGCTCTGTCTAACCACCATATCAAATGACTTTTTAGGTGTAGTGTAAATGGTATTTGACATAGTAGGTCTTTTGACGAGGGTTTCCAGAAATGTAGTAAATGTAACTGGATAGGCCTCATAAAAAGTCGAGCATTTGGGATCATTTCTATGCATGATGCTATTAAACCCAATAGAACCAGATAATCCCTTGCTGTGTTGTGCCCTGTCATTAAATTTTGAATTGACATTTCTAATTTGGTCAGTCTCTCTGAAGTTGGTGACACAATTTCCTTTTTGAAATTGAAAAGTGCTCCTATGTATGTTATTGACTGAGCTGGGATCAATGATGATTTTTCTAGATTGACAATGAACCCTAACCTTTTTAAAAGATTCAGTGTTTTCTCTCGATCTAATACAAGACTGTATTTCTGCATATTTACTAGTAACCAATCGTCTAGATATGTCGCTAGCCTTACATTCTGAATTCTTAAATGAGCGGCTATTACTGTTACAATCTTTGTAAACACCCTTGGAGCTTGAGATGGGCCGAAACATAGTGCTACAAACTGATACATTTTGCCCTGTATACAGAAGCGTAGGTATTTTCGATGTGATTTGTGAATGGGTACATGTAAATATGCATCCTTCAGATCGAGAGACAAAGCCCAATCTTGAGGTTTTACTAAATTTAGGACTTTTGTCAAAGTGTCCATTTTGAAGTGCTGCTTCACTAAATACTGGTTGAGGGGTTTCAGGTTGATTACTGGTCTCAAGTCCCCCGTTTTCTTGGGAACTAGAAAAAGAGTACTGTAAAAACCTTGACCTATTTCGGATTGAGGTACTGTCTCTATTGCACCCTTTTCTAACAATGCGTCTACCTCTGATAAAATAATAGGAAGACTCTGTGTATTGACTTGTGTCTGCTTTATACCTGTCCAATGAGGTTCTGTCTGAAATTCCAACTTGAGACCTTCTTTTAGAATTTTTAAAATCCATTTGTCGTCTGTTATTTTTTCCCATTCTCTTACAAAAAACCTCAACCGTCCCCCCACCGGTATCTGGGGAAGCAGCGCTAAAATCTTGGCGTCAGGAACAATACTTATTTTTGGCATTAGAAGAAAAACTTACCCAAGGTTTATTTGTTGAGTTCTGCTTTGCTGTATATGTAGCTCCTGACTTGAAATCAGCTGCCGGTTTCTTTGGTATTTTGAACTCATTGTCAAATTTCCCTTTCTTAAAACCACTGTCATTTGTTTCATTGGTACTGGTTACTTTCCTCTTCATAGGAAGAGAGCTAGGTACCCTTTTTAAATTCGGTAAACACTCAGCAAGTTGTTTATTTCTCTCTGTCTTTTCCTTAAGTTTCTCGTCAAATTGAGAACCAAATATTCCCTCAGAAGTAAGAGGTAAAGACATCACAGTATTAGCATAATCTTTTAAATCACTAAGTCCTGTCTCATACATTGTTGCTCTTCGCCTAACCATATGGTGAAAAGAACCAGTCCTAGACATTTGATCGAATGTTTTTGTAGATAACGCAAAAATGTCTCTCACATTTTGCACAGCACCATCTAAATTAGGTGTATCAGACTGTAAATTGTCCAATAAAATACCAAGTGCCTGTTGTGTATAGCAAGATGTTATCAAACCCATTCTTGCCGCTAATTGTCCCTGATATGCAATTTTCTCTAAAGACTTCAACTCTTTCCTAAATAAACAAGGAACTCTAAAGCTGCTTTAGGTCCAAATCTCTTGACTAACAAACTCTCTACGGTATTGTCAAAAGTAGGCACATTGAAAAAATTTTCACAGCTAGTGTCTACTGGAAAACTTTGTCTATAACTGTCTCGAAAACAAGTTACCTTCTGAGAAGTATCTGACCTCCATGCCCCTTTCAAAATATCAATTTGATTCTGTTCTAATATGATACCAGTCTTGTCTTTGGAGCGATATGCATAAGCATCTTCTCCAAACTTTTCTCCTAGAACATTACATCTAGTTTTCTGATTAGAGTCTGTTGTACTAGTAGCTGTACTTGTATTCTCAGGTTTGTTACCCAAATACCTTTGAAACCTTTCAGTAGATTTTACACCTTCAAGATCCAGTAATGATCTATTGTCTATACTAGATGCATATTCTGAATGTTCAGATGCATTTTCACTGAACATAAAACCACTATTTTGTCTTTCATTGTCTGACACACAAATTGACAAAGTATCTAAATTCCCGTGATTTGGCTGCTCATCAGCAGATATCAGGGGTAATATTGGTCTGCGAGCTGCACTACATGCCTCGTCTGTGACCGTTACAGTTTCTGACCTAGCAACCCCCAGCTTCGGGTTCTGTATGCCTTTCAACTGCCAAAATGTTCACTAGTTGACCTAACTTTTCATTCAAAGATGAATATTGTTGCTCTTGCTCAGCAAACTTAGCATTCATACGACCTTCTAAGTCATGAACATCGTCTTTTTTCTTTGAAGACCTTTTCTTACCGCTACGGTTTTGTTTCTTTTCGTCCGCCATGTTGGAAGTTTCTGACATAACAGAAGCGCTTTCTTCATCTGCTACAATATCAGAGCCTTCACTTCTCATTCTGCCACGTTTTAAATCAAATCTTGAAACAACAGAAGTTGTTCAAGAACGTCTGAACTCTTTCGCGCAGAAAATAAAACTGATTTGGTAGGGTGACGCATGCGTCTTGGTGACTATGATTATATGATTGAGATGAGAGTCATCAATACGCTTTAATTTTTTTTGCGAGTCTGAACAGTCAAAGGGAGATAAATCCTATATGTAAAGTATCAGGTGGTAAGTAGAAAATGAATGAAATGAAATTAGAAACTGGAAGTGAAGCAAAAAACAATTAAATCCATTTATCAACAATTTTTATGTGCAAAAAATAAAGCCATGAACATGTCTCTATTACCGTAGTTGTACTTTATATGGTTGGAATATTACCTGATGGATGTTTTCTACCATCTTTTAATATCTACATTGACTTTTGATGATGACTTTTCATACCTTATGATTGTAATAAATGATTGTATTGGTATTCGTACTGTCTGAAAAAGTTAACTTAAATTTTATATGGAAACTGCATTAAAAACAAACATTTGTTCATAGAAAATTAAATTCCTAATTACAGGATCCTATGCCAGAAGTACGACAGAGCTCATTTGCCTTGCTTGGTGATTTGACAAAGGCTTGCTTTCAGCATGTTAGACCTTGTATTGGTGAGTCAACAATCAATTGGTGAATCAAGATGGAGATAAAGTCATCTCCAGAATAAACTTTTTATGTTTAAAAATAAAAAATTACATATCCAAGTAAAGATTGATATAAATCTTGATAAAACTGTACAGACATATTTTATTGAAATTGATGCATACAATAAATGCAAAAGTTTGCTGTTAATTTAGCTTCTTATGTTTTATTTTCACTCCTCTGTTGTCTTTATTTACATGTGTCAAATAGACATCTTATTATCAATATTAAAGTAACTTTCTGTTTAACGCATGCGATTCTTTTTTTAGGGGAATTCATGCCAATCCTTGCAGCAAATTTAAATCCTGAGTTCATATCTGTGTGTAACAATGCTACATGGTCGATTGGAGAGATTTCAGTTAAAATGGGTATGTCATTGAAACAAATTTTATTACAAGATGTATCTTATCAAAAAAGGAACTAGTTTATTACAAGTGTAAGGTCATGGTAAATAAGACTGAGGACTGCATACTTAATATCATGTGATAGAGTGCAAAAATATGTAACAACATGAAATAAGATGATTTGGTATGATTGCCAATGAAACCAGTTTTCATATTAAAAGTATTAGATAAGTTAAGATTATGTTCACCTTATGAAAAATTAGAAATTCAGTTTTATATAGAGGATCACTATTAGTGCTGTTTTCACACACTCAAAATGAAAGTTTCAAGAATTTCACTAATAAAGAAATACTTATTAAAAAACAATGAAGTTGTTGCTAAAATAGCCATTTGTAATGGTAGGAATTTTTTTTACAGGTATATCAACCGTTAATAATAATAATAATAATTTAATTAATGGAACAGGAAACGACATGCAGCCCTATATTACCATGGTGATAAGTCCACTTGTAGATATTATAAACAGACCTAACACACCAAAGACATTGTTAGAAAACACAGGTACGTAACTTCCGAAAAATGGTAATTTAAAACTTTTTATACATCATTAAAAATAAAAAAAAGTCTTAAATTAAGTTTTACCTAAATAATATTTCTGGTATCTGCATTGCTGAAATTTAGACATGAAAAATTAGGAAATTTTCTTCACATTGATCCTCATGCATGCATTCTCATGATCATTTTTGTAATTTTTTCCTGTGTTCATAATTTCATAAAAAAAAAAAACTGCTTAAAAACACAGTGCACAGTTAATGTGAAACTTGAAAGATGGGATTTTTTTTCCTTATATATTGTCTAATTTTATTTACGTAATAAATTATTTTGTTTGAGCTTTTGTAGTTGTTGTTAAAGGAACTTGTGTTCAATTAGACAAGAAATTTTTTTTTGAAAAAAGTACTTGAATACATTGTATTGTATTAAATTTTAGAAGAGATTGATTGAAAAGGTTCCTCTCAACTTAAAACTACATGGTTCACAGATACATTTCAGAAATTGTTTAGTGAGATAATTTTCACTTTAAATATTTGAAAAAGAGTTTAAAAATGGATTCAAAATATTTTTCATTCTTTTAATGCTATCTTAGAATTTTGAAGGTGTTGCCTTATCGGACATAGTCGCCTGTTTATTAACCTTTATTATTTCTGGAATGTGTCTGAATGTTCAATGATGTTGAATTAACTTTGGCTTTATAGCTGTTGGTAAATGGTATATGATATTATAGACATCAACAAAATTCTTCAGAAGTTGTCTCCTCTTTGATCAATAGATTGTTATTTTATCATAGATAAATCTAACTTAAAGTGTAATGCTGAAGATATTTTTTCTCTTTCGTGTAACTGGAATATTTACCTAATTTTGATTTTGAATTGAAAATTCCTACTGGAAAGATTTTTCAGACATTTTTCTTGAAAGATTTTATGTCCTTAGTCACCTACTGTGCAAGACGCTCATGGGTAGACAAGGTTATTAAAAAAAAACCTGGTCTTAGTGAAACATCTGAAGGGTTTTTATATGTACATTATTTGTGTCATTTTGATTAGAAGTACAGTATTCAAAAATTTATATGTACACTTTTTCTATGTATTGTTATTTATTTTTGTAGAATATTTACACCATTTCTGACTTAGAGATGACATTATAAATACACAGCTAGACATAATCCTTAATAATAACTGCACTTAGTATGAAATTAATATATGTAGAAATCATACAGATGACAGACTGCCAAATTTTGTTATTTTGAACTCATTAGATCCAAACTAAAATTTATACATGTTCAATGGCTGATATTGAAGTTAATTTGAATAGATTTTTTATACGACCGCAAAAATTAAAAAATTTTTGGTCGTATATTGGTATGACGTTGGCGTCGTCGTCGTTGTCGTCCGAAGACACATTGGTTTTCGCACTCTAACTTTAGTTTAAGTGAATGGATCTCCATGAAATTTTACCATAAGGTTCAATACCACGAAAGGAAGGTTGGGATTGATTTTGGGGGTTATGGTACCAACAGTTAAGGAATTGGGGGCCAAAAATAAGCATTTTTGTAACTTTCAGACAATAACTTGTGTGTAAGTGTATGGATCTCTCTGACATTGTACCACAAGGTTCCATATCACAAAGGGAAGGCTGTAATTGATTTTGGGGGTAATTGCCTCCAAATTTTAGGAATTAGGGGCCAAAAAAGGGGAAAAAAACAAGCATTTTTCTAGTTTCATGACAATAACTTGTGTGTAATTGTTTGGATATATCTGAAATTGTACTACAAGGTTTCATATCACAAAGGGAAAGCTGGAATTGAGTTCGGGGGTAATTGCCTGAAACGTTTAGTAATTGGGGGCCAAAAATAAGCATTTTTCTAGTTTCAAGACAATAACTTGTGTTCAAGTGTATGGATCTCTCTGAAATTGTACTGCAAGGTACCATACCACAAAGGGAAGGCTAGGATTGAGTTTGGGGGTGATGAATCATAAGGGGGTTCAAAAAATTTGGGGGGGGGGGATTTTTTTTTTTTTCTTTTTTTTTCTTTTTTTCCTTTTTTTTTCTTTTAAAATTTTCCATTTTAAGTTGGTTATTTCTGATTTATATTTAAAAGCAAATAATAATGATATGGTAGGAGATACACACCAAACAGGATGTGTAAATTTTTATATAATAAGTATTGTGCAATAGCAAGAAATTTTCAATTGCACAGTATTGCACAATAGCAAGAAATCTTCAATTGCACAGTATTGCGCAATAGCAAGAAATCTTCAATTGCACAGTATTGGGCAATAGCAAGAAATATCCAATAGCACAATATTGCGCAATAGCAAGAAATTGTCAATTGTACAGTATTGCGCAATAGCAAGAAATATTCAATTGCACAGTATTGTGCAAAAGAAGATACTTCTTATAAATTGCTTATTTCTTGATCAATTTCAATGGGGTTTTATTCTTGAATTCTTGGGGTTCTTTAATATGCTGAATATAACCGTGTATTAAGTTTTTGGATTTTGGGCCCCATTTTTAAATTGGTCCACATTGAGGTCCAAAGGGTCCAAAATTTAACTTTGTTTGATTTCATCAAAAATTGAATTATTGGGGTTCTTTGATATGCCGAATCTAACCGTGTATTTAAATTCTTAATTTTTGGTTCCGTTTTCAAATTGGTCTACATTAAGGTCCAAAGGGTCCAAAATTAAACTTAGTTTGATTTTAACAAAAATTGAATTTTTAGTGTTCTTTGATATGCTGAATCTAAACATGTATTTAGATTTTTGATTATGGGCCCACTTTTCAAGTTGGTCCAAATCGGGGTCCAAAATTAAACTTTGTTTGATTTCAACAAAAATTGAATATATGGGGTTCTTTGATATGCTGAATCTAACCATGTATTTAGATTTTTGGACCCCGTTATCAACTTTGTCCACATTGAGGTCAAAAGGGTCCAAAATTAAACTTTGTTTGATTTCATCAAAAATTTAATTCTTGAGGTTCTTTGATATGCTGAATCTAACCATGTATTTAGATTTTGGATATTGGACCATAATAGGTGAATGTCCAATTTAAAATTTTTAAGTTCTTAGACCACATTCATTCTCTGTCAGAAACCTATGCTGTGTCAAATATTTAATCACAATCCAAATTCAGAGCTGTATCAAGCTTGAATGTTGTGTCCATACTTGCCCCAACTGTTCAGGGTTCGACCTCTGCGGTCGTATCAAGCTGCGCCCTGCAGAGCATTTTATTTCAAGTTGTGTCCCTAATCCATGAACATATGAAACATTGTTAATTTCATATAGCTAAATAATAACTATGCAAGATCTGAATTTTTGTACTATCAATTTTTTTTTTTTTAATGACTGGTTTTCTGGACCTTCATGAATGCTGCAAAAAATAGACGAAATTTATGATAACAAGCACAGAAAAGCTTAATCATGATCATATATTAAACTGTTGACATATTGTATTAAAAAGAAGACCTAAGTGACAGAAAATTCAACCTTGACATATTTTATAATATATTTTATTTGCTTGTATCGTTTTGTTGATTTGTTGTCTTCTCTGTTTTTCTTCCCTATTCATTGCCCTCGTATTGTTATGACGACGACAACTCTTAGCGATAACAATTGGTCGCCTTGGTTTAGTCTGCCCACCAGAGGTTGCTCCTATGTTACAGCAGTTTATTCGGCAGTGGTGTGTAACTTTTTATTTATTTCTCTTTTGCAATCAGTTTCAGTCCTGTCTATTTTCTGCATAAGTTTGGGGAAGTTATATTTTTGACCTTAAAAATTTGAAATAGAAAAAAAAACTTAATTTTTTTTTTTATGAGATTATATCTTCATATAGGATTTGATCTGGCAGAAAATGGACAGAAAATTTGAAATTGATTTCAAATCATTCTATTCTTATTATGTTAAGTCATATTTGCAATATTTATTTACAATATTCATACTTTTAGATAAATGTTATATTCTCCAAAGTAGATTGAATTTATGTGTTTTAAAGTTTTACCCCTGTTTCGGCATGTTATGTAAAATTTGCTTGAGCTTAATTTACAGAAGTTTTATTATTAGATTTATTGCTATTTTATTGATTAACATACACTACAGATATAAACATATACTCTCTATCACTGTAAACTTCACATGGGAGGGGAGGGGGTAAACATTTCACGAGGACAGGGAGTTACTAGTTTTGGAAATTATTAAATTTTGTTTAAAATAATTTTACCACAAAACTTGTACATGTAGTTATATTTCATTGTCCCATTTGCTTCTGCTTGGCTAACAATATGTACAGTCAATTGACAAAGCAGAAATTAATTATCATGGAAATCTCACTTTACTAAAAAATGATTAGGCCTTATAAATGTGGTATGTAATTTGTGATTGTCTAGTTTTTTGTGTGTTTGGTGAGGAAGCATGGAAGTGTTTTGGCATATCACTTTGTACATTTCTGCACTACTGTAGTGTTGTCAAATTAACCATTTATTTATCAAAACATGTTCAATTTTATTTATTAGATTTCTCATATTCATTATTACGTAACTTTTGCACAAAGAGCACACATTATTTATTTTTTGAATGGGTTTTAGGTGTAGTTCTCTAAGAAACATTCGTGATAATGAGGAAAAGGATTCTGCATTCCGAGGCGTTTGTCAGATGATTAATGTGAATCCAGGGGGAGTTATTCAAGACTTTATATTTTTCTGTGATGCAGTTGCTTCCTGGTCACAACCAAAAGCTGATTTGAAAGAAATGTTTTATAAGGTATGGTTACAATTATCCATTTCATGATTTGCTTTAACCAGAAATTTAGTTGCATTAAAAATACACATTTCAAAATAAATAAATCAAGATGAAGGGTATATTTCAATGAGAAAGCAACCCACCCAACAGCACAATGAATATGAAAAGGACATATATTTTTCAACAAGATTCTGTAAGCAGGATTCAGAAATGATTATTAAATCATGTATTAGATGATCTTTATTTGATGTGATCAGATGTATACCATGATCTGAATCCAGTTATAGATTTTTCTCTCAACTTGGTGCATACATTATTTATAGTGGACAAATGTTTGTGCTGCATGACAAACTCTGAATTGCACTGATATGACAAAGCTTAAATCAGTCATCATCGAAGTCTTCCTTTAGAAATGATGGTGACTTTGATATTCAAGAGGAATGAAAAAATAATTTGTAGAAAGGCTCCCTTCTATGTTCTGTGTTCCTTTTAGTCCTTGAAATGTGTACGGTTTGCTATTGATATACAACTTGGAATAAACACCTAAGAAAAATTTCGGAATGAAATATTGATTGAAATATTTGTAAATATTAGGTAGTAGTCTCTTTTGTTTGTAGATTTTACATGGTTTTAAGAATCAAGTTGGAGAGGAAAACTGGACAAAGTTTTCTGATCAGTTTCCTCAGCCTCTCCGTGAGAGGCTAGCCGTTCAATATGGAGTGTGACTCAAGACTTCCAAAAGTAAGTATGATCAAAACAGATTTAATGAACCAGTATATGAATACATAAATGGGTAGGTTCGTTCACATTAAAAAGAAATACAAAAACATTCAAACCATTAACTGTTAATAGTATTCAGAAATGATTATTAAATCATGTATTAGATGATCATTATTTGACGTGATCAGAATTGTACGATGATCTGAATCCAGTTATAGATTTTTCTCAAATGTGTGATATTCTTATTGCCACATGGTCAGTCCATGGATATTTTCTGATTTCCCCCCTCCATGATTATGTCAGATGTCATTTTATAACCTCAGTAAAAATAGTACTCTGTATAAATAGACAGGGAAGCAGTTGGTAGTTAACACTTAATTGTCAGCTTTAGGGAGTATATTAGCTTGTCCCCATAACTCCTACAAGTTTTTAGCTGGAATTTTATTATTTTGCTGAATGTGTTAGGACAGGATACTGGAGGTATGGGATATTGTCTGGGTCTGGAATTTTATTATTTTGCTGAATGTGTTTGGACATACTGGAGGTATCGGATATTGTCTGGACCTGGATTTTAGTGAACTATTCACACAAAGTGTTGGGTAGTTGAACTTGGTTAATATATGTTCTATTTTGAAAATATGGTGGTGCACTGATTGCTCAACTTCTACAGTTTTCTAGCTTATTATTTTAAAAATTTAACACAATGTTTATGCACATACTCGAGGTATGCCTATTGTCATGATTTTGATTTTGTGAATTATTGACCAACCAGTATATGAATACACAAATAGGTAGGTTCATTCACATTAAAAAGAAATACAAAAACTTAATCATTATTTACTATTAACAGGATTCAGAAATGATTATTAAATCATGTATTAGATGATCATTGTTTGATGTGATCTGACGTTTACCATGATCTGAATCAAGTTATAGATTTTTCTCGCAACTTGGTGCATTAGCACATTCTAAACTCTTGATTTACCTATGTGACTGAAAAAGGATCTAAATATATGTTATATTCAAGCGAGTCCATGGTTATTTTGTTGGTTTTATCCACCATTTTAATGTTAAATTGTTATTTTCATGTCATTAGAACAAATAGTATGGGGAGGGGTAGCTAGTTAACACTTAAATGTGTGCTTTAGGAGTATACTGATTTTTGCTGAACCCCTTCAGTTTTTGAACAAGGATAGTTATTTTGCAGAATGTTGTTCTGTGCACAACTTGAAGGGCTCACATCAGGATTTTTATATTAGTGAATTATTCACAAAATGATAAATAGTTGAACTTTGTCAGCGTGTGTTCAAAGGAGTAGGTCCAGTAAGACCCCTTTTTGGCCCCAAAATATAGCAGTTTTACAAAATAGTTAAATGTAAACTTTTAGTTATTTATTGGAAAGTAGAATGCTTCTGCTACATAAATATGGACTTTTTTTGACAGTACAATGCACATATATCGGGTACTAGCTTCATTAAGTCATGCTAAATTACTGAAATCTTCACAATTTTAGCATTTTAGTTAAATTTTAGACGGTTTCCGTCTTAAATGAAAGTGGCCGCATTTGTGTTCATTCTTAATATTGAAATGTAAGTTGTATTTGATGATAATACATAACATATATAAAGGTTGAGGATGAACACGGATGCGGCCACTTTCATTTTTGACAAAAACCATCTGAAAAGTGACATTTTTTGGCATATTTGATAGATTTTTATACGACCGCAAAAAAATTTTGTTGTCGTATATTGGTATGACGTTGGCGTCGTCGTCCGTCGTCGTCGTCCGAATACACAATGGTTTTCGCACTCTAACTTTAGTTTAAGTGAATGGATCTCTATGAAATTTTACCATAAGGTTCAATACCACAATAGGAAGGTGGGGATTGATTTTGGGGGTTATGGTACCAACAGTTAAATAATTAGGGGCCAAAAAGGGGCCGAAAATAAGCATTTTTGTAACTTCCAGACATAACTTGTGTGTTATTGTATGGATCTCTTTGACATTGTACTACAAGATTCCATATCACAAAGGGTCGATGATGGGATTGATTTTGGGGTTAATTCCCTCGAAATTTTAGGAATAAGGGGCCAAAAGGGGGCAAAAAACAAGCATTTTTCTAGTTTCATGACAATAACTTTTGTGTAAGTGTATGGATCTTTCTGAAATTTTACTACAAGGTTCCATTTCGCAAAGGGAAAGCTGGAATTGAGTTTTGTGGTAATTGCCCAAAACGTTTAGTAATAAGGGGCCTAAAAAGGGGTGAAAAATAAGCATTTTTTAGTTTCTAGACAATAACTTGTGTTCAAGTGTATGGATCTCTCTAAAATTGTATTACAAGGTACCATACCACAAAGGCAAGGCTGTTATTGAGCTTGGTTTGGGGGGGAAGGGGGGGGGTGATGAATCATAGGGGGGGGGGATCAAAAAAGGGGTAATTATTTTTTTTCGTTTAAGGAATAAGGGGAAAAAAGGTTAAAAAACTAGGGTTTCCATTTTAATAGACAAATAATTGAGTAAAGAACATTATTTAAAAGCAGTGTAAGGTTGGTAATTCAAACTCATTTAAATATCTCACCTGCACTATGTTTGAATTATGTAAATTGGAAATTTGCCAATTATTTTAGTATAATAAACTTCATTGGAAATTTGCCAATATAAAATTTTGCTGATGAAGGTTTTTTGTTTACCTTTAGTCTGACTATGATGTCATTTTCTATTCTAATAGCCTTATGATGTAGTTAAATTTTTTTTAATACTTTTATGATGTATTTTAATGCGCTTTTATGGTTGCAAATTTATTGTTTTAATATAATAAACTCCATTGGAAATTTACCAATAGTTTGTTTATTTTTAGCTATAAAATAAGTGGCCGAAAAAGGGGGCAAAAATAAGCATTTTTTTAGTTTCCAGACATTAACTTGTGTTCAAGTGTATGGATTTCTCTGAAATTGTACTTAAAGGTACCATACCACAAAGGGAAGTGGGTCAAAAAATTTTGGGGGGGGAGGGGGGATTTTTTTTCCTTTTTTTTTTCTTTAAAATTTTCCATTTTAAGTTGGTTAATTCTGATCACAAAGAGAAAGTTGGAATTGAGTTTGGGGGATAATTGCTCAAATGTTTAGGAATAAGGGGTTAAAAAAGGGGTTAAAAATAAGCATTTTTTTTTAGTTTCCAACAATTAATTGTGTTTAAGTAATTGGATCTCTGTAAAATTGTACTGCAAGGTACCATACCACAAACTGAAGGCTGGGATTGAGTTTGGGGGGGGGGCGTGATGTGTGAAAATTTTCCACTTAAAGTTGGTTAATTATTTCTGATTTAGATATAAAAGCAAATAATAATGATGTGGTTTGATTTTATCAAAAACTTAAATTGAAGTTATGTATATTGTAAATTTAGGTTACATTGGAATTTAAGAATTGGCTTTGGGGTAGGGTTATGGCTCAAACCTTTAAATAATAAGGGGAAAAAAGGTGAAAAAACAAGGGTTTCCAGGTTAATAGACAAATAAGTACAAAACATTATTTAAAAGCAGTGTAAGGTTGGTAATTCAAACTCATTTAAATATCTCACTTACACTGCTTTTAAATTATGTAAATTGGAAATTTGCCAATAACTTTATTGTTAATAAATGCATTGGAAATTTGCCAACAATTTTAGTATAATAAACTTCATTGGAAATTTGCCAATATAAAATTTTGCTGATGAAGGTTTTTTGTTTACCTTTAGCCTTGACTATGAAGTCATTTTCTATTTTTATAGCCTTATGATGTAGTTGAATTATTTAATACTTTTATGATGTGTTTAAATGGGGTTTTATGGTTGCAAATTTATTGTTTTAGTTTAATAAACTCCATTTAAAATTTGGTAATAAAAAAAATTTTTGTTTATTTTTAGCTATGATTATGATGTCATTTTCTATTTTACTTTTATGGTTGCAAAGAAATTTTTATTTTTAGATATTACTGTTAAATGATGCTGATTAAGGTTTTTGCTATGTTTAGCCATGACTATGATGTCATTTTCTATTTTAATATCTGTCATGATGTATTTAAATGGGCTTTTATGGTTACAAAGGAATTTTATTTTTAGATATTACTGTAAAATGTTGCTGATTAAGGATTTTGTTTATTTTTAGCCATGACTATGATGTCATTTTCTATTTTAATACCTTTATTATGTAATTTCCATTTTTATACGACCGCAAAAAAATTTTTGTGGTCGTATATTGGTATGACGTTGGCGTCGTCGTCGTCGTCCGGCGTCGGCGTCGTCGTCGTCCGGCGTCGTCGTCCGAATACACATTAGTTTTCGCACTCTAACTTTAGTTTAAGTGAATGGATCTCAATGAAATTTTACCATAAGGTTCAATACCACAAAAGGAAGGTGGGGATTGTTTTTGGGGGTTATGGTACTAACAGTTAAGGAATTAGGGGCCAAAAAGGGGCCAAAAATAAGCATTTTTGTAACTTCCAGACATAACTTGTGTGTAAGTATATGGATCTCTCTGACATTGTACCACAAGGTTCCATATCACAAAGGGAATGCTGGGATTGATTTTGGGGGTAATTGCCTCAAAATTTTAGGAATTAGGGGCCAAAAAGGGGCAAAAAACAAGCATTTTTCTAGTTTCATGACAATAACTTGTGTGTAAGTGTATGGATCTCTCTGACATTGTATCACAAGGTTCCATATCACAAAGGGAATACTGGGATTGATTTTTGGGGGAAATTTCCTACAAATTTTGGGAATTAGGGGCCAAAAAGGGGCAAAAAACAAGCATTTTTCTAGTTTCAGGACAATAACTTGTTTGTAAGTGTATGGATCTTTATGAAATTGTACTGCAAGGTTCCATATCACAAAGGGAAAGCTGGGTTGGAGTTTGGGGGTAATTGCCCTAAATGTTTAGGAATTAGGGGCCAAAAAGGGACAAAAAAACAAGCATTTTTCTAGTTTCCAGACAATAACTTGTGTTCAAGTGAATGGATCTCTCTTAAATTGTACTGCAAGGTACCATACCACAAAGGGAAAGCTGGGATTGAGTGTGGGGTGATGAATCATAAGGGAGTTCAAAAAATTTGGGGGGGGGGATTTTTTTTTCCTTTTTTTTCTTTAAAATTTTCCATTTTAAATTGGTTATTTCTGATTTATATATAAAAGCAAATAATAATGATATGGTTTGAATAGCATACATGTGAACCTCCCGACAGGAGTACAATAATCCTGTTTTCAGGAGTCTCCTCCCGACCTCCGGTTGAAGAGGAAAATTATAATCCCGTGTATGAAATTTTTCATGAATGAAAAATTTCTGCCCAACATATCATCTCAGGCATCTGGTGTAACTCACATTACCTGAAGTTATATTTTACCTGTAAATCAATTAACATGCATAATTATATGGCTTCACTTGTCAGCTTGGGTGTCAAACATACTGGTAATCAATGATTTTTTACCTCAGGCTAACTGCCGTTGTGTAACAAAAACTGTGTATTTATTGGGTTACTTCCCTTGATTTATCCTGTTTTAAGTTACTTTCCTTTTAATAATGAAAATTTTTAAAAGAATATAAATAAAATATAAATTGAACAAATAATCATAAAAGGATGGTAAATAAATGATTTTAAATGTCTTAGGACAAATAAAAAAATAACAATTTGAAAATTATTTGAGGATTCTATACTTCCTTTCAAGGCTTAAATTGAAATTTATATATTAACTATGACCCTTGTTTTACAGCTAGAATGATTTTCTGAGTATGCAAACAAAAGCTATTTGCAGATGGTTAAACAAATGTTCTGGTTGCAATAAATGTTTCATAGAATATGAAGTAAAAAATTTAAAGAACATACTGAAAAAAAAAAATGTTAGATTGAACATGTAAAATATAAAGATGGAGAAACTTTATAAGTACAAGGGTACTATAAACATAATAAATTGGATGGAAAGTTGAAGAAAACACACTTTAAAAGACCATTTTTACAGCACACGGTTACATTTACGACAAATTTATGTCGATTAAAAACCTCCTGATCTGAGTTTCACAGTCCATCACATGTATGAATAGGTAAATTAAAAAATTATAAGTTCTTAGACCACTTTCATTCTGTGTCAGAAACCTATGCTGTGTCAAATATTTAATTACAATCCAAATTCAGTGCTGTATCAAGCTTGAATGTTGTGTCCATACTTGCCCCAACTGTTCAGGGTTTGACCTCTGCGGTCGTATCAAGCTGCGCCCCAGCGGAGCATTTTATTAGATATTACTGTTAAATGATGCTGATTGAGGGTTTGAATGCTGGGATTGATTTTGGGGGTAATTGCCTCCAAATTTTAGGAATTAGGGGGCAAAAAACAAGCATTTTTCTAGTTTCATGACAATAACTTGTGTGTAAGTGTATGGATATTTATGAAATTGTACTACAAGGTTCCATATCACAAAGGGAAAGCTGGAATTGAGTTTGGGGGTACTTGCCCAAAACGTTTAGGAATAAGGGGCCAAAAAGGGGCCAAAAAATAAGCATTTTTCTAGTTTCCAGACAATAACTTGTGTTCAAGTGTATGGATCTCTCTGAAATTGTACTGCAAGGTACCATACCACAAAGGGAAGGCTGGGATTGTTTTTGGGGGTAATTGTCTCAAAATGTTAGGAATTAGGGGCCATAAAGGGGCAAAAAAACAAGCATTTTTCTAGTTTCATGACAATAACTTGTGTGTAAGTGTATGGATCTTTATGACATTGTACTGCAAGGTTCCATATCACAAAGGGAAAGCTTGGTTTGAGTTTGGGGGTAATTGCCCTAAACTTTTAGGAATTTGGGGCCAAAAAGGTGCAAAAAACCCAAGCATTTTTCTAGTTTCCAGACAATAATTTGTGTTCAAGTGTATGGATCTCTCTGAAATTGTACTGCAAGGTACCATACCACAAAGGGAAGGCTGGGATTGAGTTTGGGGGTGATGAATCATAAGGGGGTTTCAAAAAATTTGGGGGGGGGATTTTTTTTTCCTTTTTTTTCTTTAAAATTTTCCATTTTAAATTGGTTATTTCTGATTTATATATAAAAGCAAATAATAATGATATGGTTTGAATAGGTAAATTAAAAAATTTTAAGTTCTTAGACTACTTTCATTCTGTGTGAGAAACCTATGCTGTGTCAAATATTTAATTACAATCCAAATTCAGTGCTGTATCAAGCTTGAATGTTGTGTCCATACTTGCCCCAACTGTTCAGGGTTCGACCTCTGCGGTCGTATCAAGCTGCGCCCCAGCGGAGCATTTTATTCATATTTAAGCTTGAATCGGAGCGTTTTTAATGACTAAATCAGTTAAAATCTTTCACATTAACTAATTGAATCAACTGGTATAGACACTAAAGTGTTTGAAAAGTGTCCAAAATCTTTCGTCAGATGAACCTGAAATTTGAGGCCAAAATCGGCCCTTACCGGACCTACTCCTTTGAATTTCTATCCAGGATTTTGTTTTATTTACCAGAATAAGGTAATGGTATGCATTATGCATATTGTTAGAAATTAAATTGGTAATAATATAACAGTAAACAGCATATGAATGCACAGATAGGAAGGTTCATATACCTGATTTACACTTCATAGGAAATACTAACTCATATAAATTATTCTGTTACTTTGGGATTCAGAAATGATTATTAAATCATGTATTAGATGATCCTTGAAGTGATCAGAACTGTACCATGATCTGAATTCAGTAACAAGTATCCAGTTGCATCTGCTTTTAATTTTATCTACAAAATAAATAAGATGGATGTTTCTTTTCTTTCGACTTGGTCATCGGCAACACCAATGCTAACTTTTCTGATCATGTCTATTTCATAATAACCTTGTAATGTATGATTGATATTTGGTATGTAGCTGCATTAGCATTCATTACAGGTTTTGTAAAATGCAAAGCCTTGATCAGTAAATCTTTTACTAGTGACTTAAAAAATTTAAAAGCTTTTTTGATTAGGTGTATTTATAATGAAGTATTTGTGATAGGCCATTTATGTGATAAACTGTTGAATCAAATTTTAAGGAGATTATAAGGTTCTTTGTTGTCTTAGTCATTGCATGTTAACTTGGGATTTTACACAGTTTCATATGTTTAATTTTCTAATTAGATTCTGTTATATGGATGAACATAAACAAGACCTATGGTGTTTTATTGGCACCCTTTATTTCAGTTGCGAGTAGAATATCACCGTCGGCCATAAGTTAAGGCTACAAATATTGATCAGCTGAAAGCATAAAGTAATCAGCATGTGCATCCAACTGTCCATGTTATTAAACTTTAACGGAAAATATATTGGGCCAACTGCTTTGTAAAATGATTGATTTATCTCCCTAAAGGAACTTAAAAAAAACTGCACTGTGAACTTCCAGGTAAAATTATTTGTGAGGATTCTGATGTGATTAAATCACATAATACTAGATCATCTATTGAAATGATTAGTTGTATTCGTATAATGATCAGAATTCAAAACTCAAGCTTTTGTATAACACCCATGAAAACTGTTACACCTCCTAAACCCATTATACTCTAAAATCATTCATATTGTCAAAATGTTCAGTCTTGAACAAAGCACATCTTATATGTGAGGTCTTGATCAGTAAGTCTTAGCCAAGTTTTCTGATTAGATTCTGTTATGTGGATGAACATAAACAAGACCTATGGTGTTTTATTAGTATCCCTTTATTCCAGTTGCAAGTAGAATATCACCCTCTGCCATAAGTTAGGGCTACAGTGATTAACCAGCTGATGGCCTTAAATGGTCAGCTTGTGCATCCGGCTGTCTGTGTCATAAAACTTTTCTAAAAAATATATTAAGCCACTGCTTTTTAGCTTGTTCAAGAGATTGATTTACCTCCCTATAGGAAGTTCTCAAAGCAGTTTTCTTCTTGTAAAATCATTTGTGAGGATTCTGACGTGATTAAATCACATAATACAAGATCATGTATTGAAATGATTAGTTGTATTCGTATAATGATCAGAATTCAAAACTCAAGCTTTTCTAAACACCATGAAAACTGTTACACCTCCTTAACCCATTGTACTAAAAAATCATTCACATTGTCAAAATGTTCAGCCTTGAACAAAGCGCACCTTACCTTTGATAAATAAAGGCTAAATCCTGTATTTGTACAACTGCAAGTTGAGTTTTATTAAAGCTTGTCCTTTATTTTTCTGAAGCTCTTAAAATACATGTGAAAATAAAAAAATAGCTGTAAAAATGTTTGTAGCTATGAATAGCTTTATACAATCTCTTTCATAAAGAATTGAGAAATTATTAATTTATTATGCATTGTTTTCTTTTAGAATTAACATTACTAATTTTATGTTTTCTTTTCTTTTCAGGTCATGGGGTTAAGGGAAAGTGCTGCCAGGGAATATCCCACAGCACCATGGGTCAACACACATGGGGTTGGCATCGCGAAGGGGAGGGCCAACGCGTAGGGGGGCCTCTGCAATACACAGCATTGTAACAAGTAGGGAATTTTTATTTCCTTCTAATAATGCTGTGGCTGCAGCTCCAAATTTTACACATCTCGCGGAAAGGGTGGGTCGCGTCACTGGGAGGGCTCGCGTTACATATATATCATTACCACAGACATCCTACTGGATTGTTTAGATAAATTGCATGCTTTCTCAGACTTTGTATTGTATAACATCACTTTGCAGTGTATGTATGTCCAACTTCTATTTTGTTAGAAACACCTATTTATAGTTGTTCCTCAAAACTATTCAGTGTTTTCAGACATTCACAAGTGTTTTCCAGAAATTTGGGATGATGTATCAGTTTAAAGTGAAATGGTTTCATGGAGATAGGGAAAAACCTTTTTTAGAACATTGAATCATATGGAAACACATTTGAAAATGGATGGTTTGTTAATAGATAACCAAATTATACAACACAGTGAGGTTATAAATTTTAATTTTGATTTATGAACTAACACTTGTGCAATGTTTCTGGACACATGATGGTATAAGACATTTATTGTATTTTGTCATTTACTTAGGAATGTTAGCTTCTTAGTGTAGCAGGGCTTAACTCAAGTAGTATATTTTATGAAACATCAATAGTAAAGGTAATTCTAATTAAAACAGTATAAAAGTTGTTCAATATCTACTTTTTTAGAATTTTTGACATCCAAATTTGATGTTGTGACTACACTCAAGTAAATTTGGACATATAAAGGATATTGGAATAAAGTACAAACATGTGGCTTGATTATATCAATTATGCATGTTTCTTCACAAGTCTTGTGTCTTAAGTTATGTGACATATATTGTTTGATAAAACTTTGAATCTTGAACCTTAAAGTTAATTGGTAAGGAACTTTAAAGTTGTGAAAATCAGTCGGTACAGTTAAGGTTAAAAGTTAATCCAGATTATGAAGATTCCAAATGCACATTTTAGATTTTATTTCTATAGATGAAGGAAATGTTTTGCAGGATTAAAACAATTTTCAATTATTTTGATTTAATTTTTCAGAGTGGGTTATTTTTAATATTATTTATTAGTAAAATGGGAACAAATGTGTTTTGATTGTTAACCCTGATATAGCACTAAGAAGCTATTCATATTAATATAGAGGTAAGATATTTTCTATTTTCTTGATTAAATAATTTTTGGAGAGCATAACCAGTGAATCAACACGACTTGAGCTGTGACAAATTGCTGTGATGTTTGTCACATTGACCTACTCATAGGTGATAGGTCAGGATCATGACCTTGTAAGGGTTGGTAGGAGAAGACTAGCACTTGAGCATTTCACATTGTAATTGCATTAGCAGTGTATTGAAGTTAGTTGAAAAAAGTGGTCCCATTTAATTTTAATTCATTTAACATAATATTTGCAGTTTATGCTTGTCCAGGAGGAAATAATTTTGTTTATACTTTTTTGGGTAGAAATCTGCTAACAGCTCTTCATTGGTACCATTTGAAAAAATCATTTAGTATGTAAAGTTTATAACTTAGTTTCCCTGAAGCTGAAGCAATTATTGATATAGTTGGCTAGTAACTGAAGCAATTACTTTGTGGAATGTTTGGGTACTCTGCTCTTGTTTTATTTTTTTTTTATTTGTCTGTGATCTATACATATATTTGTTATTTAATTTTTTGCAGTGAGGATTTTATTTTTTTAGATTTTTTTTTTCTCTGTTGTTTTTAAATTTTTACTGTTGTATATTTTGTACGTTGTGTTAAGTGATGTGTTATTGATGGTATTTCTACACAGGAAGTGTTCATAATTCTGGGATTTTTTTTAACTGGTTAATTGTCAGGTATCAAATTTTAAACACTGGGTCTCAACACAATACAGTCTGTAGATCATTAGTGCTGTTGTAAATACATCTTTTATTGTGCATGCTTTAAAATTAAAAAAGATATATGAATGTACTGGATTGTTATTAATTCCAATGCCATCTTTGTTCTTACGTTTGTACATTTTGCATAGGGATGATAGCCTTATAGGAATGACTAAAGCTAATATCATAATAGAAAAACAAAGGATATGGGGTATCTGTCCATTACAAAAAATCAGTACATGCGCAGCAAAAAACACTTATTGCTATTCTTCGTCTCAAAGTCACAGTGAAGCCTTCTACATGGATCATTTAAATTAGTAAAAGGGGTATTGCACTGTTAAACAGAAAGATTGACAAACTTTGATAAAAAATCTAGTCTTGAAACATTTACAACAAAATAATATCTAATAGGCCACTGATCATAAAACTGCTGTTCTTTATAATGAAAAGCTTTTATAATTTTTGAGTGGTGAAAGATTACAAGGCACTGAAGATTTTAAAGAATTATTATTCCTAACTCACTTACACAGACCTGCCAACTATCCCTATTTATGGGGGATATCCCCCTTGAGAGGTCGACCTGAATTTTGTATTTCTATATTATATAAACTGAATACCTCAAAACACGCATTCAAATGAGTTAAAAGGGTATTTAAGCACATATATACCCATTCAAATAATATAGTAGAAGATTAAAACACTTGTGACAATTTAAGAGGCGCATTATGTCCTCCTCCACTTAAAATCCCCCATGACGATTTTGAAAAATTGGCAGGTATGCAGTAACACTGAAACAGGATAATACAGGAAACTTCATTATATGAAAAAGTGTGATATTGGTATTAGGACCAGGATACCTTAACTTTTCTATTATCTGCACAGTGAGTTGTTACGAATAGCCTTACTTTGTACGTTCCTTTAACTTAATTGTTTTAAAATTGTTCAGCTGATTTTGCTGTCTTAAATTTAATGTAGATTAAGAGTTATTGCAAGTAGAGAAGAATGTATTAAAAAAAAAACAGATGTTGTGATTGTATGACATGTAACATTGTATACTAAACGATATATTGAAATAAAGATAAACTGCACAGATACACCTTATTTAATGGGAAAGAAGTGGTATGGTGGTTAAACTAATGACACAAAATCCTTACATGAACTTTGAAAAAAATAAAACACAAAGAGCACCTGTTTCCACTCTGAGCAAAAGCTCACACTTCACTGTAAGAATAATGCTGCCCTGATCATCAGTTTGAGGAGAATTATTTGGTAGATGACAATCACTCTAGATCTCTGCATTAGAAAAAACAGATGCTGGGTAATATGAATAAATTACTGTCTATATTAGATGGGGAAACAAGTTTTAATAAATACTGTCATAAATTTCCTAACAATCTCATGGAATGATACAGAAAGAAAAAAATATGGACAATCATTTGTTAACTAGATTTCACTAGATAACTTGAATAGGGGAAACAATTTCATTGGAATGCATAAGACATGCCACAACTAGAATTACAAGATTAAACACCTCAAGAATGGGGATTTTTTTTACAGCCTTCACACAGCATGAGGAAAAAAAATCTATCTATGAAAAAGAAGGGATATGGTATATTAATTCTAGACAAACCCTTAGCAAAAGCAATGGAACAATGTTTTTATTGTAACATTCATCTTGAATTGTCAGTTAGGCCTTCCTACACATGTACAAGCACACACTTCAGCGAAGACCTGCTATCACTTGTTTGAGTGGCATTTTTTTGCTAGATATTGATCATGCTTCATCTATGCTGTGAAGAACACAAGCTGGGTAATGTCAACAAGCAACAAACTGAAGAATAAAGAAATTTAACAAATACTGTCATAAGTTGATTGACAATCTCATTATAAAAAATAAACAGAAACAAAAGCATTTAGATGCACTGGACATGTCAAGATATTTCTTCAATCCAGTATAAATCATCTACTACTGTAAATTTAGAATTTTTTTTAGATGTTTTTATTATTGAGAAAACTGTGGCCGGAGAGGTTTCGCAAGAATAAAAACTTAGATATCAAATTTTGACAGTATTCTGTGTATGCACCATTTCGTGTAATCATTAACAATGATCTCACATTTTTCTCCATTTCTCACATCAAAATAATAAATGCACACAAAGATTTCTGAATAGACAGTGCACTACAACTATCAATTATTGAGGAAAGGTAAACTTTTTACAACACCAAATGGTTGGTGGCGTCATTGTCTCTTCTGCTTAAGTTGGTGAGGAAAGGATGTAAATTTGTTGAAAAGATGAACAAAGTAGCTCTGCTTTCCAATGGATAACTATATTTTCCAGTTAACATCTTATTATCTTATTCATATGGTTAGTAAAATGTTATTTCCTAAAAATATTTACATATTCAAATTGTAAATACACCAAAACAGATTTTGTTATACATCTGAATTTAATAATTTTTGTGCCAAGACTTTATAATTTTTTGATTATATAGTGATATACAGAGTAAAATAAGGTTTAATGCATAAAAAAATACATTAATTTATTGTGGCTTTTAACAGGTGCAAATTTTTTTTCAGTGGTTGATTTCCAGGTTAGCTGAGAATGGTATAAATGAACTTGACAATTTTTACTCTTTTAGCTCAACTGGCCTAAAGGGCCAGTTGAGCTTTCGCCATCACTGGGTGTTTGTTGTAAACTTAAAAATAAATATCTCCTCTGAAACTACTGAGCCAAATGTTAATAGACTTAATATGGATGTAACTTCAGGTATCTATATTAAAAATTGAATATGGGGATTTGATGCATCATCAGACATGGCTGCTGTTGCTAAAAATAGAACCTGGAGATGAAATGCATTTTTTTTGGGCATATATCTCAAAAAATTAAGCAGTTAGAGAAAATCTGACAGGTTAAAAATAATCAGAAGGTCAATGTCTATCACCAATAGAATTTTCAGAAAAATCTGACAATCCATGAAGTTTTTGCCCTGTAATGTCAATTTTTAGTAAATCTCAATTTTTTCGGTTTACATCTCAAAAACTGAAGCAGTTAGAGCAAATCAGACATAGATATAATTGATCAGCAGATCAAGGTCTATCCTGTGGAATTTTCAGAAAAATCGAACAACTCATTTGGAGTAATTGTCTCTGAAATGATTTTTTTTGCAAAATTTCTCAGTTTTAGCCAGACTTCCAAATGCTTTGACGAAATCTTTTAGAATTTAGACACGTTGTTTCTTGTGACTAAATGAAGGTCAAGGTCGAATTTTACGATTTTAGCGTTTATCGTTGATGAAACCCTTCAAGTAGCGTAAAGTGATACTTTTAGAGGGGTGTCCATACGATAAGTTGAAACGTCTTAGATGAAAATTTTGTGATACTTAGAAGAAACAAGACAACAAACGTTTGAATGTAGGTGTCTGGAACGAAGGGGGGTCGAAGGTAATTTAAGAAATTCTCTTATTTTTTTCCAAGTCCCCACGAAAGAAAATAAATTACTTTTGTTCGTTATAGCAACAAATAAATGCATACAATTTCTATTTCTATTATTGCTATTATTCAATGAAATATTGCATCAGTAGTGGACCCAGCATTTCAAATGGGTTAGTTGTTTGTGACTTCAGGGAACTTCATTTGGATATGCTGATTATGGTCTCATTGACATTAAAAACATGCCTTCATTCCATTTTAGCTTTGTTGAAAATTAAGATTTGGGATCTTAACCAATTGAGGCGAAAAAAAAAAATTCTTTCGTGCCAAAATATTACATAGTTTTTTATTGAAGGTGGAAGCTTAGGGCTTGGGTCATAAAAGAAAATTATTTATGTAAAGACATGTTGAAAATGCCGCGCTTGACTCCCAGATAATATCTTGTGTCATTGATATAATCATATATATGCTATATCATAAGTTTAATCATTAATCATTTAAGGAAATAGCTATTCATATGTGTTAATATATGTATTAAAGTGTTTTTATTATATGAGAAGAGGTATAGTCAGAAAAACTGAGAGAAAACAGAGACTATATATATGTCTCTGGAGAAAACCTTAAAAAAATAAGACATCAAAACATCAATCCGCCATATTGTCGTTCTACATGTCTATCAACAGAAGAAGGTATTGACTTACATGAAACAAATATTGAAATGAAGTTTGAATCCAAAAATGATGACACAAGAGATATAGAAATGACATCTGAATCAAGTGTTAGACACTCCTGCTGAATAATCAATCAATCAGATACTGATTTAGGCGTTCATCAAATTAAATATAATTTTTGTATGTTTGAAATACAGAATTGCTCAAATCTTGTGAAACAATTTTGACCCCCTCCCCCATTTAAAGTTCATGTATTAACAAAATTGGATACCCCCTTTCCATTCCCAAAATGTTTCAAAATAAGATTACAAAGTCAACATGGCCGAAATGGCCAATTGACCGCTAATAGGAGTTATTGCCCTTGGAAGTTGGTTTTACTTATTACTATACAACTGATTGTAAAGAAATGAAAAAATAAATATCAAAATGCGATATTTTTTTATCAGATGATCGATTCAGGCTCTGACGGGCCTCTTGTTTTTAATAACTGGGTTGAATAAAAAGGGAATTTTTTGAGTCAGGGATTTTTCATAGGGGCCCATTTTGAACTAGCATAATAAAAAGCGGATATGAGCATTGTTTTGTAAAGGAGAAGAAATGTTTAAGCATTAAAGTGTTGAAATTTACTAAGTAATGCGAACATGAAACTTCCACACTAATTAAATGTAAAATCAAATTTACTTGTCGTTCATATGTCTTTTTTCTTCTCGTGTCTATTTTACGTTTTGATCATTAATTTGTAGTTTTAGTCTGTTAGTTTCATTGATTTTGTGATATCCACTTATTACATTTTCGTTATATTTTAGAACACCACCATGATTCTCTTAAAAATTTGTTTGTATTTATTTTCTATTCACATGTACAAGAAATGATTTTTTTTATACATGTATATACATATATGTAAAAAAATATATAAATTAAAAGTCCTATGGCTCGGAGTTGGTGTGTCAGTAGTCTAGATATAGAAAGCTTTATTTAAATTCGGTATATTTCACAGCATATAAACATAAGCACCAATGGGGATTTCACTAATTATAAAAACGTATACAAAAACAAGTACTTTTAAGTACACATTTGCATGTACATACAAATTAATACAACCGGCAATGGACATTTGAGCGAAATGACAGGACATTTAAGCGACAAAAAAATGGTCGTTTGAGCGCCAACGTATAGGACATTTGAGCCGAAAATAGAAATAAGCATAGGACATTTGAGCGAAAATAAAAAATAAGCATAGGACATTTTGAGCGAAAATAAGAAATAAGCATATGGCATTTGAGCAAAAAAAATAAAGAATGATGAAGGAGAACCTCTTCCGTTCGCCAGCGGAGTTTATGACGCACAAAGTTTTAAAACATCTTTTAATTGTAAAAAAACAAAGCACTGTCATAAAACTTAAAACTCTGCAATGGCATTATTTACAAGTTAGTTCGGGCTTGAATGCGAATGCAATCCAGAAGATTATGTTCCTTCTCCTTGTCTGTTCAACTCTGAGGTGCTGTCGCAAACGAGGGTCTTTTATCCTTTATTCGTCTCGGTCAAAATTTATCCATTTTAGCATGTACATGTACTAGTATTAAGATCTCAAGTGCCAAGGGATATTTCACTTTATAAATATAAGAAGTAGAGATACAACCATTAACTAGCCAGAATCGGTCGAAGTACTCGGGTGTAAAATCAAATAAAATATATGCATTTTAAAACCTACTCTTTTTTTCCTACTTTTTGAAAATATTTTCTTAATTCATATAAAAGTATCACAGGAAATTTCGCTCAAACGTCCTATTTGAAAATCCAGGAACGGTTAATATTCCGGCGCTAAAATGTCCTATGATGTCGGCGCTTAAATGACACTATGTGCATTTTTTATTTTCGCTCAAATGTCCTACGCCCAATACAACATACTCGGACGCTATAGACCACTCCGTCATAACAACAAAAATAAGCAGGTTAGAGTTTATATTGCTATTAAACTATATCACATGAAACCAAAAAATACATGGTATAATTAAGAGCACTAAAAGCATATTGAGCAGCAACAGAGTCCAACAAGCAAGACTTTACACGTGGAATGAAGGGACGAACCATTCGAATGTCAAACAGCTTCACACAGTATTATTCCAGGACTGGATAAGGCTCTTGAATGGATAAAAAACTATTACCACTCACGAAATAGTCTGGGAGGCTATTCCGTACCTAGAAGTCCTAAGCTTAGGAATTACCAATATATGATTGTACCTGAAAGAATACTTGGTATTTTTAAGTGAGCTAGAACTAGTCATACTGATTTTTTTCTCGCCTGCGACGAAAGTCGCAGTATGCGAGACATAGGTATTACTATCCACCGGCGGCGGCGGTGTAAACTATTTATATAAAGCTTTATATTCAGAAGGTAGGAGACCTGGATGCTTCATATCTTGTATGCATATACCTTATGTTACGAAGTTTCCGTCAATCATATGTCCATTATCCTTGACCTCATTTTCATGGTTCAGCGACTGCTTGATAAAATATTTGAGTTTGTTCGTCATGTGAAGTTCTCACTTTTATATGAGTAATAGGGTATCTATATTTGGTATATGGGTTCCTTGCAACGTCTACATGTCCGTCAGACAGAGTTCACCTGACATCGACCTCATTTAATGGATCAGTGATCAAGGTTAAAGTTACATGATTAGGTTCCTTTCTCAAATACTATAGGCAGTAGGTCAACTATATTTGGTGTATGGAATGATTGTAATGGGTACATGTCAGTTTGGCAGGTTTCATCCGACCTTGACCTCATTTTCATGGTTCATTGGTCAATGTTAAGTTTTTTTTTTGTTTTTTTTTTTGGCTGTTTTCCAAATACTATAAGCAATAGGTCAACTATATTTGGTGTATGGAAAGATTGTAAGGTATTCATGTCTGTCTAGCAGGTATCATCTGACCTTGACCTCATTTTTCATGGTTCATTGGTCAATGTTAAGTTTTTTTTGTTTTTTTTTTGGCTGTTTTCCAAATACTATAAGCAATAGGTCAACTATATTTGGTGTATGGAAAGATTGTAAGGTATTCATGTCTGTCTGGAAGGTATCATCTGGCCTTGACCTAATTTTTATGGTTCATTGGTCAATGTTAAGTTTTTGTGTTTTGGTCTGTTTTTCAATTAGCATCTGCAAAAGGTCAAGTATATTTGGTGTATTAAAAAATTGTAAGGTGTATATGTCATAGTTATTTAAAAATGTTAAATTTCTGTAATGGTTTTAGTAAAACCTTTATCTTTAAGACTTTCAACATGAAATCAAATGCATGGTCAGTAAAGCAGGCGAGACATTTCAGCGTGTGCACTCTTGTTATAGTTTGTTCTAATATTGTGCTGCCGTTTGTTCATTTTTGAAGGCCGTACGATGACCTACAATTGTAAAATTCTACGTCATTTGGTCTCTGGAGGAAATTTGTCTCACTGGCAATCATACCACATCTTTTTATTTTCACATAGAACGGACAGACATGCACAATTTTAAATGTTTTTAGTTATTCACATTTTTCTTATTTGTAGTGATGGAACCCCAGCAGCCGACAATGGACCTTCTTATGCGTAGTTGAAATCCTCGCACAACAAAGGTGCTGTCTTTTGCACTTTTTCTGATTTATTTGATCTATTTCGGTGCAGAAATGCCATGCCAATTGGCAAATATTGAAATGACTTAACATGGATGTATGGAATATGGTTAATTTGTTAAGCCATTCAAATTCAAGCCTAAACTTTTGAAAACTTTCGACTAATGTGATACCTTCCTGCATATTTTGCAAATGTGTTCATCAAATTTTATTGATAGTCTTTGTCGATACCTAAAATTTTTACCCTGGATTCACATGCGATGTGTTTCATTAACTCTCTCATTTTGAAAAATGGTTAGTATACGCTCACTGGTCTATATTACTTTTTGTCAATAAGGTCGTTTTTCTTTTGCAATTGAGTAACCTGAACCTCTTTCAGCCTATCTGGAAATATATCAGTCTGTGTCTATACATAAGTTTATCAGTGATGTAAATTGTGGGCCTCCTTTAAAGTTGCTTTGTTTCTCTACCTTTGCTGGTAGTCTATCTACACTGTAGCTTTTTATATTTATTTTGTTTATAATTTTCGCAACCTTGTGCTATTTTTTAGAAAATAAACTGCTATCCAGTTAATGGGTTGTCCATTATATGAGCTATTCTATGATGTGCAGAGGACACACGTAAACATTGGAAAGCATAAGATATTCCATGTCTCATGCACATTAAAAACCTATTTTAATTTCAAAGTCAACTTTGAATTTGGAAATTTTGTTGATATCCATTTGTTAGATTTAGACTAAGTATAACCATAGTTTCTGAGTTGAGATAGTCGAGGAAAATTGATTGTATTACCTCGTCACGATAGAATATGCAAGTTTTGCTCACTCAACACGGTTGAAGATGAAGCTCATTTGTTATTTACATGTCCTCTATATAATAATGTAACTGTTAGAACCATATCTTTAAGAACATTTTTCATAAGTTTCATATTTTGAGAATAAAGATCTTTTGATCTGGATAATGTCAAATGATGACATGCAATTTATAACAGAATTCAGTGGTTATCTTAATTCTTTATTCGAACAAGAAGGGCAAAAGATCTGTCAACAAATATTCTATCTTAACAAAAAATATATATAATATGTTATTTTAAAACACTGAGTTTATTAATATTTGATGTGGAGAAGGAGTTATCCTCCTTTGTATACTGTATGAACTGACTCTCCCCCTTTTATTTTTCAACCATTATTGTCTATTATATGTATTAAATATTCATAACTATATTGTATTTTATCTGTAACTTGATTGTTAAGCCCTATTAAGGAATATTTACTAGAAAAAAATAAAACACAAAAAAATGCATGACCAATGTAGGATAAAGAAAAAGGGGGGTCCATTCCCCAACTTTCTGTTACATCTTTACAAATATTTTCAGCAACTGTTGCTAAAATTATATTAAAACTACCGGGAACTTTCTTTGTATTTTTAATAATAGTCATTTTCGTAAAGGACAATTTTGTTCTACCCGGAATTATATTTTTAAATCTTCAAATCATGCGCCATGTAAGGGGGCGTGGTCCAAGGGCGGTCTTTCGTTTCAGTTTGGAGAAATTTCCATATTCACCGGTGCATACAGTGACATACATGTAGATCTCACAAGACGACATGTAGACTTAAGTATAAACAAATGAAATGTCATCAGTAATTCACGATATACAAAGTCCAGTTTCTGAACTGAGACAATGGGACACACGGAAGATGAAGATGAAGATAGTAATCATCTTACAAAAGTGTCAATAAGAAAAAAGACGTGTTTAAAGTTTGTTAGTGATGGGATCATTGGTGGTTTGGAAAATGCATTTTACAAGTAAGCCTTTGCTTCTTTAGAATTAAAAAAGTTTTATTGAAAGTCGATATTCAGTAAACAGTTAACGAAAAAAACACAAGCTCCAGTGAGCTTTTCAAATCGACTACACAACAAATTATATAAACACATGCCGGTACTAGGGGCCGTCGTTAAACTTGCAGTGAGGTGTGAGTTTTTTACTCGTGTTGAAGTCCTCACTCTGACTTTGAGATGAAGAACAGCAAAAAAAAAGTGTTTTTCCTTTGCTTTTTGTGTGTTTTTTGCTAATGTATTGATTCATACCCCATATCCTTTTTCCATTACAGAAACATAATGTAATAAAAAATGTCTATATATACAAAAGTCATGTACAAGTGTATAAAACAACATATTTTTAAACACATAATGCGTTGAGTATAAAGATAGAAGATAAAATAATAACAGTTTATAAATGTATGTCTGAAGTGCATTTCTGATTTTACTTTTAAACTGAAATTCTAACATTTGATTGATGATTAATTAATTTTTGGTGTTTAACATCAATTTCAACACTATTTGCTATATCGTGACAGCCAGTTTTTATTGGTAAAGGAAGCTGGACCTTCTGTAGGAAAACTGGCAATCCTAATCAATAAAGATTGGAGACAAACGCACCTGTCAGGTGCAAGGTTTGAACTCATAACCTCAAGACCACTTGGCTGTGGGGGCCTACAAAACATTTGAAAGCCAGAGATGTATTAATATTTCAAATTTGCATGTTTCGTGTATAAACACAAAATTTAATTTTTCATACTGTTAAGAAAATAAACACATCTTTCAAAGGAAAGAGATATTTTCAATTAGCTTTTTGCAAAGAGTTTCCTTAATTTACTGGCCTTTCAGGCAGTCCTTAAATAAAAGTTTGATGGCACTTTTCTTGTTAATACAAATGCATATAGAAAACATTCTATCGTTGATTTATATCTTGCAATTTTGATATATCATTTTTGAAGTAGTGAATAATCGATTGCATAAGAAAAAAATTGGGTTCATGTGCTTATTGTTTAGCTAGAAAGAGAAAACCTAGTTTTTTGAATGGTGGAGATCCCATTTCCCTTATTTGGCGCTAAATTACATTGCAGTGTATTCTTAATGCAACAATGTCTAGAAGTTTTTCTTGCTGTACATCAAAATACAATACGAGTTACTGTCATATAAAAATTTATTTAAGATAGACAAGTAAACAGTCTTCATTTGCATCAAATTTAATGTCCCCGCAGTAGATTTCAAGTGCTTAAATATATTACATGTTCAATTTCCATTGTAAATACACTGTACTTCCAAATTCATGAAATCAATTTGATGTCATTTAGGGATTTTTCTGTGAATTTTTATGCTCATCATCAGCAACGTTGCAAAAACAATGCGTTAAATTTGCATTATTTATCTGCCCTTGCTACTGTATCGTATGCCTTTAAAATAAATTCAGAGGAATTTGCTGTATCTCTTTATAACATGATTTCAATTTTGAATATTCATAAATAAATCATAAACATGCTGCATGCAAACAGTTATTCAGTGTCATAAAGGATACTAAGTAATAGGAATAGTAGAAAGTAAAAAATACATATAATCTTGAATTTGATGTAAGGAGTCGAGTGAGAATTACATAGTAGTAAATGATTGTAAGTACCTTTAAATACATTTTACTGTGCATTTTAAGTTTGTCCTAGTAACTTAGTTCTAATAGATCAAAAGTAAATTGTCCCTTAAGGCATATTAACCTATCCGTTATAAAATAACCTAAAACATTTGTTATATTTTGAATAAATTCATCTTGTAGAAATAATAAATAGATATAAGAAGATGTGGTATGAGTGCCAATGAGACAACTCTCCATCCAAGTCAAAATTTATAAAAGTAAACCATTATAGGTCAAAGTATGGTCTTCAACACAGAGCCTTGGCTCACACCGAACAGCAATCTATAAAGGGCCCCAAAAATTACTAGTGTAAAACCATTCAAACGGGAAAACCAACGGTCTAATCTATATAAAAAACGAGAAACACTTGTGAACCACATCAACAAACGACAACTACTGAACAACAGATTCCTGACTTAGGACAGGTGCAAACAATTGCAGCAGGTTTAAACCTTTAAAACCTTCACCCTTATCCGAAACAATAGTGTAACATCACAATATAGAAAGACACACTACAAAATATCAATTGAAATGGCTTAACTCAATCAAAAGACATATTAACACCAGTGAACATACACTGAACAAATAAATTTGATCTATGATACAATGTAAATACAAAATAAATAAACTAAGGGAAGAATAATTAAAGTAACATGTTATACCGCTGTGAAATGTTAAACAATTTAAGAAAAACAATATGCCTGAACAAAAATATCAGCCATTTGCAATTACTTTAAACACAGGTAAATGAAAATAATTTTGTTGTTAGGTATACGTGTACAGTTCAAATGGAGAAAGGAAATATTTTTACAAAATAAATAATTTTGATGTTCATAGTATGAAGAAGTGAAAATTTATAGTAATACCAAACACTTATCGAAGCTGGTATTATGGTATATAGACCAGATATAACCCTGAATAAGTAAACATTAAATAACAAAAAAGCATTACAATTAGTATCAACAGGTCAAATAAACAAGAAAGTACGATTTGAGAGTACTCGCAGTTACTGACAGCTAGTTAAAAGCCAAAAACAATTAATAATAAAAAATCATGCATCAGAGACTAAAATCAACTAAAACACATCCCAGGGATTTAGTATTTTAACGTCATGGACAGTCAAAGAAGACATGACTTGTGCAATGCCAAAAATAAATGTATCGACAGGCAGTAGGATAGTTAGGAGTTATTCTCTTTATAGATCAAAATGAACGTGGGTGTGTCTTCATACATCCCATTTGAAAAGAATACAAATTTAGTTATGTTTTAATTTGCTGATGACAAAATCGATATTAGTGCCAATGTAAACTATATTCAAAGATCTAACTACAACATTGGTAAGATAACCTTTACTAATAAGTTTGTTTAAAGGTTCGATGAGTTTACACGGATCACATAGTGATTTCCGCGCTTTAAGTACAATATTACCGTTAAATTTAGGATGTAAAATACCGTTTTTAATCAGTTTTCTACAGGTACAGCCAAATTTACTAATCAAATCTTTGTATTTATGAAAGAATTTAGTAAAAGTTTTACGTAATTTATGGTAACGAAATCCCTGACTTAATAATTTACCAGTGATGCATTGATTACGTTCGTTAAAATCTATGACACCACTACACACATGGGCATAACGAACGAGTTGGGATATATAAACACCGTATGATGGAGCCAAAGGAACATCTCCGTCTATGCATACTTTTTCATTTTCAAAGCATTACCTAGCCTATAGCTTTGAACCTTTTGAAATTTGATCACATTGTCATGGACCCTAAAAATTTTAGTAAAACACTACAGGTCAAGTTCAATTTAAATCATTTTGACATTTATCATTCAAGAGTTACACCCCTTAGTTACATGTACTTTAAAAATTGGGATTTCTTTGGTTTCTAGATGAAAATTAAACAACTTCTTCACCAAACTGGTGAAATCTGAACACATTGTCATGGACCAAGTTTTTTTCAGTCAGTTTTTTGAAATATTACTAGCTGTAGTTGCATTTTAATATTTGTTTTAGCAGATAAACTTGAATTCTGTTTTGGTAATGATTGTATTAAAATAAGGAAATTTGGTATGATACATTGCCTATGAGACAAGGTAAATAAATGTGGAAAGAAGACAGTATTAACCAATTCTTAATTAAAAAAAGATGACAACACCAAATCATTTAAGATCTGTTGTGACAAAGTTTAATTAACAAATGGGTACTTTGAAAAATAAAGAAACAAATATTTATCGCTCTATCGTCTCACTTATTTTCTATGTGTTCCATGATTCTGTGTTGATTGTAAATGAATTAGTAACGATCTAATAAACTTCGGCACTAAAACCTGAAAGTTAACTTGCCTGTAAATTTTTTATCAACAATCACAAGATGACATGTTTTTTTGTCGATTATTCTGTATGGTTTTGTAATAAATGTAAAAAAACATGCACAGAGCACTTAGTTTAATATATATATATATATAAATAAGAAGATGTGGTATGAGTGCCAATGAGACAACTCTCCATCCAAGTCACAATGTGTAAAAAGTAAACAATTATAGGTCAAAGTACGGCCTTCAACATGGAGCCTTGGCACACACCAAACAGCAAGCTATAAAGGGCTCCAAAATGACTAGTGTAAAATAGTTCAAACAGAAAACCAAGGGTCTTATCTGTATAAAAAACGATAAACACTAATGATGCATGCATTGGTTCAATAATTTCCTCAACATAATAATTACCAGGAACTTGTTTAAACTTTAAATATGACTTTAATATTCATTGAAGTTTTGTACATTTGATATTCCCAATTTATTAATGAAAATAATTTTTTTATCTGTTCTTTTGAATAAAATCACTATCTGTATATTTTCATTGATCTCTGATGTAAACAGTTTAAATATCAAATATTTACATTGATCCAACAACGTCATCATAATCTATTAAACTAATCATCACAAATTACACTAACATCATGTGTAAACAAACAGAAGAAATATCCAACTGTAACATTTCAATAACCTGTGTTATGGTTACATAAAAGAATATTTTTCTTGGAATTTATTTTTGAATGTGATTGCTCTCTATCGTTTTACTACAAGCATACAATCACAAATGAAGTAAAATGAAAGCTTTAAAATTGCCATTTTATCTGAATATACATGTATGTTTCAGTGTAGCAGCAGTATTGATGTCAATATTAACAAAGAGCGTTTTATTTTTATTCTTGCCTTGCTGGTCGTTTTTGCCTTTTAAGGTTTCTCTGTATTTTTAATAGTTTCAAGATAATAGGCAATAATTTTAAAAAAAATTGGTATAGCCAAGTTCTGCAAAAAAGTAACATGGTTGTAATTGTCAGTCTGATCCTTATAGGAATTATTTCCCTTAAATGAGGATTTACCAATCTTTTGTGGTTTTGCCTTTTGTCTTGATAACTGTAATAGATAGAGAAAAACTTTGAATAACAAAAATGATCAGAATGGCTAGATCGTCAGTCAACTCATGGAAGTTATTGCCCTTGAAGGATGACTTTTACTCTTTTTATTTTAATGTTTTTGGTGAAACTATAGTAGATAAAAGAAAAACTGTAATCAGTAAAAATGATCCGCAAATTAGACAACATAGCAGAAATTGTAAATAGACTTCTCCTTAAATGACTATTTTTATCTTTTTTTATGTTTTGGGCAAAAATTATAGATGATAAGAGAGAAACTGTTAACAGCAAAAATGATCTGCAGACAAGATTTACAAATTTGTTAACGAAGGCAAAATTGTCATTAAAGTTCTTATAGGATTTATTGCCCCGGAATGATGATTTTTATCCTATTTTTATACGACAGCAAAAAATTTCGCGGTCATATATTGCTATCTTGTCCTCAGCATCGTCCGAAGACATTTGGTTCCCGGACAATAACTTTAGTTTAAGTGTATGGATCTCTATGAAATATAAGCAAAAGGTTCAATACCACAAAAGGAAGGTTGGTATTGTTTTTGGGGGTGATGGTCCCAACCGTTTAGGAATTAGTGGCCAAAAAGGGGCCCAAAACAAGCATTTTTCTAGTTTAAGGACAATAATTTGTGTACAAGTATTTTGATTGCTCTGAAATTGTACCACAAGGTTCAATACCACAAGTAGAAGGTTGGGATTCATTTTGGGGGTAATTTCCCAAACCGTACAGGAATTAGGGGCCAAAAAGGGTCTAAAACAAGCATTTTTCTAGTTTTCAGACAATAACTTGTGTTTAAGTGTATGGATGTCACTTATATTGTACCATATTTTACAAAAAGTAAATTTCTTCCTTTTTTTTGGGGGGGGGGGCAATTTTTTTTTCATCAAGATTTATGAAATTGTCAATTTTCCAAAGAAAAATGGGGGGGTCACAATTTATTTTGCTAATTCTTTGTATATAGTCTGAAAAGAGATTTACTAAGTATTGCGCAACAGCACAGTGTATTGCACAACATCAAGAAATCTTCAATTGAATATAAATTCAAATCATATAACCAATTTCAAGTTCTTTGACTACATTTATTCTGTGTCAGAAACCTATAATGTGTCAAATATTTAATTACAATCCAAATTCAGACCTGTATCAAGCTTGAATATTGTGTTTATTTTTGAACCAACTGTTCAGTGTTGGACCTCTGCGGTCGTATCCAGCTGGGCTCGGCGAAGCAGTTGATTGTGTTTTGGGCAAAAAAAGAGAGAGAAAAGATGTAAACCAAAAAACTGTCAACATTACAAAAGATTTTAGTCATGAATTATTCTAGTCTACAATGTTGGAAAGTCGCTGTTGTGAAGATGCACATATCCAGATGAGCAATACATGTACTTTGTTGAAGGCCGTACAGTGACCTATAGTTGTTAACTTCTATGTCATTTGGTCTCTGGTGGAGAGATGTCTCATTGGCAATCATACAACATCTTCTTATTTTAATTTTTAAAACAAGAAAAAATATTTAAATGAAATGCTGCACTATCTGTAGGACTAACAATTATCTGGTCAATTCAAGAAATTCAAATTAGTAGAAAAATAAAATGAAAGACATACTGACATCTTGATACACTCTTCAAGTATACAGCAGTGGGTGATTGCATCTGTTGGGTTTCTCTTCAAGTAAACAGCGGTGGGTGATTGTATCTGTTGGGTTTGTCTTCAAGTAAACAGAAATGGGTGAATGTATCTGTTTGGTTTATCTTCAAGTATACAGTAGTGGGTGATTGTGTCTGTTGGATTTCTCTTCAAGTAAACAGTAGTGGGTGATTGTATCTGTTGGGTTTATCTTCAAGTAAACAGTAGTGGGTGATTGTATCTGTTGGGTTTCTCTTCAAGTATACAGCAGTGGGTGATTGTATCTGTTGGGTTTCTCTTCAAGTATACAGCAGTGGGGGATTGTATCTGTTGGGTTTATCTTCAAGTAAACAGTAGTGGGTGATTGTATCTATTGGGTTTATCTTCAAGTAAACAGTAGTTAGTGATTGTATCTGTTGGGTTTCTCTTCAAGTATACAGCAGTGGGTGATTGTATCTGTTTGGTTTCTCTTCAAGTATACAGCAGTGGGTGATTGTATCTGTTGGGTTTCTCTTCAAGTATACAGCAGTGGGGGATTGTATCTGTTGGGTTTCTCTTCAAGTATACAGCAGTGGGGGATTGTATCTGTTGGGTTTCTCTTCAAGTAAACAGCAGTGGGTGATTGTATCTATTGGGTTCATCTTCAAGTAAACAGTAGTTAGTGATTGTATCTGTTGGGTTTCTCTTCAAGTATACAGCAGTGGGTGATTGTATCTGTTTGGTTTCTCTTTAAGTATACATCAGTGGGGGATTGTATCTGTTGGGTTTCTCTTCAAGTATACAGCAGTGGGGGATTGTATCTGTTGGGTTTCTCTTCAAGTATACAGCAGTGGGGGATTGTATCTGTTGGGTTTATCTTCAAGTAAACAGCAGTGGGTGATTGTATCTATTGGGTTCATCTTCAAGTAAACAGTAGTTAGTGATTGTATCTGTTGGGTTTCTCTTCAAGTATACAGCAGTGGGTGATTGTATCTGTTTGGTTTCTCTTCAAGTATACAGCAGTGGGTGATTGTATCTGTTGGGTTTCTCTTCAAGTATACAGCAGTGGGGGATTGTATCTGTTGGGTTTCTCTTCAAGTATACAGCAGTGGGGGATTGTATCTGTTGGGTTTCTCTTCAAGTAAACAGCAGTGGGTGATTGTATCTGTTGGGTTTCTCTTCAAGTAAACAGCAGTGGGGGATTGCATCTGTTGGGTTTCTCTTCAAGTATACAGCAGTGGGTGATTGTATCTGTTTGGTTTCTCTTTAAGTATACATCAGTGGGGGATTGTATCTGTTGGGTTTCTCTTCAAGTAAACAGCAGTGGGTGATTGTATCTGTTTGGTTAATCTTCAAGTAAACAGTAGTGGGTGATTGTATCTGTTGGAGTTCTCTTCAAGTAAACAGCAGTGGGTGATTGTATCTGTTTGGTTAATCTTCAAGTAAACAGTAGTGGGTGATTGTATCTGTTGGGTTTCTCTTCAAGTAAACAGCAGTGGGTGATTGTATCTGTTGGGTTTCTCTTCAAGTATACAGCAGTGGGTGATTGTATCTGTTAGGTTTCTCTCCAAGTATACAGCAGTGGGTGATTGCATCTGTTGGGTTTCTCTTCAAGAAACAGCAGTGTGTGATTGTATCTGTTGGGTTTCTCTTCAAGTATACAGCAGTGGGTGATTGTATCTGTTAGGTTTCTCTCCAAGTATACAGCAGTGGGTGATTGCATCTGTTGGGTTTCTCTTCAAGTAAACAGCAATGGGTGATTGTATCTATTGGGTTTCTCTTCAAGTATACAGCAGTGGGTGATTGTATCTGTTTGGTTTCTCTTCAAGTAAACAGCAGTGTGTAATTGTATCTGTTGGGTTTCAAAGAAATGATAGAGGTCGGTTGTAGGGCCTGATATTATCAGATACACTACTAGTATTAATTTGGTACAGAACAAGACTAGGGTTTAGTAAAGGTGTACTGATCAGTAGAAAGTCCAAAATCAAGAGACTATCCATACCAAAATTGTATGATAATAATGAATTTAGGGTTTAATACAATCATTATTAGACACTAATATAAATGACTATGGTCAAGTACAGGCATCTGTAAACAAATAGATACAAATAACTGTTCAATTAGACTGTTTAATTGACAGCGTTAATTAGATTTTTGTCAGATTCAATTGGTATGAAGATATAATGTACAACAACAAGGTAGGTACTATAAACAATGAAGTGATATCAAAGGTAGATAATTTGTATATTTATAGACTGGGTAAAGCAGTAGCAACTTATCCAATCCTTACCATTATAATATGCATTGTCATATGTGGCCTGTTTGGTATAGGCATGAAGGATTTCAATCAGACAACAGAGGATGCAGAGCTCTGGGTACCAGCTACATCAAGGATACAGTCAGAGAGGAAATGGGTGCTTGATAATTTCCCCCCAATAACACGATATGCATCATTGATATTAGTGGAGAATAATGTGTTATCGGAAAGATCCTTTCAAGCTGTAAGTGATATTTTAATGTACGATATATAATACAAAAATCCATTCATTTTATTGGACTATTATATTGAAAATTATAACAGATAGACTGATGTAGTAAGCAGGAAGAATAATCAGCGATACTTAATTTATAAAAAAACATTTACATTATATTTTCTGGTTATTCTTTTATAAAAAGCTTTCATCATTGACTGATATTTAACTGAATAATTTGAAAACTTTACCTGAATTTGCATTTTGTTTTCAAGTTGAATATACAAAAAATATTTTCACTTTTAATTAAATAATACAAAATAAGTAAATGTTATCATCTTTTTCTTTTTTTAATTCAGATGTACGATTTATACCAGCAAGCCCTAAATATCGAGGTGAATGGGAAGAAATTTGAAGACATGTGTTATAGGTATGTGCATTTGTATATTATATTTATAGTTAGAATGCAGCCATTTTTGACACACTTATAATTTTTGCACAGAGGTAAAGACAAAGGAGAGGTGAAGGATACCAAAAGACAAAGGAGAGGTGAAGGATACCAAAAGACAAAGGAGAGGTGAAGGATACCAAAAGGGCATTCAAACTCATAAGTCGAAAATAAACTGACAACGCCATGTCTAATATAAGAAAAAGACAAATAGACAAACAACAGTACACAAAACAACATAGAAAACCAAAGCCTGAGTAAAACAAACCCCACCAAAAACTGGGGGTGATCTCAGGTGTTGGGGAAGGTGAGGAATTATTTTTCAATTGAAGATTTATGTTGACTACTAGATTTCTCCTGGTTTTTGTTGAGTCTGCAACATTTCGTCTCAGAAGCAAAACATAGCGATCTTGCAATCTGTTGTGGCGTTAGTGTCAAAATTTAGGTTCAGTGTGTGGTTAATTTATTTTTATACAGCGAAAAATTATGTCAATCTTTTAAGGAATTTTATGCCACTTGGACAGAAGCTTTTTTTATGATCAAAAGACTGTATCCAGAGCAAAATCATTTTTTCCCTCTCATTTTCCATATTTTACTGGTACATGTACTAAGTTGATAAACTGCAAATAAATGCAAAAAATTAATAATAAGATACTGACTTAACATTATCCCTGTACATAATAAGATATTGACTTTTAACATTATTCCTGTACATAATAAGCTGATTGTCAGTTTTCCCCTGTACATAATAAGCTGATTGTCAGTTTTCCCCTGTACATAATAAGCTAATTGTCAGTTTTCCCCTGTACATAATAAGCTGATTGTCAGTTTTCCCCCTGTACATAATAAGCTGATTGTCAGTTTTTCCTGTTGAAGGTTGTGGTTCTCTCTCGGCACTTAGACTTGCTCCACTAATAAAAACTTGACTGCCACCATATAGCCAATAATGCTGAAAGTGGCATTAAACCCCAACAATCAGCAAATCAATCTGTTTCATTAATGTATAATGGTATGTTAATACAGTAAGAATTTGTGTTTCATTCTAGATAACTTTTCATGGGAATATGGCTCTTGTTCTTAGAAATTTTATGAAAAATGCACTTCAATGGATTTGTTTTGTTAACCAGTACATATACAGCTGATTTATGATCCGCTAGTGTATACTGGTGAGTTACAGATCAATTCCAGATGACCTACCTCTCACTCAATTATGAAAAAATGAAAAATCATAATCGTATAGTATGAGTTGGTAGCCGGGAGGTTAAGATCAGTGAGTTATAGAGTCAAGTAAGAAGTAGGGACTTGTCGGTTTTGGTTCGAATCCCTTTTTTCTCTGTTGTCCCTGTTCTTTATTTTTTCCATTTTTCTTATTTTGTATGTTATTGTGGATAGTTGTGTTATAATAGCTGGTTTCTCAGTTTATTTTTGGATTATTATTGGCTATTTCACATACTTGAAAAGAAAATGATTGCATTCAATTTGTCCATTTTCGTTTTATAAATATAGTATGATTTCATCTGTTTTACTAAGTATCTTTATCTTTACAAATATTTATTTGCAAATTCCTATGCGAGTTAATTGTGATGTGATAGAATAAGGTTTCTTGCTAGAAATTTCGATAACATACTTATTATATATACTTAGAAATATATTTGAATATATCTTATTTTGTAAATTAGGGATAATATTGAGATGCATAATAATTTAAAGACAAACGTGTTATGTTATATTTGTATTTCTCTATAAACCAATTAATTGTGAACTTTGAGTTATTAATGCATCGTTGAACATGATAACATGGTTATCTAAACTCACTTACAATACCTTCTAATTAAGAAAAGGCTTTAATTTTACATCAACACAATAGTTTAAGTTAGAGACACAATAGAAAAGTGTTGATTCATAAAAAACAAAACATTCCCCCTCTGGGCTCATGATTTCAACGCTTATCCATTGTATCTATGATACAGAACTGATTTTGAATATGTGATATCTTACTTTCGTTTGCATATAATTTGCACTTATTCTGTCAACAAGACCAGGAAATAATAAATTACATAACTGTTTATCAAGGAAGTTTCTGGTCCAAATAAAAAAATATTTGTTATAATCTAGATCTAGACTTGTCTCAAATCTAGGCTTGTGACCATTTAATTTATCAAAAAATATATAAGGAGTTTTGCATCTAAATTGCCATCTATTATTTGTAAAGAATAATTAACTTAGTTAATTTTTACCACATATCTAGCATATACAGTCCTTGTGTAATGATAAAGATCAAGGACAGTTAAGTACAGGCAAATATAAAAATAGATATAAGACCCAAACATGATGAACAAGCAGAGGAAGAATAAAAATAGGAATATTTTTCTTCTGGCTATTTATATCTTTGGCAAAATGTTTCATTCCACTTATAAAAAAAACAAACTTTTTCTTGATGAGACCTTGCAAACAAGTCATTAAATATTGACCTTTACCACCTCGCTTTCATGATCCAGTGTCCTGGTCAAGTTTTCAGGACTAGGTCTGTTTCTCAGTAATTTTGTTAAGGGTTCGTTATGCAGATTTGTTGTGAAGGGTTTATCTTTGTCTGTTGTATAACATTTGACTTAATTTGACTGCATTCTTTAGTGGTCAGGCTAAGTTTTCAGTGTTACATTTTTTTCAAGGTATCTATGGTGATAGATCGACTATATTTGTATCTTTGGTCTTAATTTCAATTTCATAATCCAGTGGTTCAATTTAGTTTTAGGGTCGGATCTGTTCTTCATTAACTCTACCATATACTTCAATGATTGATTGATGTTTGCTTTATGCCACATGATCATCAGTGCAAGTAGGTTATATCAGGGTGATAGGTCATTGCTAATTGTTATGAAGATTGATTGTAGCAATTATATGTCTGTATTTGCATCTTGACCAGGTTTTCTTACTCCCAAGTTATAGGTTAAGTTGTCAGGATTAAGTCTATTCTACAGCATCTATACAGGTCAACAATATTTGGTGTGTGTTTGACTGATATGAAACATAACATGACCTCAATTTTATGCCTCATTAGTTACGTTTAAGTTTTTTTATTAGTTATGTATCTCAGAAATTATACATGATAGGTTGGAATGAATTACATTTCATGAACATGTCCATCTTACTGACCTCATTTGATCTTGACCTCAGTTTCAGAGCTCATTGTCTATTGAAATAAATTGAATTATGTAGCAGGCAAGATATTGTAGTGTGAAGTTTTGTTTTATGCCCCATAATTATATTTTTGAGACATTTCCAAATTTGCTGCAAGTATTAGCATTTGTGGTGTTGTGGTGCATCTAGTTCATCAAAAACCAAAAACATGTGGCCAATTTTAAGTATGAGTAGTTTAACCCTCTTGCTACTTGTGGGACACATGTGTTCACACCGACAGTGCCGGAAGGACACATATATCCATTTGTTTAGATATGCAAGCTTCTAATCATAGCTGTATCTCTTTCAAATAAAATATAGAAGATTAAACCATTTAATATTTTTCTTCAATGTCTCCCTATAGCTAATGTAGCGTCATTAGGGCGTAATGTCATATATTGAATGACGTCATTGTTGGGCATGTGACGTCACAGACTTCCAGCTGTCTTATTTTCTGGCACACGAAATGCAACCATATAAAAGTAGTGGTAGCAAGAGGGTTAATATGAAAATGGAGAAAATAATTTTGATCGTAAAAGACTGGTATTATGTGTTTATGATATTTTTGTTGAGCCTACAACAATATGTTTTTTAATTTTCTGTTTTTTACTGATAAAAGGCCTCAGTCATGTTAGTTTTTGAAGCAAAATTTAGAAAATATTATATTGTTTTCATTTTCAGTATTTTACTGATAGATAAACTTAGTTTTTTGCAGTTAACATTAGAGACAGTCTGGGATTAAATATTTTCACATGATAAATTTGTAAACCTTCATGGATTGTTATGAAACTTTGAGAAATAGCATCTAAAGATAAAAGTTAGATTTAAAAAAGAAAGTATTCTGTATTTTAGTAATAAATTGACTTACTTGTTACAGTCAACATTACACTTTTACAGTGACAGCAGCAAATCGTAATAACATGCGGGACACACAGTTCCCAGGATCCCTTTACGAATTTTGAGGTTTTGTCCTCAATGGGTATTTTAAGCAGAAGTGTCTAAATAATTCTTTTATGTCATATTCTATGCTTAAGATGGGAAGGCAATATATTTTTTATACGACCGCAAACAAATTTTGTGGTCGTATATTGGTATGATGTTGGCGTCGTCGTCGTCGTCCGGCGTCGTCGTCCGAAGACACATTGGTTTTCGCACTCTAACTTTAGTTTAAGTGAATGGATCTTTTTGAAATTTGACCATAAGGTTAAATACCACAAAAGGAAGGTTGGGATTGATTTTGGGGGTTATGGTACCAACAGTTAAGGAATTAGGGGCCAAAAATAAGCATTTTCTAGTTTCCAGACAATAACTGTGGAACGGTGTATGGATCTCTCTGAAATTATACTACAAGTTTCCATACCACAAAGGGATGGTTAGGATTTGCTTTGGGGGGTTATGGCTCAAACCGTTTAGGAATTAGGGGCAAAAAAGGGGGAAAAGCAAGGTTGTCCTGGTTAATGGACAAATACTTTAGTACAAAACATAATTTAAAGCAGTGTAAGGGAGATAAATCAAATACATCATTGAAATTATCTCCCTTACACTGCTTTTAAATTATGTATAAAGTAATGGTTAATGAACAATAAAGATGATTTAATACAGTGTAAGGGAGGTAATCCAAATACAACGTTTTGGTTACTTCCCTTACACTGCTTTTAAATTATGTTTAAAGAAATGCATCTTTATAAAGGAAGACCAGTAAAAATATCTGCAAATGTTGCATCTTTTTTTTTTTACAAAAAAATCCATATGAAAGATTTGACACTATATTTTTAATTCTATTATAAAATAGATTAAGTTAGCACTATGGTAAATTTAAATGGGTAATTATGGTTGCCAACTCCATTGGAAATTTGAATTGAGATTATGACCATATTTTGAGGGAAAGAATTTTTTTGGGGAAAAAAGGGGGGGGGGGGATAAAAAGAAATTGTGGGAGGTCAATTTTTTCTCATTTCAGATTTCAGAAATTAAAAAGAATTATTCTTCAAATATTATTTTTTTTTCAAATTTCAAATATTGAAAAATTTCAAGAAGTAATCTTTAATTGCACAGTATGGCGCATTAGATTTGTAAAATCTTTGATCACATTTATTTATTTGTTATGCCGAATCTAACAGTGTATTTAGATTTTTGTCGAGCCTGCGACTTTTGTCGCAGAAAGCTCGACATAGGGATAGTGATCCGGCGGCGGCTACGGCGGCGGCGGCGTTAGCTAACTTCCTAAAAGCTTTATATTTTAGAAGCTAGAAGACCTGGATGCTTCATACTTTGTATATGGATGCCTCATGTTACGAAGTTTCCGTCAGTCACATGTCCAATGTCCTTGACCTCATTTTCATGGTTCAGTGACTACTTGAAAAAAAAGTCAACATTTTTTGTAATGTTAATTTCTTTCTTATTATGAGTAAAAGGATAACTATATTTAGTATGTGCGTACCTTGCAAGGTCCTCATGCCCATCAGACAATTTTCATTTGACCTCGACCTCATTTCATGGATCAGTGAACCAGGTTAAGTTTTCGTGGTCAAGTCCATATATCAGATACTATAAGCAGTAGGTCTACTATATTTGGTATATGGAATGATTGTAAGGTGTACATGTCCAACTGGTAGGTGTCATGTGACCTTGACCTCATTTTTATGGTTCAGTGGTCAAAGTTAAGTTTTTGAGTTTTGGTCTTTTTTTCTAATACTATATGCAATAGGTCAACTATAAATGGTGTATGGAATGATTGTAAGGTGTACATGTCTAGCTGGCAGGTGTCATCTGACCTTGACCTCATTTTCATGGTTCAGTGGTCAAAGTTAAGTTTTTGAGTTTTGGTCTTTTTTTCTAATACTATATGCAATAGTTCAACTATATTTGGTGTATGGAAATATTTTATGATCTATATGTCAGTCACGCAGGTTTTATTTGGCCTTGACCTAATTTTCAAGGTTCATTGCTCAGTGTTAAGTTTTTGTGTTTTGGTCTGTTTTTCTTATACTGTATGCAATAGGTCAACTATATTTGGTGTAAGGAATGATTGTAAGGTGTACATGTCTAGCTGGCAGGTGTCATCTGACCTTGACCTCATTTTCATGGATCAGTGGTCAAAGTTAAGTTTTTGAGTTTTGGTCTTTTTTTCTAATACTATATGCAATAGTTCAACTATATTTGGTGTATGGAAATATTTTATGATCTATATGTCAGTCACGCAGGTTTTATTTTACCTTGACCTCATTTTCAAGGTTCATTGCTCAGTGTTAAGTTTTTGTGTTTTGGTCTGTTTTTCTTAAACTATAAGCAATAGGTCAACTATATTTGTTGTATGGAAGAATTGTTAGCTATACATGACTGCCTAGCATGGTTCATCTGACCTTGACCTCATTTTCATGGTTCATTGGTCAATGTTTAGTTTACTTGGTTAATGTTAAGTTTATGTGACATTGTAATAAAGCTTTATATTTAGGACTATCAACATAATATCAATGATTAATAAAGAAGGCGAGACATTTCAGCGTGTGCACTCTTGTTAATTTTGGGTCCAGTTTTCAAATTGGTCTACATTAAGGTCCAAAGGGTCCAAAATTAAACCTTGTTTGATTTTAGCAAAAATTGAATATATGAGGTTCTTTGATATGCTGAATCTAAACATGTATTTAGATTTTTGATTTTTGGTCCAATTTTCAAGTTGGTCCAAATTGGGGTCCAAAATTAAACTTTGTTTGATTTCAACAAAAATTGAATATATAGGGTTCTTTGATATGCTGAATCTTACCATGTATTTTGATTTTGGACATTGGACCATAATAGGTAAATTAAAAAAAAATCAAGTTCTTAGACCACATTCTTTCTGTGTCAGAAACCTATGCTGTGTCAAATATTTAATAACAATCCAAATTCAGAGCTGTATCAAGCTTGAATGTTGTGTCCATACTTGCCCCAACTGTTCAGGGTTCCCTATTTGTGGGCCCCGCTATCAAATTGGTTCATATTGAGGTCAAAAGGGTCCAAAATTAAACTTTGTTTGATTTCATCAAAAATTGAATTATTGGGGTTCTTTGATATTCCAAATCTAACCGTGTATTTAGATTTTTAATTTTAAGTCCCGTTTTTTAAATTGGTCTACATTAAGGTCCAAAGGGTCCAAAATTAAACTTAGTTTGATTTTAACAATAATTGAATTCTTGGGGTTCTTTGATATGCTGAATCTAAACATGTGTTTAGATTTTTGATTATGGGCCCAGTTTTCAAGTTTGTCCAAGTTGGGGTCCAAAATTAAACTTTGTTTGATTTTCACAAAAATTGAATATATGGGGTTCTTTGATATGCTGAATCTAACCATGTATTTTGATTTTGGACATTGGACCATAATAGGTAAATTAAAAAAAAATCAAGTTCTTAGACCACATTCTTTCTGTGTCAGAAACCTATGCTGTGTCAAATATTTAATAACAATCCAAATTCAGAGCTGTATCAAGCTTGAATGTTGTGTCCATACTTGCCCCAACTGTTCAGGGTTCGACCTCTGCGGTCGTATCAAGCTGCACCCCAGCGAAGCATTTTATTCAATATTTTTATACCAAGCATTAGGGAGGTGTAAAATAATGGCCCTAAGGCCTCCCTATGTTAACATGACATGGTTCAAAATACCTTCAGTTGACATTGAATACTCAGTTGTGTACCTCATGTTTTGTTGGAATTAGATGAATTTAGATCGTGTCTTTTGTAAAAAGTTCAAGAAGTGCTTTATATTAGAATCAACAGTAGTCGCATGTAAATGAGAGTACAGCATCCAACAATTGTGAATGTTATTGTGTCATTAACTTTCGATTCTACTATTGACCAATTAGAATGCCAGATTAGAATAATAGAAAATTGACATTGAAGTGTATACATGTTTGAAAACCTTTAGTTCTTAGGTTTTACTTTTTTATTAAACAAATCATGAATTGTTCAATATTTTTTACAGTGTTGCAGGTCACTGCTATGTAAATAACATTTTAGAGATTTGGTCATACAACAAAACTGTGATAAATTCTTTGACCTTGGAGGATAAGTACAAGGTCGTCAATCAAAATGTAACATATAGGTAAGTTTTCTTCATTTGGTTTCATTGTTTTATAACCACGCTCTCACAAATTTTGAAGAATAGAAAATCAGAGTTTCTTAATATCCATTGTAATTTCAAGAAAATAAGTTCCCAAAATGAAAAGAATAAATATGTAAACACTTGTGATATTCGTAGATGGAACAAATGAAAATTTAATGTTGATTATTATAAGTATGTGGTAAATTAATATTAGGTATAAATACACCAAACTACTTATTTTCATTACAGAATTTGAAGGTTCTTTCAATTTGAAACTTTCTAGAAAAAACAGGAATATATTGATTTAGGTGTAAAGTAATATGGGGAATGGATGTACACAAGACAAAAGTCCCAATATATATGTTTAATAAAAAATTAATAGATATAAGAGGACACTTCTTATTCATCATATTTGCTCTATCTGGTTGGATCAAGGGTTTTGTAAGAAGTCTGTCTGTATGCCTTTTTATGTATAATAACTGTATGTTATTATTGAAAGACTGAGACTCTGGTAAAGATTTGCTTGTTAGTTTTCTTTTTCTTTATTCTAGAGAAAAAACTTATTTTATTTGCTATATGTTTACTTTACAGTCCTTTATATCATAAGGAAACAGACATAACTACACTGATAGGTAAAATACGTCGCCACAGAGGGGGTGCCATCACTGGAGCAGAGAGTGCTGTAATGTTATTCCTGCTGCAAGATAATTTGGAAGTAAGTATTCATTTGATATTAATTGATGAGAATAGTACTTAAGTATTTATCAATGATGTTTTGAACTTCAGTCATCCTTTTCATTAAATCCTACATTGTTCCAGCTAGACAATCTACACTGGGTGTTTGCCCACCCTTTTGGTCTAATGCCATGTGACATTTTTCTTGTTATCTTGGCACTGTGTCTCTTTATTGAGCCTTTCCTTGTTTACAACATTAAAATTTTTCTGGTTTGTCAGCATATTTTAAAGTCAGCCAAAATTAATTTTGACAATTAAATTGCTTCAATTTACTTAGTTGTCAAACAACCTGTTTATTAACTTCTGTTTCCTCAGCCTTAGGTAATACTGTGAAAGTACTTTTATTCGTGGGGTACCAATTTTCATTGTTTTCCTGGATGGCTTTTTCAATGAATTTAAGTGTCCAACGAAATATAACAACTGCTGTCCAAATCAATGTAAGATTCCCATGTAGGTGTGACTACATGGATAAGGGCATATAATCTAGAAAATACATAGAATATCAGCAAACGCACTATGAACTATATATACAACTTCAAACAGGATTTTACCAATTTAATCTTTGAAAACCTAAACTGTTCAACTTTTAACCTTTTAATTCTCATGAAAAATAGTTTTGATCAATGAAAGTCAGACTTCCGGTGATGATATGCGATGATGAAGTGTTCATTTTATCTCCTCATAATTCTGATACAATAAAAAAATCATAATTTCATAGTGGGCTTGCTTTTTATTTCATCAGAATTAATTCTACAATTCAAAGTACATTTTTAGTATTTTTTCATGTAACCGTTTTCCTTAAGTGACATGTTTAGAGCCCAATTAACACCTTTGATGATCGTTAATCTGTTGATCATTCAATCTCAGGTTATTAAGCTTTACATGTGTGCAACAGTTAAAATGTTTTCTTTGCAATTTCCTTCAATGGAGACAATTTGTAAGCATAGATGAATCAGCTTATTTCAGAAAGCATTTATTTTATTAAAAAACTTATGGATGTTGTCAGTAATGAAGGACAAACAAGTAAGTGAAAATGAACACCATATTTTGCAATGCCTGACAAATCATTATAAAAACAACATATGATTATTTTCAAGAATCTTATTATCTGGTTGCTTCAAATTATTCACTCGATTTTTTTCTTCAGAAAACTGAAATCCACAAATTTAAGAACCCACGAACATGTAACTTTTGCTCAAACCACAAAAATTGATACCCACGAATAAAAGTACTTTCATAGTATATTAATAAATCTGTTTTTTCAAACACCTGCTTGGAATTAAATTGAATAGAATTACTCTCTTTAATTAACTATTCTTTTAAATCCTATTCTTTAAAATTATGTTTATTAATTACAATATAAATGAATAAAAAAATAAATGTGGAGATATATAAAAATGTTCGATTCTTTATTTTAGTTGTCTTAGTGCATATCAAAAATAATGTTTCGAAATTTATTTTAGATATCTTTACTTCCTTAAAATAATCTGTATTCATCAAAATACAAGGGAATAAATAGAAGTGCATAGGAGACAGATTTGTAAAAGCAAATTTGCTTGTTTCTGAATACTTAATATTTATTTCAATTGTATCATATCGTTTTTTGTGATGAATTATCTGAATAAATATTGTTTAAACTAAGTGCAGAGGCATGATTTTGATTTTAATAAAGTCTTTTCCATTGATACTACTATTGAATAGGGTTATTTGAATCAAATTTCTAAAGCAAGCTTTCTTTAGATTAAGTACATGTCCTGTGTTCTAGTGAACTATTGGAAATAAATATACATTTTTTCTTAATTTTTCAAAGAACTTACATAATTTTAGTTATTTTTTTATTTTAGTGGAAGACAGAAGCAATGGAATGGGAATCCAAGATGATTAAGATTGCTAATCAAGGTCATGAACACATCAGACAAATTTATATCTATACAACGAGAAGGTCAGTGGTAATACACAGTACAAATGTTAACTATTCTCGTTTGTTTTTTATTAGTCCCAATGAGCATGGTGCATCACATAACTGATGCTTAAACTGTCCTGCAGTACTCAGGGTAATCATTACCTTGATTCTCACACCCCCAAAATTTTGAATGTCTTAAAAGGTTTTAATCTTCACTACTACCCCTCCTCCCCTATTACTCTGTGACTCTCTGTCATACTTTTGGTTTCAAGATATTGGTACACTGCTTGAATTAATATTTATATGTCATGAAATTCTTTTGAATAATTGCATGGATAGTGTCTGCCCTGCTATAATATACTGCCTATAAGGATTGATATTTATAAAAGACTGATTTTAAGCACACTATAAGGAATGCACTACCTGACATATTTTTAACCTGTGCGTTTGTTTTATGCTCCTGCTTAAGGAGGGTTATACTTCTTTACCTCAGTTTGTTCATCAGTCGTCAACATTGATGTCACATTTTACTCTGCACCTATAAACCAGAGCAAACTTCTTTTTATAGCAATTCAAAAATCACTACCTATCATCTTTCATATGTCTTACAATAATGATATGTTTAGAAATTTTGAGTATTACTTACATAATATCAATGTAGAGCAATTAAAGTCTTATAGGGTTGTAAGTATGCTTTGTTATATCAACTTGCACTTTGATAACTTGACTGGTTTTCTATGAATATGGCGAAGGCAAGATATATTGATCATAGATTTCTAGTCAGCATTTAGGTTCAGTCTGTCTTTAAAGTATTTTTTGGACATTAATTACTTTTTCAAACCTTTATAGGATTTTTAGACAAACAGACCCTTCTTCAAGATCAAGCTACAGCCTCTAGAGCAAAATTTTAAAATTTTCATAGTTTACTGAGAAATGGACTTGGTTTATTTTTGTGCCATTAGCTATCAAATATGCAGTCCTCTCTTCAGAAGATATATAAACTTAAATACAATTCACATAAAGTTATTGGTCCTTTGAATAAACTTATTCTTAACTCATTCGACCCCAAGAGATTTCTGGAAAATCAGGCATTTTCCAAAATTTGCAAACTTATGCAAATTATATGCAAATAAGAAGACTCTTGATGCTGTAACTGATGCTGATCTATTAAACTATAAATTTTCTGGTGGGTTTGAACCCAAACCCTACTTAAAAATGGTCATTTTCAGTCTATTTTTCGATTTTAATACGACCTTGAGAGGTGAACATTGACTAAACTGTGTTTCTTTGTCATTCAAGTATTACCTTACAGTTACAGCAGTCTATCCATACTGACTGGAAGTAAGTGTGACTTGAGAATCTTGCTGGGGAACTATTATTGGCTAGCCAAGTATGCCTAAATGTCTGTTTTTACCGATTTCTGACAAATCAGTGACCTAGATTTTACAGACCAGATTTCTTTTGGCCATATTATACCTCCTTGTGTTCCTGTACCATCTATGCATGTATTTATGATAATAGTATATACCTACAGCCCATACCAGTTACGTAGTGGCCATAAAAAGACTCCCACCTCCACCTGATTTTGGCTACTTTTCACGCGTTTCCGATTTTGAACTCTAAAAAGGCCATTATAGTTGCCATATTTTCATAATCACACATCTGAGAAGAGTTTATGGACCATGAATTGCATGGTTGAAGTCCCTGCTGTAATGACAGTTGAGCTGGGGCTGTTCTAAAAAAGTATGGAGGGTCATACAAGCCATCAAAGAATGGTGGTCGCCATCACGACTACAGGCGGGATTGGGGGCGAAAGGGGTTAAAGGATATCTGTTTAATATTGTAGTAAGACCTTTGAAAATGGTTCTTAATAGGTAGTAACATAGATTTTTTTTTGATGAATTAAACATAATCAAATATGTACTGCTTAAAATTTATGAAAACTTATGGTCCTACATACGTGGATATTATGTACTTTTATTTTGGCTTTGGACAAGTCATGATTATTTCAGACTGTTTATGAAGTCTTTACACTAAATCCATTGGATGTGTACTAATTAAGACAACAGTCAGGGAGAACATTATGAGTCAAGCTATTTCTAATTCAGGTTTTTTTTTATGTTGTGCTGTTACATTATTGTCCAAGATCAGAATAAGGGTTGAGTACTCACAAACATGTTTAACCCGCCAAGTTCTATATGTGCCTGTCCCAAGTCAGGGGCATGTAATTCAATGTTTGTTGTTGGTTCATGTCTGTTGTATTTGTTTTCATACAACCACAGAAAATTGCCTTTGTATAATGCTATCATGTCGTCGTCAGCGCGTCGTCCGAAGACACATTTGGTTTCCGAACAATAACTTTAGTTTAAGTGAATGGATTTCTATGAAATTTTACCAGAATGATCAAAACCACAAAAGGAAGGTTGGGATTGATTTTCGGGGTTATGATACAAACAGTTAGGAATTAGGGGCCAAAAACAAGCATTTTTGTAGTTTCCGCACAATAACTTGTGTGTAAGTGTATGGATCTCTCTGAAATTGTACCACAAAGGGAAAGCTGGGGTTGAGTTTGGGGGTTATTGCCCCAAACGTTTAGAAATTAGGGGCGAAAAAGGGGCCAAAAACAAGCATTTTTCTAGTTTAAAGACAATAACTAAGTTTATGGAACTCTCTGAAATTGTACATTTTTCCTGAAAAGAAAATTATCTTCAAATTTTCAAAAACATTTGGTGGGGGGGTTCAAAAAGTTTATTTGGGGGGGGGGGGGGGGATTTTTTCAAATTTTTTTTTGGGGTTCATATTTTTATACGACCAAAAAATTAAAAATTTTTTGGTCGTATATTGGTATGATGTAGGCGTCGTCGTCGTCGTCTGATGACACATTGGTTTTCGCACTCTTACTTTAGTTTAAGTGAATGGATCTCCATGAAATTTTACCATAAGGTTCAATACCACAAAAGGAAGGTTGGGATTGATTTTGGGGGTTATGGTACCAACAGTTATGGAATTAGGGGCCAAAAAGGGGCCAAAAAAAAGGCATTTTTGTAACTTCCAGACATAACTTGTGTGTTAGTGTATGGATCTCTCTGACATTGTACCACAAGGTTCCATATCACAAAGGGAATGCTGGGATGGATTTTGGGGGTAATTGCCTCAAAATTTTAGGAATTAGGGGCCAAAAAAAGGGGCAAAAAACAAGCATTTTTTCTAGTTTCATGATAATAACTTGTGTGTAAGTGTATGGATCTTTCTGAAATTAAAGTACAAGGTTCCATATCATAAAGGGAAAGCTGGAATTGAGTTTGGGGGTAATTGCCCAAAACGTTTAGGAATAAGGGGCCAAAAAGGGGCCAAAAATAGCATTTTTCTAGTTTCCAGACAATAACTTGTGTTCAAGTGTATGGATCTCTCTGAAATTGTACTGCAAGGTACCATACCACAAAGGGAAGGTTGGGATTGATTTTGGGGGTAATTGCCTCAAAATTTTAGGAATTGGGGGCCAAAAAGGGGCAAAAAACAAGCATTTTTCTAGTTTCAGGACAATAACTTGTGTGTTAGTGTATGGATCTTTATGAAATTGTACTACAAGGTTCCATATCACAAAAGGAAAGCTGGGTTTGAGTTTGGGGGTAATTGCCCTAAATGTTTAGGAATTTGGGGCCAAAAAGGGGCAAAAAACAAGCATTTTTCTAGTTTCCAGACAATAACTTGTGTTCAAGTGTATGGATCTCTTTGAAATTGTACTGCAAGGTACCATACCACAAAGGGAAGGCTTGGATTGAGTTTGGGGGTGATGAATCATAAGGGGTTTCAAAAAATTTAGGGGAGGGATTTTTTTTTTCTTTAAAATTTTCCATTTTAAATTGGTTATTTCTGATTTATATATAAAAGCAAATAATACTGATATGGTTCGAATAGGTAAATTAAAATTTTTTTAGTTCTTAGACCACATTCATTCTGTGTCAGAAACCTATGCTGTGTCAAATATTAAATCACAATCCAAATTCAGTGCTGTATCAAGCTTGAATGTAGTGTCCATACTTGCCCCAACTGTTCAGGGTTCGACCTCTGCGGTCGTATCAAGCTGGGCCCAGCAGAGCATTTTATTTTTCTTTAAAATTTTTGTAATTTCAAATTTTTTGAAAAATATTTTTTTTGGGGGGTTCAAACATTTTTTCTTCATGATTTTTCAAAATTTCAAATTTTTCTTTTGGGGGGGGGGGGTTCATAATTTTTTTTTCTTTTTTCCCAAAATTTTTTCCAATTTTCCATTGATTATTTCTGATTCATATATAAAAGCAACAAATACTGATATGGCAGGAGATACACATCAAACAGGGTGTGTAAATTATTATATATAACAGATTAACTAAGTATTGTGCAACAGCACAGTATTGCGCAATAGCAAGAAATCTTCAATTGAAAATAAATACAAATCTTTTAACCAATTTGAATGGGATTAAATTAGGTCTTTAATTTTTGGGGGTTCTAACCTTGTATTACTATTTTGGATATTGGGCCCCATTTTAAATTGGTCTACATTGAGGTCCAAAGGGTCCAAAATTAAACTTTGTTTGATTTCATCAAAAACTGAATTATTGCTGCTCTATGATATGCTTAATCTTAGTCTGCATTTAGATATTTTATTTTGGGCCCTGTTTTCAAATTAGTCCATATTAAGGTTTGAAGAGTCCAAAAACTTTGTTTGATTTCAACTAAAATAAAATTTTTGGTGTCTTTTGATATGCTGAATCTAACCATGTTTTTAGATTTTGGATATCAGACCATTCTAGGTAAATTAAATGTCCCATTTCAAATTTTTAAGATCTTTGACCACATTTTTTTTGTGTCAGAAACCTACATTATGTAAAAAATTTGATCACAATCCAAATTCAGACAGTATCAAGCTTGAATATTGTGTCCAAACTTGCCCCTGCTGTGCAGGGTTCAACCTCTGCGGTCGTATCAGGCTGCACTCGGCGTGGCATTTTATTGATTTATTGCTTTGACGTAAATCAGGCTGTTAGTATTTTCATTTGAATTGTTTCATATTTTGTCATGTTGGGCCTTTTAAAGGTGACTTTACTGTAGAGGTTTTGCTCATTATTGAAGGCCACACAGTGACCTATAATTGCTTTAATTGGATTCTGTTGGATAGATCATCTACTTCAGTTCATTTTGAACTTGGATGGATAGTTGTCTCATTGGCAATCATACCACATCTCTTTATTTTATTTTCCACAGAACTGAAGTTTCCCTATTCATATTTGGAAAAAAAAATGTTCTTTTCTTGTATATATAAGCTATGTGTTTACATCATAGGGTTCTTTAATCTAATAGAGGATAGGTGTCAGGGCATCCTTAGAGAGAATTAAAAAATACCAGTTTGAGCAAGATGAAAATTAACATTGTATATTTTATAAGTCTTTCTAAATGGGAAGTATGTTTAACCCAAGGTTATATTATTCAATATAAACAGGTTGATAATACATGAATAGATATAATACAGTACAAAAAGGTAATAATTGTCACCTTGACATTTTTAATAATATTCTGAACTAAATAAGTATCAAATTAGTGTCTCTTATTACTATCCTTTTATGGGAAAAAACCCATACAATTTCATAAAAGTGTTTTAATTTTATACAATTGTGATAGTTCAGAAATGTCAAGCAGTGTATCCAAACTCTGTCTGACCGACAAAATGTCAGACAAAAAAACATTTGGTCAGACAGGACTTTTAAGTTTTTTAGTTGAATATATAGTAGAAAAGTTCAAAATACTTTTTCGGTCAGACAAACCCTAAAACAGTTTGGCACAGACTGGTCAAGGAGAGTTAGGTTTATGTGAAAGATGAGTCCTATAATAAATCTTAAAAGTCAAGTTTAGAAATTGGGGCTTATCAGTGACACAGATTTTAAGAATTTGCATATAAGAATGTTGAACTTAGAAAAAAATACTGGAAAAGTTATATGTTAAACCGATTAAAAAATGTGTAAAGCAGTTTAGATTGAGTCTTCAATCAAAGTTAGAACCTTTCTTTTCATTATCTATTGTCCAAAGGTGGGGAGTTGTATCACATATCATAACTTTTATGTTACAGTGAAGTTGAGGAGAACAGTGTCAAGGTGAATATCCAGTTTAAACTAAATAATAGAAATAAAATCTATTACAGAAGCCAAGAAATGATGATATAAGAAAAATGTGTATGTTATCATTGGCAATTATTGAATATTCTAGTTTGCATTTGAAGAAAGATTTATATGGTCTTTTTCAGCAACTACAAAACTATTTTTACCCTGTCACATGATAACAAGTCTGTCTCAAGTCAGAAACTTGATCAGTGGATGTTTTTGATTTTATTTTTGCTCTTTAAAGGATTGTGTGTTGATGACAGAAAGTTGGTAGTGTCTGTTAATGTCTTGAATCAGGAGGATTAAGTGCTTGATATATAGTATATTCACTTGTTTATATAGTTGAAAATTGGCGTTTCTTACTTTTATTATGATTGAGGGTCCTTATCTTATTGATGTAACCAACATCTTTCTTTATTCATATTTATACAGATGCTTTCCAATATTTAGTATTTTTCTGTTTTCATGACAGTTAAAGTGCTGTATACAACCAGTAACAAACAGTTAATTTCTGCACATAATAAATATTATTTCCATATTTTATTTCAGTTTTGATGACGAAGGTTATGGTGCTGTGAACAGTGATACAAAGTTACTTTCTGCAGGGTTTTCAATTGTATTTATTTATGTAATATTGACTCTAGGGAGATTTAATCTTCTTGAACAAAAGGTTTGTACTTACATATGAGTAGTTTTTTAGTTTACTTTAATTATATTTCATCTCCCTCTCATGATTTTTACTTTTTAAAATTTTATTCTAATATGATCAAAGTACCTTTCGCTTAATATTTAGGTTTTTTTTAAATTTGAATTCATTCCGTTTAAGGTGGTTAGGGTAATTTATGAGCTCTGCTGTGTAGTAAAAATACCCAATTTCACTGTGTCCAGGAAAATCCTGTTTTCATTTCAGATATTCCCTTTTGGTCAATTTTAACCTTAGAGAATTTTCATGTACTGATGGATTAATTCACACCTATGACAAGATACGCATATGGATGCTAAACTGGCTGTGGCCTTGGCATAAACTATTTGTCTAAAGCAACATGTTTCAGAAGGTAAAAGACTTAATACTTTATATCTTCAATACAGATGCCTTATGTTCTGAAGTTCCTGTCTGTCATAATGTCATTTGTCCTTGAAAATGATTTCAAGGTTCAGCAACTGCTTAAAACCACTAGTTTTTTTTTTTCTTGTGATTTTTTCAATTATATTGAGTGAAAGGACATGTATATTTGGTACATAGAATCATTGAAAGGTAAACATGTCCATCAGACAGGGTTCACCTGACCTTGACCCCATTTCCTGGATAAGTGATTAATGTGAAGTTTTCATGATTGGGACTGTTTTTCAGATACTATAATCAATAGGTCAACTATATTTTGTTATTAAGTGTATGGAATGATTGTAAGGTGTTTATCTGGCTAGGTTCATCTGACCTTATCCTCCTTTTCATAGTTCATTGTTAACAATGTTAATTTTCCTGGATTAGTCCATATCTCTGACATGTCAGATACTATAAGCAAATGTATGGAACGATTGTAAGGTATGCCTGTCTGTCTGACAGGTTTGACTTGACCTCATTTCATTAATCTGTAATCAATGTGAAGATGATGTGATTTGGTCCGTTTCTCAGATGTTATAAGCAATAGGTCAAGCATACTTGGTCTATGGAATGAATGTAAGGTGTATATATTCATTTGGTAGAATTCATCTGACCTTAACCTCATTTTCGTGGATCATTGATGATATGATACTTGTAGTAAAACTTTGATCTTAAATACTTTCAACAATTAAATCATAATTAGTATAGCAGACATTTTAGAGTATGAAATCTTATTGATTTCGGTGGTGTCTTTGGATATAAATCCACTATTGTTATTTGCTTAATTAATGGATATGATTTTTCAATGTATTTTAACAAGAATTACATATCAGGTGTTACTAATGGAAAAGGAACTTCTGACCCTTCCAGAGCACCTTAGTTAACTCCCCTGTTTTTGGTTAAGTTCATGTTACCTATCTTTAGTTTTCTGTGGACTTTTCACTGTTTTTTTTCTTTTTGTCAATAGTATTGTGTGTTTTTAATCAACTTTTATTTTTTGATTTCTACCTTCGTATCTTCTTTCTCTTTTTATTTAACTTCTGGTTATCTGATGAAAAAACTACATGAAGGAATAGATATGATGAACTGAACAAGGCTTCATTAATAAATATATGATATGAAGCATCTCATATAAAATATTAAAAACAGTGTCATTAAATGAAGATCACCAAGTAAAATTTAAAGAAAATATTCAAGCAGATCAAATAACTCTTAATGTTTGATTACATTTTGTATAGACTATATGGAGACATTTTATTTAGATGACCTAGTGAGCATTAAAACACAATGATCTGTAAAGATTAACAGTAATGGTTTCAAATATAAATTGATATTGAAATACATTAGCTAGGAAATATATCACCAGTGAAAAGTACATTTAAAAGTACTTATAAAAGTTCCTATAAAAGTACAAAATATAGTACACTGTACTTAAGTTAAGTACCTTGTTGTCATTAGTATAAAATGATTAATAAATTAACAGTGTGAGGATGATGTCACTAGTCACAGGACTAAAACTGTCACAAAACTGAAAAGTACTAATAACATCAAGCAACCGCACTAAAGAAGAATAAAGAAGGATGTGGGGTATATTTCAATGCGATTTCAGTAAATTATGCCTACCATAATGCTATCAATTTTATTTTTGCAATACCTATTCTGTTGCAATTTTTGCAATAATAAAAAAATAGCAAACATTTCTTAATTTATAGTAAGTATAAAAGTTAGTAAAAGACACAATGAAATTGATGCACTGTAAATCCAGTAGATATTATTGACTTGAACACGCTCTTTGTGTTGCCTCCATTCCAGGAGTAACATGCTGAAACTTTGTGATAAGCTGCATGAACATATAATGTCTTATGTCAAATACATAATTGACCTTGATAGATTTTTCTCATATTAACACAAGTGTATCTGCATGATCTATACATCTTATGTTAGACAATTGTTCTATAAAGCATCTAGTAATCATTTATAATAATAGCTTGTGCTGTGGGGGAGGGACAGGGAGGGTTCTGTTCTAAAAGTAAACTAACAAGCATTGTACCAATGTTACTATATCAAAACTTAATTTATAGAAATTTCCTTTTTCAAGCATTGTTTCTTTAGGTAGATTTTATATTTGTGGTGATCATAAAAAACAGGTCAGCAGAAAAAGCTTTTTGGCACATTCAGTTTCAATTGTGATGGCAAATACAGGGAACAAATATTAATTGATGTGAAATACATACAGGAAGAATGTTTTTATTTCCTTATTTAATACTGATGTTTTTGTTTGACAAGTCAGTGACCTAATGATAAAATTTGTGTTCAAATAAAGATTAAAACCTGACCTTTACCTCATTTCATGGATCAGTGATCAAGGTTAAAGCTATGTGATTAGGTCTATTTCTCAGATACTGTAAGCAGTAGGTCAACATTAAATGGTGTATGGAATAATTGTAAGGTGTACATGTTAGTCGGGCATGAATCATCTGACTTTGACCTCATTGTAATGGTTCATTGTTCAATGTTTAGTCTTCCTGGTTAAGTCTGTTTCTTGGGTACTATAAGCAATAGATCAACTATGTTTGGTGCTTGGAATGATTGTAAGGTGTACATGTCTCTTTGGCATGAATCATCTGACCTTGACCACATTTTCATTTTTCATTGGTCAATGTCACTTTCCTGGTCAAGTCTTTCTTAGATACTATGAGCAATAGGCCAACTATATTTGGTGCTTGAAATGATTGTAAGGTGTACATGTCTGTCTGGTTTGTATCATCTGACCTTGACCTCATTTTCATGGTTCATTGGCCAATGTAAAGTTTTCATAGTTTAGTCTGTTTCTTGGATATTATAAGCAATGGGTCAACTATATTTGGTGTATGGAATGATTATAAGGTGTACATGTCTGTCTGGCAGGGTTTTTCTGACATTGACCTCATTTTCATGGATCATTGATAATCTTAAGTTTATGTGATACTTGTAGTAAAACCTTTTATCATTAGACTTTCAATATAAAATCAATCATGGTCAGTAAAGCAGGCAAGACATTTCAGTGTGTGCACTCTTATTACAAGTAAACCTTTATATTCATTATTCACATCAGTATATTTTCATTACCATATTAAAAGCAGGGGACATTTAAACCAAAATACCAGCTTGGATTGATACGTAGACCCTATAGCAGACCCATGTTTTTGGAAGAAGAACCTTATAAATGTATACAATCATATATTATAACTAGCATGGATATTGTAATGTTTACAGACTATGTCAGTATAGCAAGAAGTATATTTTTCTGTTTCTTTTTCATACTATATTTTAGTTAAAACTCTTGTTCTAGTTGTACTTGTCTTTAGCTGGACTTTTAGTAGTTGGACTATCCATTATGTTTGCATATGGACTTGCCATGGCCTGTGGTGTAATTTATGGACCAGTTCATGCTTTGATGCCATTTCTTTTGCTGGGTGAGTACATATATAGACTGTTGTTTATATGTCTAACAGATATGTGTATTAATATACTGAGATGCCTACCATTACTATTTTTCTCTTTCACAAAAAGTGTTTCAGGATTTAGTTTTGACTCTTTGAAGTGCAGAAGTTTCTCCTTAAATTTACCAAGTAATAACATTTACAACTTTGAACTGTTCGTGCCTTGTCAAAAGTTCAGCTAAACAAAATGTTTATAAAATTAATTGCAATTAAACTTAGTCTATAATATTCTAAATGTCCTGACTAAAGTTTGAGGTAGATTAATTTAACCTTTGAAATAAATGGAATGTTATAAAATCTTTGTAGGCATTGGTGTGGATGATATGTTTGTTATTGTGGAGGCCTGGAAAAACTTGACTCATGTGGAACAAAAGCTTTCATTGGTCCAAAGAATGGCTTTGACTTTGAAACGAGCTGGTGTATCTGTAACAGTGACATCAGTAACAGATATTGTGGCATTTGCTGTAGGAGCTTCTACAGTACGTACATGTCGACTTGAAATTCTGAGTTTAATGTGTGCATTAGTAATTGTAATTAAGAAAAATGACAACAATGCATAATATAGAAATAATGAGATGTGGTATAATTGCCAATGAGACTACTATCCACCTAAGACCAAAGGACTTGGATGTTAACAACTAAAGATCACAATATGACCTTCAACTTTGAGCAAATATCAAACCATATAGTAAGATGTAAAAGGCCCTCAATATAATAAAATGTGGAACAACTCAAATGAAAAATAACAATGGCCTGATTTACACCCTACAGGGTCCTCGCTTTGGACAGGCACATACTTAGACAGAGCTAAACATATTTGTGATCCCTTAACTCTTCCCTACCTGTGGTGTAACAACTATATTAGATCAAACTTTAAAAATCAGTTGAAAAGAACTTTAATCATCAGATCGATTTTAAGCACAAAAACCAGTTAAAAAATTGACAAAAGACAGAGTATTTACAGCTCCTTAAAGCTAATTCATAGCCTTATTTTAGAATAGACCATGTTTTCCAAGACTAAAATATGATTCAGCATCAAATAATACATACTTATACAATATCAATATATAAATGTAAGTTCTGCTTTGTACGATACCATCATGCTTAGTGAGATTTTTACAGTCCCAGCTAACAGTTAAACAATGCACTGGAAGTCATGTCATCTAACAAAAATTTTATTCTGACCCAGAGTAAACCTGATTTTACTCATAAATGCTGTATGCTTAGTAATACATGAAGAAGAAAAGCAGCAATTACAAGTTTGAATGCATTTGGGTTTGACCATAGTGGAGGTTGAACCTACAGCATTCAACTCTTGATGCAATCAGACTACAGGGCTTGGGTTGAGTTGAAAACTTAGTTTAAATTGATATTACAAAAAGTATAATTCTATAATCATGATTGACCATTGATGATTTTCATTTAATCCAGTAATAATGTGATCAGATATGTATCTACATATCTTTATTCTCACAAACCAAATTACAAATGTATAGAGATAATTATACATATTTCAATACGATTACATAAATAATGTATGAAAGTAGATAGAGGCATCTGGTACTTTGTTTAACAAAGCAGAATACAAAACAGTACAGCAAAAGGCATTTGTTACAAATAATTAGTCAATTGTTATTATTTGTAGGTAATACCAGGACTAAGTGGATTTTGTATCTATGCAGCATTAGGAATCTTTGCCTTATTTCTCTTGCAATCAACATTCTTTGTGGCATGTTTGACATTAGACCAAATGAGAGTAGAAGCCAGAAGGAATGCCATTATATGCTGCTATGTACATAAAAATTACGAGATCAACGAATGTAGTAAACGAGATTATGGTCAGCTGTTTTTCAAGCATTATTATGGTCCATTTTTGATGAAATTACCTGTTAAAGTAAGTACCTATGTTTAGGTGTTCTTCAGCATGTCAGTTTTGGCAAGTTTCTGCATCTATTATTATGTTGATTTCTTAATGAAATTATTTATAAAAGTAATTAACTATTGTGGGTCGTTCTTCAGTCCTCAGTCTGCACATATTTTGTCCATCTATTGGTCCTTTGATTAAGAAATTACCTGTAATTAATTGGTTTATTTCATGGGTGGAATACTACTTTTTATTCCATTGTACTGTTTTGATGGCTTTCATTAGAAATGTTAACTATTAAAATGTTATCAAATCTTTTAACAACATATTGTAAAATTCATATAGTTAACAAACATTCAGTCTCTTATGATTGTCATTAGCATAAATTCAATAACAAATGGATGTCATTAGCATACTTGCAATCTTAAATGTCAACCATTAGCATAAATTCAACCACAAATGCATGTATTTTGAATACATTCAGTCTCAATTTTTTTCTATATAGCACACATTCAATCTCAAATATATGTCATTAGCATACATTCAATCTCAAATGCATGTAATTAGCATAAATTCAATCTCAAATGCATGTTATTAGCATACATTCAAACCAAAATGCCAGTCAATAGCATACATTCAATCGCAAATGTTTGTCATTAGCAATAGCATACATTCAATCCCAAATGCCAGTATTAGCATCACAAATGCCTGTCATTAGTAAACATTCAATTCCAAATGCCAGGCATTAGCATACAGTACATCACAAATACCAGGCACTAGCATACAGTACATCACAAATTCCAGGCATTAGCATACAGTCCATCACAAATACCTATCATTAGTATACATTCAATCTCATATACCTGTCATTAGTATACATTCAATCTCAAATACAAAAATGTACCTGTCATTAGCATACACTCAATCTCAAATGCATGTCATTAGAATGCAGTCCATCACAAATGCCTGTCATTAGTATACATTCAATCCCAAATGCTTGTCTTTAGCATACATTTAATTTCAAATGCCTGTCATTAGCATACATTCAATCTCAAATGCATGTCATTAGTATACACTCAATACCAAATGCCTGTCATTAGCATACCTCCAATCTCAAATGCCTGTCATTAGCATACCTCCAATCTCAAATGCCTTTCATTAGTATACAGTCAATCTCAAATGCCTGTCATTAGCATACCTCCAAATTCAAATGCCTTTCATTAGCATACACTCAATCCCAAATGCCAGTCATTAGCATACAGTCCATCACAAATGCCTGTCATTAGTATACATTCAATCCCAAATGCCTGTCATTAGCATACATTTTTTAACATTTCATACCGATATAACATGTTACTTTTATCATTCTTCCCTTAGTTTATTTATTTTGTATTTACATTGTATCATAGGTCAAATTTATTTGTTCAGTGTATGTTCCTTGGTGTTAATATGTCCTTTGATTGAGTTAAGCTATTTCAGTTGATATTTTATAGTGTGTCTTTCTATGTTGTGATGTTACACTATTGTTTCAGAAAAAGGGTGAAGATTTGGTACCATTAAAACGTTTAAACCCGCTGCATTTGTTTGCACCTGTCCTAAGTCAGGAATCTGATTTTCAGTAGTTGTCGTTTGTTGATGTGGTTCATAAGTGTTTCTCGTTGCTCGTTTTTTATTATAGATTAGACCGTTGGTTTTCCCTTTTGAATGGTTTTACGCTAGTAATTTTTGGGGCCCTTTATAGCTTACTGTTCGGTGTTAGCCAAGGATCTGTGTTGAAGACCGTACTTTGACCTATAATTGTTTACTTTTTACACATTGTGACTTGGATGGAGAGTTGTCTCATTGGCACTCATACCAAATCTTCTTTTATCCCCGGCTTAGTATATTTCTAGGATTTTGATTGGTTAACACACGTCGTTACAAAACCCATAGCCCCTGGGTGTTGCTAACCCATATCCCTGGACGTTGCTTCCCGTTACATCGGGGAACTTCACGCGCGTTTTCCTTAGTTCCATGGTTGTTCCTTATGAAATATCGAATTATGTAGATTATCCATGATGTCTGTATAATTAGATACTTAATCCACTAACGATTTTATCTTATTATATGACGATTATTTGCACTCATTTTAGTAAATGCATCACTATGCTGCCACATTGTCAATGAATGGGACTACTGACCTAGCTATGCAGATGACCTACATTGATGTCACGCCGTCTATGATGTAACTCTCACAACATTGAGCGCCAAATTCAACCCATTTCAGTTTCTCTGTGATCCTCTGTCTCTAGATTAAAAACGTCTTATATTTGTCTACATGTATTATGTCAAATTCCCAAATTTCAATAAAAGATATTTAAAAAATGAAAAAAACATTGCTTTCACGTTAAACTTTGTGGTCGAATTTCTCTAAAAATTGCCAGATTTAGACTAAGACCGGGGATAAATTCGTTATCTACCTTCATATCCGCAGATATGGATATGAACGTAGATAACTTATAATATCTATTTGATTTCAAATGCCTGTCATTAGCATACATTCAGTCTCAAATGCATGTCATTAATATACACTCAATCCCAAATGCCTGTCATAAGCATACCTCCAATCTCAAATGCCTGTCATTAGCATATCTACAATCTCAAATGCCTTTCATTAGCATACACTCAATCCCAAATGCCAGTCATTAGCATCCAGTCCATCACAAATGCCTATCATTAGTACATTCAATCTCAAATGCCTGTCATTAGCATACATTTAATTTCAAATGCCTGTCATTGGTATTCTTTCAATCTCAAATGCCTGTCATAAGCATACATTCAATCCCAATTGCATTCATTAGCATACAGTCCATTGCAAATGCCTGTCATTAGTATACATTCAATCTCAAATGCCCTCCATTAGCATACCTCCAATCTCAAATGCCTGTCATTGGTAAACATTCAATCTCAAATGCCATTAATTAGCATACATTCTATGTAAACATATTGCAATAGAATATACATGATGGGATTTACACACAAAATACAGTCATAGGATAGGTCTATTCCTGTTATCTGACTTCTATAATGTAGGAATAAAGCTTTAAATGACCAGGACTTTTAATAATGTTGCTTTTCTTTCAGATTACTGTTATGCTCATCACAGCTTTAATTGTTGGTGTTAACCTCTATGGTTTTATACAATTACGACAAGATTTTGATTTGACAATGTATATACCATCTGATTCCTATGCACACAAATATGCCAAAGCTAAGGAAGCATACTTTCCTTATGCTGGCATCGATTCAGCTGTGTATTGTCGTAAGTATCTTAAGATAAGTTTGTTAACATTTAACATATTACTAGGAATTAAAAGTAACTTGACAGGATACTTCTCAAATGGAGTAATTTCTATGTCATTTAGTCTCTTGTGGAGAGTTGTCTCATTGGCAATCAAACCACATCTTCTTATTTTTATATTTTTAAAGTGTTTTTGGGGCTTTCCCTATCAAAAACTTGTTTTTGCCAGTTATACATATGAAGAAATTTGCCCTACAGTTTACATTGGGCTGGAACAAAATTGGCAAAATAACTTCATTTTCTATGTTGTTGTACACATATTTTCTGGTCAAATAATTTTTGGGATGTCCATTAGAAAACTTGCTAATCTATAAATGTAGATAGTTATCCTCTTGCAGCTCACATGAACTTCATAACATAACATGAAACAAACTCCTTCAACCTCTTATCCAAAAATACTGCATGCTTACCCTGTATCCTTATCACTTTCCCAAGTGTAACTTAACAAAGGGAGATGAAGGGGGTGGTGGGGACCTGTAATTTATGAATGTAAGTATTAATTTAACAAAACGGATTTTTTTGGTCAGTCTGAAATGAAACAGAAGACTTGTATGCTGCAAATCATACACTGGACATGGAAACAAAGCCACCTGTAGTCAACTTTTGAAAGAAAACAATGTTTAATGTTAAATAGAAGTTGATTGCACTTGTTCTAAAGGAAATACCTATATTTCTTGCCTAATTTGACAAAATTTGACCTGTAGAATGATGGATAGTTCAAATTATAGCTGACCTGTTCACTTAAATTGTATTATCCTTATCTTTAAAAAAATAAAGGAACAATTCAGCTTACTGTGTAGCAGAGTATCTGAATGGATTGATTTTACTCTCACTAGGCATCATAATAAAAGATTACTAGAGTAAATAGAGGAATATGAAAATGATAAAATCAGTTTGTATCAGTCCAAAAACATGTTTCATTGTAAAGAATATGTGATGATTATTGTAGGTTGTAACAATCCAAAAAACGGTTTTCTAGGTATGTGATGAGAAGAAATACTAGTACTATTTGCTTTTGGTATTGACAGATTTTGTACACTGTAGCATGTAGAGAATGTTTCACTTAATCTTTTATTTTTCTACCAAGATAGGGAGAGGATTATCACTTCACCACAACAACCTTTTAGCTTTAGACTTTTTGGTATGATTTATCTTTGCCATCTGCTGTTGAATTGATGTTATTTTGAAATCAGCTATTTCTTCTTCCTTAAAAACTTTCTTTTGACCTGCTCTGAAACCACTATGTTTCCTTGATCATTCATTTCAGTAATGCCAAACAACAGTGCTATCCTCTGCTTGGTCTGAGACAAGTCTTTTACAAACACTAGTATTTATAAATATATTTACTGGCACTTTTTATGACAAAACTAAAGATATGTAGAATATGACACCAGGACATTCTGTGCATTTCTTATTTGGTAGCCTAGGAGTAAGATCAGATTTCAGATTTTTTGTCATAATTATATTGCCATGTAGAAGTTGTGGTTAAATAAATTGTATGAGTAAGCTGATCTTATCTGGTAGAAATAAATGTGTCCTCCATCTGTATTTGAACTGTTTGTTGGTAGAAGCATATTGATTTGGAAGATATATGTGTGTTAATGTATTCCTGCACCTTTTGGTAGTTGATATCAAGCAATTTACTCTGTCAGTTTTAGAGTGTCAATGTAAAATCTGTCAAACAAACAGATTGCAGCCAGTAGTTTTAAAGTGTGAATTTTTGTAGGAAATATGATTTATGACACATAATCTGTTACTCATTAGTTTGATTATCAGTATAACCCAGTTCGTGTTAGTTACCTTTCCTTTGGTCATAATGAATGTAACTAGAAAATGTCTGATATACTGATAAGTGTTACACATTACCTGTTAGGTGTCCTGTGTAATCTTTTTTTTTTGTAAGGTGTAAATTAAGACTTGGATAGCTTTATGTCTGTATTCACTGGCTGTTAAAGACTGGGGCTCCATAAGGGTACCCACCCCCTTAGGATACAAGGTCAAGTTTAGAAATTGCCTGAGGTTACTGTTAAGCAGATTTGACAGGTTTATTTTTTACAATTAATCTGTGTTAAAGGTCACAAAGTAATGTCCTTTTAATTGAGACACCAGGTCACCTCCAAACCCACCAAGGTCGCAGGTGGGATTTGACAAAGTTGAAGCCACAGGACTGGGTGTAATTCTGTACCCCATTGCCTGTAAGATGTAACTGAAGGTGGAAAATAATTTAATATATTTTTTGTTTTGTACCAGTTTAAATCCATTCTAGGTTTAGGTGTGTTCTTGTAAATGAGGCTTCAACAATATAGAATATGCACCACATGGACTTAAAATGATTTTGATTTGAATGATCATGAATATTCATTTCTAGGCACATATTTAAATGGTCATGGTCGACTCCTTATTAAAGTTTTTCAGCCTTTGGGAATATGTATAGAATCTTTCTGTTTTAAACTATAAAATTATTTTTATACAATGTACTCAATATTTATGTTTGAATGGATTTCTTGGACATGACTGATATTTTAATGAAGACTTGTTAACATCATTTGGGAATTTTGCCTTAAAAGACATGCTTTTTACTAACAAAATCTGAGTATGGCTGTTATATCTTACTACCATTAAAAACTGAAAGATTTTTTCACAAACAATAATAAATGAAGTGGTCTTATTCATTGCTATTAAATCATTCACACTGCTATTTACTAATCAGATGTACTGAAGTTTTAATTGGAAGTGGTTTCTCTACATAACTGCTAAAACCTTTTGGTACTGGAGCTTAATCTATTAAGTATACGTTAATAAAACTTGTAAACGTCGATCATTGTTATTGCTTTTAGGTCTTGACCAATCTTCTAAACAAGAAAACATTTGCTTTTGTTAGTCCAAATGTACTCGCATTAAGCTATCAAGATACACGTTTATAACCTACAAACATTCAAATAAAGTTATCTATAGACAATTTTTTCGGAATTATTCCAAAATTTATTTTATTTTATTATTATTTTGAAATAAACTTTTCAAAAAAGAAATCAGCAGAACACAATACTACCATCATACATATTTTGTCTATGAGCTGGTCACTTTTGGAAATATGATGATTTAACTTTTGTATTAGGCCATCCACATGTCTGTAGTAAAGTAAGTAAGTTGGTGTAACTGCTTGTCATTAGATTTCATTGTAAATTCATTACATGAAGTGTAGAATAATTTATAGTCTGCTTTTTATAGTTAGTATTATTTCTTGAGAATCTGACAAGAAATAGAAGTCGATTGATATATATTATTTGAATAAGAATAGTGATTTTATATAAACAAAAATTAAAGCCTTCCAAAACTTTACACAATTTTGACTATCACAAAAGATATTCAAGCTAGTATGTATTAAAAGACAATTTATATCACACATTCTAGCTCTTGACTTGAGGAAGATTATATTTAGATGGATATGCAGTTGCTTTAAACATTATATTGGTAAGATGCATTTTACACTGCATGAAATAATTAAAGAATCATTTCTTTTTGAAATGATGTTACAATATTTGCATCACCCTATAGATATTTAGATTCCATTTGTATTGATTCAAAATTTTTGAAGGTATTCTTCTGAACAAATCTGAACCAATTTGGTCCAATTTTTTTCCTCAAACTTTTTGCCATTTTCCATCCATATACTGAAAATCAGTAAATATGCTGGACAATTGGCAGATATTGTGACCCTTTTCTCATAATACCAAATAGATTTGGGAAAAAGTACCACTTTTGAATGCCATTTTATGTCCCACCTAGGGGCATTATGTTTTTCAGTCTGTGCGTCCGTTCGTTCCTCCGTTCGTTCGTTCGTCCGTCCGTCCATCTGTCCCGCTTCAGGTTAAAGTTTTTAGTCAAGGTAGTTTTTGATGAAGTTGAAGTCCAATCAACTTGAAACTTAGTACATATGTTCCCTATGATATGATCTTTCTAATTTTAATGCCAAATAAGAGTTTTTACCCCAATTTCATGGTCCACTGAACATAGAAAATGATAGTGCAAGTGGGCAGGTTAAAGTTTTTGGTCAATGTTGTTTTTGATGAAGTTGAAGTCAAATCAACATGAAATTTAGTACACATGTTTTCTATGATATGATCTTTCTAATTTTAATGCCAAATTAGAGTTTTTACCCCAATTTCACGGTCCATTGAACATAGAAAATGATAGTGCGAGTGGTGCATTCATGTACTGTGGACACATTCTTGTTTGAAAATGAATTGAGACATGTGTGAAATTTAATATTTTAAATTTAGTCTCCAAAAGTTGGGTTGAAGTAACCTTTTTGTTATCAGAATTAACCTCAAATTAAAACATTTTCATGCAAGGTAAAATTTTGGGGGCACAGAATCTGATTTTAGAAATCTGTATTTTCCCTAAGAAAGGACAAAACTTACAGTGTCAACTTCATAAGCTTTTCTCTCAAGTGAAAGTATCCTCATCAACCAAAATTAAAAGGTTTTTCAGCTATAATTTTTTTAAAAGAACTTGATTTAAAAGAGAATTTTGAGTTGGAAACCTTAATACAAATGTCTTATGTCTTGATGATCCTTGATACTTTTATACGACTGCAAAAAAATTTTGGGGATCGTATAATGCTATCATGTCGGCGTCTGCGTCGTCTGAAGACATTTGGTTTCCGGACAATAACTTAAGTTTAAGTGTATGGATCTCTTTGAAATTTAAGCAAAAGGTTTAATAGCACAAAAGGAAGGTTGGGATTGTTTTTGGGGGTGATGGTCCTAACCGTTTAGGAATTAGGGGCCAAAAAGGGGCCCAAAACAAGCATTTTTCTAGTTTCAGGACAATAACTTGTGTATAAGTATTTTGATTTCTCTGAAATTGTACCACATGGTTTAATACCACAAGTTGTAGGTTGGGATTCATTTTGGGGGTAATTGCCCAAACCGTTCAGGAATTAGGGGCCAAAAAGGGTCTAAAACAAGCATTTTTCTAGTTTTCAGACAATAACTTGTGTTTAAGTGTATTGATGTCTCTTAAACTGTACCACATTTTACAAAAAGAAAATTTTGGAAAAGGGAGGGGGGGTTAAAAAGACATTTTTTTTTGGGGTGGGGGACAATTTTTTATCCTCAAGATTTAAGAAATTAAAAACAAAATTTCTTCAAATTTTTTTATTTTTGGAAAAAAGGGGGGGGGGGGGGGAACATTTTTTTCTGCAGGATTTAAGAAATTGTCAATTTTCAAAGAAAAATTGGGGGTCACAATTGCTAATTCTTTGTATATAGTCTGAAAACAGATTTACTAAGTAATGCGCAACAGCAGAGTGCCCAGTGTATTTCACAAAAGCAAGAAATCTTCAATTGACTATAAATTCAAATCATATAACCAATTTTAAGTTCTTTGACTACATTTATTCTGTGTCAGAAACTTTTCATGTGTCAAATATTTAATAACAATCCAAATTCAGACCTGTATCAAGCTTGAATATTGTGTCCATTTTTGCCCCAACTGTTCAGGGTTGGACCTGTGCAGTCGTATCCAGTTGCGCTCAGTGAAGCAGTTTATTAGTTCCCTACAGATGAAGTCGAAGGGGACTTTAGGTTTTCACTCTGTCTGTCTGTCTTTCTGTCCATCCGTCAGTCCACCAAATCAGTTTTCCACACTTTTTTTCTTCATGCTTGAAGATATTGATTTGATATATGGTGTATTGTTTTATCATGACTAGTTAGAGATCAAGTTCAAATTTTGTTCCGGTCTGACGATTTTGTACAGAGTTATGGTCCTTGAACTTAGAAAATTCACTCAGTTTTCCACACTTTTTTTTGTCATGCTTGAAGACATTGATTTGATGATTGGTATATAGTTTTATCATGACAAGTTACAGATCAAGTTCAAATTTGGTCCAGTCTAATGCTTTTGTGCAGAGTTATCATGTTCCTTGGACTTAGAAAATTCACTAAAATAATCAGTTTTCCTCACTTTTTTTCATCATGCTTGAAGATATTGATTTGATAATTGGTATATAGATTTATCATGACAAGTTACAGATCAAGATTGATTTTTTTCCGGTCTGATGATTTTGTGCAGTGTTATGGTCCTTGGACTTAGAAAATTCACTCAAATAATCAATTTTCCACATTTTTTTCTGTCATGCTTGAAGATATTGACTTGATATTTGTTATATAGTTTACACCATGACAAGTTATAAATCAAGTTAGCATTTTGTTCAAGTACAATGAATTTTTAACCAGTAGGGGACTATGTATTGCCAGGCAATACTCACAGAATTCTTGTTTTATTCAGTATAGATTTACACCAGAGCTAAAGATTAATATAAGATGCAAGGAAAAAATGAGTTCGCCAATGCAAATAACTTTTGTACAAATATATTGGTAGGGTGGTGATAACTTAACTGAATATTACTGAAAACCTTCCAAACTTAATTTGGAGTTTAGTATGACGTCCATTATCACTGAACTAGTATACATATTTGTTTAAGGGCCAGCTGAAGGACGCCTCCGGGTGCGGGAGTTTCTCGCTGCATTGAAGACCCATTGGTGGCCTTCGACTGTTGTCTGCTCTATGGTCGGGTTGTTGTCTCTTTGACACATTCCCCATTTCCATTCTCAATTTTATTAATATTATTATGAAATATTTATAAAAACAAGAACTATTATCCAAGTTTTTGTTATCCACTGTTTCCTACAAATAAGGAAAATGAGAAAATTACTGGCTCCCAGGAGATATAAGCTTAAAGAGTAGAAAATTCTTCAAATGTGTTCACATAGAGAAGTGCACAGATTCAATGTATGTAAGATTATTAACTTTTGATCCCAATGTATCTCCAAAATAAAAATGGTCACCTATATTTTCTTTAATGATTATTGGTGGTATATAGCTTTAACCCTTTCACAGTAAATTTATATTAAGACAAATCTATATTACATGGATTTGAGTATCTATCTTCTTTTAATGTGATTATTCCATGTTTTAGGTGATTTAAGTTATAAAAAGGATGTGAAGTTATTTGAAGAAATGATAAAGAAAGTAAAAAATAGTACCTATGTTCAAAATGGTACAGTGGTCAACTGGTATGAACCATTCCACTACTGGCTTGTCACAACAAATAAGGTGGACATTAGATACCTCATAGGTGCAGGTCAGTATCAAACATTCTACTACAGAGAAAAAAGAAATGGATATCTGATGTCACATAGTTGCAGGTTAGTATTACTGACTCCAATATAAGCTTGCAACAGCAGAGTATAAAATGATGCAGGTATCTCATAGGTTAGAATCAGGTATGTTGCAGCTACATGTACAATTTGCTGTATGTCCTCCACTACTACCAGTGCTGTCTTATCATAATGAATGGTATATATCCTAGGTGTAGGTTAGAAAAAGATCATTACAGGCTTTTGTCATAAAAAAATTCATTAGGCATTTATTTGAAATGTTTTTTACATACAGCTCAGTGTCTTCCATACAGTCATGAAGATGTAAGTAAATATCAAATACAATATGATTATTGTTCTAATTATTGATGTGTTTTAGTTGTTGAGGGATCAGCAGTTTAGAATTTACCTTACATTGACTAAATGTTTGTTTTGAACTTCCATCGTATGTTGTACTGTGGTGTACTGCATTTTTATGCCCCCGCCGTAGCGGAGAGGGCATTAAGTTTTACCCTTGTCCGTCTGTACGTCCGTACGTACATCCCATAGTTGGTTTCCGATCTCTAACTTTAGTTTGCCTCAACCAAATGTTATGAAACTTCTACACAATGCTTATTACCACAAAACACAGATCAACTTTGAATTTTGGTGGCATCACTTTAACCATTCTAGAGTTATGCCCCTTTACAAATGGAAAAATTGCTGAATTTTTCCATTCCGTTCTCTAACTTTAGTTTGCCTCAACCAAATGTTATGAAACTTATACACAATGCTTATTACCACAAAATACAGATCAAGTATGAATTTTGGTGGTGTCACTTTAACCGTTCTAGAGTTATGCCCCTTTACAAATTGAAAAATTGCTGAATTTTTATACGACCGCAAAAATTAAAAATTTTTTGGTCGTATATTGGTATGACGTTGGCGTTGTCGTCGTCGTCGTCGTCGTCTGGCATCGTCCGAAGACACATTGGTTTTCGCACTCTAACTTTAGTTTAAGTGAATGGATCTCCGTGAAATTTTACCATAAGGTTCAATACCACAAAAGGAAGGTTGGGATTGATTTTGGGGGTTATGGTACCAACAGTTAAGGAATTAGGGGCCAAAAAGGGGCCAAAAATAAGCATTTTTGTAACTTCCAGACATAACTTGTGTGTTAGTGTATGGATCTCTCTGACATTGTACCACAAGGTTCCATATCACACAGGGAATGCTGGGATTGGTTTTGGGGGTAATTGCCTCAAAATTTTAAGAATTAGGGGCCAAAAAAGGGGCAAAAAACAAGCATTTTTCTAGTTTCATGATAATGACTTGTGTATAAGTGCATAGATCTTTCTGAAATTGAACTACAAGGTTCCATATCACAAAGGGAAAGCTGGAATTGAGTTTGGGGGTAATTGCCCAAAACATTTAGGAATAAGGGGCCAAAAAGGGGCCAAAAATAGCATTTTTATAGTTTCCAGACAATTACTTGTGTTCAAGTGTATGGATCTCTCTGAAATTGTACTGCAAGGTACCATACCACAAAGGGAAGGCTGGGATTGATTTTGGGGGTAATTCCCTCAAAATTTTAGGAATAAGGGGCCAAAAAGGGGAAAAAAACAAGCATTTTTCTAGTTTCAGGACAATAACTTGTGTTCAAGTGTATGGATCTCTCTGAAATTGTACTGCAAGGTACCATAGTCCATACCACAAAGGGAAGGCTGGGATTGAGTTTGGGGGTGATGAATCATAAGGGGTTTCAAAAAATTGGGGGGGGGGATTTTTTTTTTTTTCCTTTTTTTTCTTTTTTTCCTTTTTTTTTCTTTTAAAATTTTCCATTTTTAGTTGGTTATTTCTGATTTATATTTAAAAGCAAATAATAATGATATGGTAGGAGATACACACCAAACAGGATGTGTAAATTATTATATAATAAGTATTGTGCAATAGCAAGAAATTTTCAATTGCACAGTATTGCACAATAGCAAGAAATCTTTCATTGCACAGTATTGCGCAATAGCAAGAAATCTTCAATTGCACAGTATTGCGCAATAGCAAGAAATATCCAATAGCACAATATTGCGCAATAGCAAGAAATTGTCAATTGTACAGTATTGCGCAATAGCAAGAAATATTCAATTGCACAGTATTAATTGCTTATTTCTTGACCAATTTCAATGGGGTTTTATTCTTGAATTCTTGGGGTTCTTTAATATGCTGAATCTAACCGTGTATTAAGTTTTTGGATTTTGGGCCCCGATTTTAAATTGGTCCACATTGAGGTCCAAAGGGTCCAAAATTAAACTTTGTTTGATTTCATCAAAAATTGAATTATTGGGGTTCTTTGATATGCCGAATCTAACCGTGTATTTAGATTCTTAATTTTTGGTTCCGTTTTCAAATTGGTCTACATTAAGGTCCAAAGGGTTCAAAATTAAACTTAGTTTGATTTTAACAACATGTTTTTAGATTTTTGATTATGGGCCCAGTTTTCAAGTTGGTCCAAATCGGGGTCCAAAATTAAACTTTGTTTAATTCAACAAAAATTGAATATATGGGGTTCTTTGATATGCTGAATCTAACCATGTATTTAGATTTTTGATTTTTGGGCCCCGTTATCAACTTTGTCCACATTGAGGTCAAAAGGGTCCTAAATTAAACTTTGTTTGATTTCATCAAAAATTGAATTCTTGGGGTTCTTTGATATGCTGAATCTAACCGTGTAGCTAGATTTTTAATTTTTGGTTCCGTTTTCAAATTGGTATACATTAAGGTCCAAAGGGTTCAAAATTAAACTTAGTTTGATTTTAACAAAAATTGAATTCTTAGGGTTCTTTGATATGCTGAATCTAAACATGTATTTAGATTTTTGATTATGGGCTCAGTTTTCAAGTTGGTCCAAATCGGGGTCCAAAATTAAACTTTGTTTGATTTCAACAAAAATTGAATATATGGGGTTCTTTGATATGCTGAATCTAACCATGTATTTAGATTTTTGATTTTTGGGCCCCGTTATCAACTTTGTCCACATTGAGGTCAAAAGGGTCCTAAATTAAACTTTGTTTGATTTCATCAAAAATTGAATTCTTGGGGTTCTTTGATATGCTGAATCTAACCATGTATTTAGATTTTGGATATTGGACCATAATAGGTGAATGTCCAATTTAATAAAAAAATTAAAGTTCTTAGACCTTATTCATTCTGTGTCAGTAACCTATGCTGTGTCAAATATTTAATCACAATCCAAATTCAGAGCTGTATCAAGCTTGAATGTTGTGTCCATACTTGCCCCAACTGTTCAGGGTTCGACCTCTGCGGTCGTATCAAGCTGCGCCCTGCGGAGCATTTTATTTGTTTCTGTTCTCTAATTTTAGTTTGCCTCAACCAAATGTAATAAAACTTATACGCAATGCTTATTACCACAAAATACAGATCAAGTTTGAATTTGGTGGTGTCACTTTAACCGTTCTAGAGTAAAGTAATGCCCCTTTACAAACAGAAAAATTGCTGAATTTTTTCGTTTCCGTTTAACTTAAGTTTTCCTCAACCAAATTTTATGAAACTTATACACAATGCTTATTACTACAAAACTCAGATAAAGTACAAATTTTGGTAGCGTCACTTTTACTGTTCTTCAGTTATGTCCCTTTATAACTTAATATGATATGCAAGCAGGGGCATCGTCTGTGTCCCATGGACACATTCCTCATTTATATAAAGATAGATTGATATACACCATTGTATCCTCTCCAACAACTCTACAAATTGACATATGATGAATGATGAATGTAACAAACAATAGCATGCCCAATGGTCAACCTAAAACAGTTCGGTGTGAAGACATTAAAACATTTTAAAACTTTTTCTACTGAGACAAGTAGGTGAATTTATATCAAACTTTAGTAAATAAATATCCCTGATCACAAGAATAACCAATCTGTTATCCTGTATGTAGTAACTATAGGTTGAAGATACGTCATATCACCAGTAATGACTTTTTTGTAGACCATTGTGACCATATGTTAGAGAAGTTCCCCTTAGTTCAAATAAGATGTCACTGATGTGAACAGTTCTGACCATTGAAAGCATTTTCTTTTGTTTGTAAATAATGACAACTTTGCAAAAAAAAATGAAAACAACACGTTATAAATTCATGCGTCTGAAGCGCTTTTCTGGATTTACCTTCATCAGGAACGCTCAAAGCCAAGGATGTATAAGGACTGAAAACGTTGAAGAGCTATAAACCAAGAAGGACCTAGAAAATAGCCAAATCCATCTAGGTGTAATACCACCATTGATTTTCCCCTATTAGTCTTTGTTAAATTTGCACTTTTCAAAAAATTGTGCAGAATTTATCTTTGTTTCAAATAAAGAAATACTTGGCATGAGTAAAGTTTGATCCTGTCCAGTACTATAGAAAAAATTTCACATAACATTTCATTGCATATAAGAAAATAACCATCACTGGAAGTTAACCAATCAAATTTTCCCCCTTTTTTAACCTGTATACAAGCTTTAGTAACCATGTAACCTCAAGTTTCCAAAATATTCTATAGAAACCCCAAATAAAAAAATAATGGTGCTTTGAAATACCCAAGATATATGTTTATGACCCAGAAATGTTTTACTGCAATGAAATGTAGGATCAATTACCTACAACTGTCAAATTCAAGGGAATATTTTTTTTCGACCTATTTTCGTATGCAACCGGATGTGACGTACTATGATTTGGTGGTATTACACCTCTAAGGCCAACTTTGCCTGAGGGAGTTGAAACCTTAGTTTTTTATAATTTCAAAATTCATAAATAGGAAATTTAAAAAAGTTTGTTATAAATCATGTCAGTACCATACCGAAGTACTGACTACTGAGCTGATGATACCCTCAGGATCTGATAGTCCACCAGCAGAGGTATCCACTCAGTGTTGTAAAAAATGAAAACAGCATGTTATAAACTTTATGCGTCTGAAGCGCTTCTGGATGTACTTTCATCAGGAACGTTCAAAGCCAAATAATTGAAAGCCAAGGATGTATAAGGCAACACGAGAAGGAATTATTGATCATTTTCTCTGTTTTGTTTCTATTAGGTTAAACTGAAATCTTTAATATTTACAGTATTGATTTAGAAATGGATCGTGTTCTAAAATCCATTAAGAACCTTTTAGCATAGCTACTTCTATCCATCTTTATCAACAACAATTAATTTGTAATGGAAGTTAAGTTATTCATGTAATATTCTATTAGTCCATTAAGAATTTTATTTTAACATTTTTACATGAAGCAATTTATTTCAATTTAGTGAGGTTGAAAATTACAGTATTTGTTAGGATTTAATATTTCAAGTTAATAGAATTTCAGAATGATGGAATATTTTGATTGATATTTTCAGATGGATATCCATATTCTAACTATGCATTTGCTCAGCTGTTATATAAGTTTATAACAGAGACAAGAATTGGACAAGCTTTCAGTCCATATGTAAAGTTCACCAATACAACTCCTCCTTTCTTACAGGTAATTTACATAAAAAGAGACAGAAGATACCTAAGGGACAATCAACAAGAGAAACACACAAAATCAAAGTAAAAAACAACAACAGTTTACAAAACAATTCGTAGTAAACTAAAAACTGAGCAACACAAACCCCACCAAAAACATGGTTAGATCAGGGTTTTACAGTCATAAAACTTTACCCAGTACTCGTAGTACAAAATTTGTGCTCGAAACAACGAATACAGAATTTTGATTGGTTGACTCAAAATTTTTATAACCACAAGGTCTGGTGTTCCAGAAGGGTAGGCAGGTCCTGCTTCACATGTGGCACATAAATATTTAAACAGGTACTATAACATAACTTCCTGTCTAACAGGTAACTTACATAAACATTTTGACAGATTCTTTTTCATATATGCATTAGTGTATATCCTGTCAGCTACACCATTTATATTAAAAATCCTGTTATTAGGCATGTATTCCTAAAGAATTTGTATAGCCCTGAATTCTTTGGAAAGATAGTCGACATCTTATTGATTCTCTTCAATCACCATTCATTCATGTTGCAAGGGGATGTTACGCTTTAAGCTGCAAATATAAAATGCATGGGAAAATCAAAAAATTAATTTGGTTCATGTATAGTTCAATATTTTCCTCTCACAAATATGTGTCAGACCTATTCAATTTTATTTTCATTTTTGATAAAAAATTAAATTATGTCATCATTAACCTTTGAATTTTGGTGAATTTTTATAATATTTAAAACAACTCAAAACTTTAACTTTTTTATCAATTTTTGTCGAGCCTTCGACTTTTGTCGAAAAAGCGAGACATAGCGATCCTACATTCCGTTGGCGTCGTCGTCGGCGGCGGCATCCACAAATATTCACTCTGTGGTTAAAGTTTTTGAAATTTTAATAACTTTCTTAAACTATCCTGGATTTCTACCAAACTTGGACAGAAGCTTGTTTATGATCATAAGATAATATTCAAAAGTAAATTTTGTAAAAAAAAAAATCCATTTTTTCCGTATTTTACTTATAAATGGACTTAGTTTTTCTGTCAGGAAACATTACATTCATTCTGTGGTTAAAGTTTTTGAAATTTTAATAACTTTCTTAAACTATCTTGGATTTCTACCAAACTTGGAAGGAAGCTTGTGTATGATCATAGGATAGTATCCAGAAATAAATTTTGTAAAAAAAAAATTCCATTTTTTCCGTATTTTACTTATAAATGGACTTAGTTTTTCTGCCAGTTTACATTACATTCACTCTGTGGTTAAAGTTTTTAAAATTTTAACAACTTTCTTAAACTATCCTGGATTTGTACCAAACTTGGACAGAAGCTTGTTTATGATTAAAAGATAGTATCTAGAAGGAAATTTTGTTAAAATTTTGTTCCATTTTTTCCGTATTTTACTTATAAATGGACTTAGTTTTTCTTCCAGTTAACATTACATACAGTCTGCAGTTTAAGTTTTTAAAACATTTATTAGATTCAGAAACTATCCTGGATTTTTACTTGGACAGAAGCTACTTACAATCAAAAGATAGTATAGAGAGGAATATTTTTATTAATTTTTGTCCTCATTTTTGTTGAGCCTGCGATTAACAGCAAAAGTAGGCGAGACACTGGGTTCCCCGGAACCCTTACGAATTTTTAATGCCCAAATCACAACATTTTATAATATCCGAATTTTTCGGCCTAATGTGTCTCTTATCTCACCTACTCCTTCCTTCCGTTACTTTAATGCCATGTTACACATAAAACTCAATTCAATATACCATTGAACATATGTAGTAGGATTACAGATGACATTGAATATCATTTATAAATATCTTTGTTTCCAGGGTACATACATTCCATTTAGACACACTTATCAGGGAGATAGCAAGAAAGAAATTAAAGCAATGGAAAGTTTACGTGATATTACAGACCAGATGGGGTTCTCCACAGGCAAATGTTTTCCATATGCTGTTCAGTATCTTACCTACGAAACAAATAAGGTATGTGTATTGCTAAGAAAATCAGTAAATTTGGACATGCCCTTTCTTTTCCATTGAATTAAAAGATAGCTATAGTAGTTGCAATCAGTTGTATAGTTACTTAAGGAAATAGAATGACTATACTTTGGTGTATAAAATTATTGTAACTTGAACATGTCAGTTTGACAGGTGGTCACTTGATCTTGACCTCATTTTCATGATTAAATTATAAAGACTATTTTTTTTCATGCTTTTTCAGCTTCTTACTTTTATTTGGTCTAATGAATCATTTTATGATGTGAATATCAATCTGTTATAGGTTTTTTATTGTGACCTTATTTTCATTGTTCATTGATCAATTTTAAGTTTGCATGCTCAGATATCTCAGAATGAATAGGTTTAATTAATTTTATCTATTAAACCATTTCTAATACCACATATGGTGACTGTGGTCAGCAGCACCAATTTTAAGCTCATTTGCTCAAAGGACCAGTGTGAGCTATTGCTATCACTTAGTGTCTGTTGTCTAACGAATGTCGTGTTAACTTTTACCAAAAAACTCTAGGGCCAAATAAAACCAAAGTTGGCCACAATCACCCTTGGTGTATCTAGTTTAAAAAATTATTAAGCCTGCCAACCAACATGACCACCAAGGCTAAAAATAGTTGTAAAATGCATGTATTGTCTACTATCTTGTAAGCCATTATAGATAGATCAACCGACTTTCCATGCAAACACCAAAACTGTCAAACGACTCCTTATAGGAGTTATTGCCCTTTAATGATAATTTTTGCCATTTTTGTTGGTTCTTGCCTAATTAAATATCTTGAAAACTATAATAGATATAGAAAAAAATTTTAAATAGCAAAAGTTATCAACAAAACAAGACCTACTAGTGAAGCAACATAGCTGAAATTGCCCTGAAATGAACTTTTTTCCAATTTTGCCTTTTACCTTGAAAACTGTAATAGATGTAGAGAAACTTTACATAGCAAAGATAATAAGCAAGACTAAATCTATTTTAAAATCACAATGGCCAAAATTGTCAGTCAACTACTTATAGGAGTTATTGCTTCTAAATTAGGATTTTACCTACTTTTTGTGCAACACCTTTTCTATAGAAGCAAAAGAAAAACTTCAAACAGAGAAAATGATCAGCAAAACTAGCTCTACAAATAAGTCACATACCTGAAATTGTCAATCTATTCCTTGTAGGAGATATTGCCCTTAAATGATGATGATTCTTTACCCATTTTTGCATTTTTAGCAAAAACTATAGGAGAGAAAAACTGTAAACCACAAAACTGAATAGCTTAAAAGAGAATTTTAGTCATGAATTATATTCTACCCTATATTGTTGGAGAATTGCCATTTTTATACGACCGCAAAAATTTAAAATTTTTTGGTCGTATATTGGTATCACGTTGTCGTCGTCGTCAGCGTCGTCCGAAGACAGATGGTTTCCGGATAATAACTTTAGTATAAGTAAAAAGAAATCAATAAAATTTTAACACAAGGTTTATAACCACTAAAGGAAGGTTGTGATTGATTTTAGGGGTTATGGTCCCAACTGTTTAGGAATTAGGGGCCAAAAAAGGGGCCCAAATAAGCATTTTTGTAGTTTCCAGACAATAACTTGTGTTAAAGTGTATGAATCTCTCTGAAATTATACCACAAACTTCCATACAACAAAGGGATGGTTAGGATTGACTTTGGGGGGTTATGGCTTAAACCATTTAGTAATTAAGGGTAAAAAAAGGGGAAAACAAGGGTTTTTCTGGTTAAAGGACAATTGAGACAATTTAAAAGCAGTGTAAGGGAGGTAATCAAATTAAAATTAAAGAACACTGTTTGATTACCTCCCTTACACTGCTTGTAAATTATGTATTAAAAAATGATGATGTCTTGAGGTGATTAGCTGTCAATTTATTTTTAGCAGTTACTATTAATTAATATTAATTTTAGCCATGACTATGTATGTCATTTTATATTTTAAAACTTTTATGTTGTATTTAAATGGGTAATTTTGGTTGCAAACTGCATTAGAAATTTGAATTGAGATACTGACCATATCTTGAGGGAAAGAATTTTTTTAGGGAATAAGGGAAAGGGGGGGGGGGGGGGGGGGGTGTGAAAAAAATTGGAGGGGGGGACAATTTTTCTCATTTCAGATTTCAGAAATTAAAAGAAAATTTCTTCAAATAATTTTTTTCGGGGGTTAATATTCAATAGCATAGTGTATTGCACAAAAGCAAAAAACAAGGGTAAAATAAAAAAAAATTTTGGTGGGTGGGGGGGGGTCAATTCGCAACAGCATAGTGTATTGCACAAAAGCAATAAATTGAATATAAATTCAAATCATATAACCAATTTGAAGTTCTTTGACTACAGTTATTCGGTGTCAGAAACCTATTATGTGTCAAAAATTTAGTTACAATCCAAATTCAGACCTGTATCAAGCGTGAATATTGTGTCCATTTTGGCCCAACTTTTCAGGGTTGGACATCTGCGGTCGTATCCAGCTGCGCTCAGCGAAGCAATTTATTTTAAGATGCAAATAGATTCAGGTGAGCAACACAGGCTCTTTGGAGCCTCTAGTTTTCTTTCCTGTTACTAGCAAGATATATAAATTTTTAATTTAAAATCTATATCTTTTGCACAGATATATCCTCTCCATGTATCTTTGTTATGTTTTGTGCTTTTTGTGATCTTTTGATTAACACCTGAACACATAAATCCTAAAGGATTTATTCTTAATCTTGAATATCAAAACTGCACACTTAATTTGGGAAACACGCTTACCCAAACAAATCCAAATTTTACAAAAGAAATGTTATCTTTGTCATGTGCCATGATGTATTTCATTGGTTTTTGAACAATTGCATTTTTAAGTTTTGTATTATTGATTTATCAAGCAAGACATTTTTGCATGATCATTACTGTTACCACTTAATGTATTTTTAGAAAATGAAACACTTAAACTGTATATAAAAGGTAACTGTAACAAACCTCATTTACATAAAATAGTTATTTCTTATGATTTCATTAGGATTGCCACAAATAAGAAAACAAACTTAACTTTTTTTTATTTTTATTATTAAAGTAGATGTCAGGTAAAAATCAATGACACAGTTACCCATCTTCCCAGTATTACAAAAAAAGACATCAAAAAAACATTTAAAAAATAACATGGCTATGTAACCTATCTTACTATGTTACTATTCTTGAGGAAATTTATAGACAAAGCTTGTCTACAAAGAAAACAGAACATTTTCCCAAATTTAAACCACAAAACTTCCAACAGAAGAGACTGTATTGTGTGCTTTAAACAATGCAATATGTGTTTTAGCTATTCACTTCTCTATATTATGTCTAAAATTTATAAGAATGCCTTTGATATTTACACTGAATGTTGCTCAACTTTTGGCATTTATTTTGATCATAAATGAAAGAAAAAAAAATAAGCAGGAAAAGTTGAACTTTTTTTATACAGAAATGATGAGGATTGGATTGATTAATTTTTTCTTATCTTCAACTAATATGCTTCTTTTACGAGTGATGACTTATCATTGAGCGACCATAAAATAGTACATAGTCAGTGGTTTACTGTAATTATTTGTTGGATGAAGGATAAGATTTATGGTTAGGGAAAGATCAGTGATTTCAACAATATGAGCTTGTATGGTCAGGGTCCCTTGAAATAATGAATGTTATACTTACAATATAAATTTTCATATACAATTTCAGATTCTTCAAGTGGAGTTATACAGAAACTTAGCCTTGGCAGGTGTTTGTGTGTTTATTGTAACATTACTGTTAATTGCCAACTTATGGACAAGTTTGATCGTGTTTACATGTGTGATATTTACGTTGGTAAGTTTAATGAATATATCATTAATGATTGAAGAAGTCAAAATGCTTAAATGATATTTTGATAGTTGCAAATAAACATTTACTGGCTCTACTTTATTATAAACTTTCAGTCAGCACATTTTGCAGTCTTGAATTATATGACACTACCAGTAGTCTTTAATACAATACTGCTATCTCCTTAATATACAATTACGATCCGATGAAGCTGTCAGAATTTTATACCCCTCTCACAGGGTTGGTGGTTTGCTCTTGTACATCCATCTATGTTTTCCTTCAGGGATTTTTATTAAATGTTTTTGGGCTTCTGTTTTGATATGAATTGATATTGGTGGGGAGCTTTATGATGTTGATTTGTAATGTGAAAGAGATTTTCAGTATGCCAGGGAGCTATCTCCTGTTTGATGCTACTTTGAATTTTTATTATACCCACTGGACATGTAATTTTTAAACAGATATTTTTGATCTTCTTATGAAAAGAATTATTTGATATTATGTCTGGAACTTTACAGCATTGAGTTGGACTGTCAAATTTGCCAGAGATTCACTTCCTGTTTGACGATACCTTGAATTTTCATCATACCCAGTTAACAGAATTTCTTGTCAGTCTAATAATAAGGGGTAGTATACTTTGCAGGACCACGTGTGTAACTTCTTGTTGATATTGACATTTCTGTAATATATTTTTTGGAGTCAGTATCTGACAGTGTAATTTTTTTTCTCTCAGATTGACGTTGCAGGAACATTATATTTTTGGGATGTGACTATTGACACTGCCAGCAGTATCTTGTTGACTCTTTCTGTGGGATTGGCAGTGGACTATTCAGCACACATAGGACATACATATATGACAATTATTGGAGAAAAAAATGGTAAGAAACTTATTTAATGAATAACAACCATTAATTTTTTTGTAAGTCTCGTGGATTTATTGTGTTGACCACAATATGGAAATTTTTACCAGTCACAGATATGATGTTAATAAACATGATCAGATCTGTCAGCTCGGTTGCTCTCAAAGTGTTGGTCATAGTAAGGGGATTCATTTATGTAAGATTGAAGCATTATATGAAAAAAAAATCTGTTCTTAATTATATGTTGATATTATACCATCTGATTTTATCATAGCATGCTCATTAGATATTTTAACCTGCATATCAAGTTAGCTATTTCAAAGGTTTCATACTAGCATTGGAGACTTGCTAAATGGGCTTTAATTAACATGTGCATGCATGAACTAAAGAGTCTCTGACATAGAATTTGAAATAGTTTATACCTGGTTATAGGTTATATAAAGGTAGAAGTATATATTCACCTGCAATTGGAATAATTGTCACTTTGTAAAGATATTTTTTATCCATTTGTAGAACGTCCAATTAAAGCTTTAGCTGCCATAGGACCAGCTGTATTCAGTGGTGGATTCAGTACATTTTTAGCATTTTTACTGCTATCTAGGAGTAATAGTTATGGATTTGCTTTATTTTTTAGAGTAAGTATACATAGATTAGAAATGCATTGATTTAATTATACTTCACTAGTACAAAGTCAGGAATCAGAATTTATCAGATATAAGCTTTTGTCTTGTCATTCTATATTATTTAAAGCAGATGTGTGGTTTACATCATTAAGACAGTAACCAAACAACACAATAAAATCCCAAAAGACTTCTAAGTTCCATCATATTGTCTTAAAGAATAGACAAATTCCAATATCATACAACCTCTTATTCCACATTTTTTTCATGCCATGTCATGAATATGACTGAAGTATAAATATTTACCCTTGTCATTATGTATGTTCATCCTATTCAGACATTTGTATATCTGAAATTTGATGACATATTTTGTTTATGACCATATCTCAGAAACTTACATAGTTCAGGTATATCTATGTTTCACTGCCATAATGTTGAATTGTACAGTGAACTATATTCACATGTGCAGGCAGCTATTCTTGTTTAATGATACTTTAAAATTCATGATACCCACTAAGCATGGAATTTTTCCTTATGTATAACTAAGCTTCAGTATGCAGTAAAGATTCGATAATTGGACTTGAAGTTTATAATGGTTAATTGTACTGTTATAGCAATTTCATATCTGCTGGACAAGTCACTTTCTGTTGAAGACACTTTGATTTTCATTTTACCCACTGAGTATTAAAGGAATATGTCATCGATGTCTAATTACAACTATCAAATGTAACTTCTTGTTATCGCATATCTGGGTAAAGATGGCAATTCATTTCAGGTAGGCGGTTATGGTAGCCTTTTCCTCAATTCCTATGTCCATATCGTAAACTTGGATATATATGAAGGCTTGTTTCAAAGGTGAGACATTTTCACATATGTAGTTAAATTTTCAGGGTAAGATGTGAGATTAATTTTTCCTTGATTTAGCACACCCCAAAAAGCCTTGTGTGATGCGTTTCATGAGGAAAATCCCTTTTTTCACACAATAAGTTCTTTTAAAATTGAGTTTTTTGCATACATTTGATAACTCCATAGTTTTTACACCTTTATTCTATGGTCTTCTGCTCTCCAAATCAGTACAAATGGTTAAGCTCAGTCACACACTTGTTAAAAATTGAAACATGTCCAATATCACTGCACAGAGATTATTTATTAATATTCTACTTTTGAGTTCCTCACTTTGAGGCGCATTAGGGTATTGACCCATCTGGTTTATGGGGCTTTCTGCTATAAACTTCTTATGAAAAAGGGATTGATTGACAGGTATAAACTGTTCTGTCAGATGATGACCATATATATGTACAATTTGACAATAATTTTGTTTTACTTTAAAGATGTAAATGAAAATTTGTCTTTCTCTCATTGCTCTTCAGTCTTCATAGAATTGCCAGTGTTTTCAAGAAGTATTCCATTATATATCTGTTGTTTAAATTCAAAGATGATATGTTTCTATCATATTGATCTTTAAACTTTAACAAAAATTGTATCAAAAATTCTCGATGAAAATGACAGCTTCAATTGAATTGCAGTTGTCTCCCATAGATAGCTAGCTGGCTCATCCACATGGTATATATATCACTTAGAAATTCAGTACAACATTAGATTTCGCTTTGACTCATTTGTGTATCTGAAAACCAGATAATGTCTTTAGATGCTAGGCTATTTTATCCAAAGTTTTATGCCCTTTCCTTCAACATATTCCTCAACCCATCACCAACTGCTAAAAATACTCTTAGTGACCATAGCAGTTGAAAAAAAGTACAATTATTACATTATAAACTTTAAAATAAAATTTATTATAGTTCACAATAGAATTGGTTTATTTGAGGGAGACATTTTACTCTATCCTATGGCTGATAGTCTATGACCTTTCACAGAGCCTGAGACTTGATCATGTGAGGGCTATATTAAATGCGGATGGTTGTTACAGTTTATTACTTTGATAACAGAACATTCATTACAATGAATTAAATAACACATAGGCTAGGAGGGTGATAGAGCAGATTGTTACCCCTCCGGAAAAACATTGTCAACCTTGGCTTCACCTCAGTTGACAATGTTTTCTCTGGGTAACAATCTGCTCTATCACTTTCTAAGCTATGTGTTGTTTATGTAATGTTTTAATTACTTTCTATTATATCTTTTGGTGAGATTGATTTTTATGCCATAGTAGAGGGGCATTATGTTTTTTTCGGTCTGTGCATCTGTTCGTTTGTCCATCCGTCTGTCCGTCTGTCCCGCTTCAGGTAAAAAATTTGGTCAAGGTAGTTTTTGATGAAGTTGAAGTCCAATCAACTTAAAACTTAGTACACATGTTCTCTATGATATGATCTTTCTAATTTTAATGCCAAATTAGAGTTTTGACCCCAATTTCATGGTCCACTGAACATAGAAAATGATAGTGCCCGCTTCAGGTCAAAGTTTTTGGTCAAGGTAGTTTTTGATGAAGTTGAAGTTCATTCAATCAACTTGAAACTTAGTACACATGTTCCCTATGATATGATCTTTCTAATTTTATTGCCAAATTAGAGTTTTGACCCCAATTTCACGGTCCACTGAACATAGAAAATGATAGTGCGAGTGGGGCAACCGTGTACTATGGACACATTCTTGTTTTAGGGGTTTCCCAAAGCAAAACATGGCATTTGCCATTTGTGTGTATACACAAAATTCCCCATAGTCTACATTCAAATGGAACCAAACATGACAGAATTACCTCATAGCCTTATGATTTGATTAATTTATAAAAGTTTTGGCTTGAATAGTTCATAAAATAATACCCTCTTTGTGAACTAGGATGATGGTTATTAATAAATGTATTATTTTATCCTGATTAAAATTCAATGAATACTTGAAGTAAGACTTTGATACAGACTTCTGAGTGTCATAAATTACAGGGTCTCTTTTTAAATAGTAAATTAGTACTAATGGGGACTTATCTAGGTGTAATACCACCAAATCATAGTACATCACATCCGGTTGCATACGAAAAAGGGTCGTAAAAAAATATTCCCTTGAATTTCACAGTTGTAGGTAATTTATCATTCATTTCATTGCAGTAAAAAATTTCTGGGTCATAAACATATATCTTGGATACTTCAAAGCACCATTATTTTTTTAATTGGTGTTTCTATAGAATATTTTGAAAACTTGAGGTTACATGGTTACTAAAGCTTGTACACAGATAAAAAAGAGGTGAAAATTTGATTGGTTAACTTCCAGTGATGGTTATTTTCATATATGCAATGAAATGTTATGTGAAATTTTGTCTCTAGTACTGGACAGGATAAAACTTTACTCATGCCAAGTATTTCTTTATTTGAAACAAAGATAAATTCTGCACAATTTTTTGAAAAGTGCAAATTTAACAAAGACTAATAGGGGAAAATCAATGGTGGTATTACACCCAATATGGGAAGCTACACATGCACTTTTGACCTTGTGAGTACTCTCATTTGTTAAAATTTCATGCTATTTAAGTGAAATATTACAAAAAATGAAATATTCTGAGTGGATTGAGTCTCAAAAACACATTTATGAGAAAATTGCCTTGAAATAGGACTCTACCATGAATAAGAGTAGACAGAGCAAGCCATACTCAGTGTTTTGGGGAGCTTTTTCTTACTTTTTCTCCTTATTTCTTATATTCTGCTATAATAGAAAACTTTTTCCTAAGTGATACTTTAATAAATATATAGTTATAAGTAAATGAAATTATTTTTAGAGCAGTAACAACAAATTATTCACTAAAAGGGGAAGCATTTTATGTCCTTGTATGGAACACGGCATAAATTTAAGTTTTACGCAAGGACTTATTGAAACCTCCTTGGAGACAGTAAACTTTTATATGGATAGTTCATTCAGCTTGAATACTTCAATTACTCATTTATTATAACATTTCTATCATAAATGAGTGAAAGTTACCCCAAAATTTTTATTAATTGGTCTAAAAAGTTGAAACTTTGAGGAAATGAGAGGTATAAATGGACCAAAAGAGACCTTATAATGAAGACAAAGAGGTCCATTAGTGGTATTTATCATCCTAAAGTCATCTTTTGTATCATATTCAACTGTTTGTAGGCAGATGAGATAAATATATGATCATTTATTGGTCCACACTATATTCTATCATGATGGGGCTTGATTTGGATTTTTCGAAGAAATTTTGCTCGAATAGCTGTAAATGGCATCTTACATTATACAAGATTTTTCTTAAACTATTGAACTGATTATGACAAAACTTGACAGTAATGCTTGAAATAACCAGTATTACAAATGAAAAAAGTCACATTCAGTTTATTCAACAAAAAAGTCTTCTTTTCTAAAGGATGCTGTTCATTTATTTATTTTGAATTCACCTGTTATCTATTGTAGGTATTTTTTACTGTTGTTGTGTTTGGATTATTTCATGGTTTAGCATATTTACCGGTGATATTAAGTTGGATAGGACCAGAGCCCTATCACAACGAAGAAGATAATCAGAAATATTTACATAATGGTCTTTCAAATGGAATTAATGCTGATGAAAAGGTAAGTTAATATTCTTTTCATCACTTTTTGCATAACAGATTTATTTTTTTCATTTCTTACAAGAGAGGATGAGGCCATATTGAAATGACCTTTAGAAGTTTAGATTTCATCTCCTTCTACAGTAACTATCTATAAGGATATTTTAATTTATTATTATTAAAACTTTACTCAAATGTAATTTAAATCATGTTATTTCCAAACTTATGATAAAAGTAAAGTTAAAGTTACAATGCATTCAAATTCTCTCATATCTTGTAAGGACTAGAAAGGGGAAAACCCATGTGAAAGGAGAAAAAACCACCTAAGTGATATGATCTCAAATTATTGTATTAGAAGTTAGTTTTCATTTACGTTGAAGGAAATCATAAAAAAAATGCTCCGCTTTTAACTACATTACAAAATAAGTATATTTACAGTAAATTTTTTTACAAATTTGAATAAGCCTAAACAAAACAATCAAAATGGTCTGAAGACAACTTTACCAGAGAAAATTGCAGCCATAGCTTGAGCACAATATATTTTGCTTCATGTACAAAATGCATATTGTACAATTATGTAAATAAATTACACTTATGTCTATAAGTTTCTGCTTTAAATATTTACTGGTCTAGAGACACAGTTATTGTCCTTTGATTTTCCTTTCTACTAATATAGTCTCTAGTGTGGACAGTGATTAGCTTGCAAATTTTTTCATATACTCTCAAAATTTATTTCTTTATATTTTATGCATTAAAAAGTAAGTATGGGGATGATGAAATTACATGTAAAAACAAAAGGAGTATTTTTAAAATTTCACATAGCAATAGTTGTGATATTAGTACAACTTCTTTTTGACACCCCACATTATAAATTATTATGAAATTAGGACCCCTTAATTATGCATTATTTGTGTTGTTACATCAGTGTTGGTCCAATTTTTCCATGATTTATAACATTTTTTAGCATAGTTTACTTTGTCCTCCATCGATATCCAGTAATTTTTTGTGGCTAGGGATTTGATATTAACCTTTTGGTTACAAAAAATTTTGGATCGTTGGTTGCAGCCTAAGTTTTTCTAAAGCTTTAAGGTTCCAAAAAATGCACAAAATCATTGTCATTTGACAATATCTCCAAAATAGGTGGACTTTGGAGCCTATAAAGAACTTTTATGAAGAGATTTGTTTTACCTAGTGTAATATTAAGGCTTTTGAAATAGACCCATTTAAATAATAGATTTTGGCCTTTTTAATATTTTAAGATGAAGTTCAAATTTTAGGCCATATTTTGCCAAAAGTGAATCTTGTCCTTCAGGTAATGTAGTAAGTTTAAGGTATATAGATATAAGAAGATGTGGTATGAGTGCCAATGAGACAATTCTCCATCCAAGTCACAATTTGTAAAAGTAAACCATTATAGGTCAAAGTACAGCATAGTACTGATTTGGTCCTGGTAAAACAATTAGTATGTCTGAAGCTGTTGAAATGAATTTCCATATACGGTACCCCCCTTAACATAGAATTGTCAGTATTTTGAGTTAGAGCTTGTTAACTTTTCTATAATTTTGATAAAATTTGTCCCAAAATTAGTTCAGCAGTTTGACAATGAAAATTTGTAACATTGGAGTATTTTTTGTATCTGTCAGACACATACTTCCTGTTTTCCAACATTTTGAATGGTTGTGCCTAGCATGAAGTATGTAACTACTTGTTTCATTAAGTTTATATTTTACATTAACCTTGTTTTTTCTTATTTGTAGGAAGAGTATGAGATGTAAGTTGACAAGTACATTTAAATTATAACAATAATTTTTTTTTTTTTTTATACTTTATAAGTATAAGTAAGTCCCTGTTATTTATAGCTAGTATTTATAAATAAAAAAAAGCATTATTTCAAGTAGAGGTTTTAAAGTTAAGAAGAATAAATAAGTCCTTTTTATGAGCCAGTATTTAACAAATGCAAACTTTAAAAATTTGGCCTGAATAATCCATTTAAGGGTATGTAATATATGGTTTTTGGTTTAACAGGCTATTATTTGAACTTGGAATTATTTTTAATTATGGAATTTGCATAATTTCATGTGTTTGAAATTTTTGATAAATTCCATGTTTATTAAGTATTATTATGTTTTGAGCGGTACATAACACTTTCCACACAATGTATTTTGTATAGATAGTGTTGTGCGCAGCACAGTACATTCTTTTGAAAATTTGCTATCTTCTTTGTAATAGTAAGTGTTGTGCGCATCCCAGAACATTATAATACAGAATAAACATTGAATCCATTAAAAATTTCAAGCACAAGAAATAATGCAAATTCCATAATTTAAAATAATTCCAAGTTCAAATAATAGCCTGTTGTTTGTTATTCCACAGAAGATGAACATGAAGATTTTACTTTGTCTTTCTGTCAGTCTGTCACACTTAAGTTCCATACTTTTTCTGTCAGTCTGTCACACTTAAGTTCCATACTTTTTCTGTTGTGCTTCAATCTATAGATAAGATAATTTGGTATATTTTCATATCATTTAAAATAACAGATTGAATTTGAATGGCCTTATCTTACCCTCTCCTCATTGCATCATATCTTAATGTTACCCTCTCCTCACTGCATCATATCTTAATGTTACCGTCTCCTCATTGCATCATATCTTAATGTTATTATTGGTCTGTTTTCATCTCTCATATCTTATATACATATATTTTATGGTCTGAAATTTCTGAGTTATCCTACAAATCATTTTCATGATTATTTCAAACCTCTTAACTACTTGAGTTTGGCTACTAGTTATATATTGATACATGTTCAATAGTTTCAAATTATAGACATGGAAATTATATAAGGCTTTGAATATATATATTATTTAAGTTGTAGTGTATATGGAGTTTTGTTTAGCATGTTTTACTTTATAATACAGAAGTTATTGTACATAATTTGCACTTACCTGTAGAGAGTGTAATAATTGAATTATAATGCAAGGTATTATCGTCTTTGTTTCTTAAGATGAACAATGATTCACCATATTGTGTTGATCCTGATAACAGTTGTTATTTACTGACAGGGATGCTGATTCTGGCTGTATCAGACAGGATACCAGTACAGAGAACAGTCCACTGAAGTCTTCACAATCAGAATCTGGTAACAGTTCAGAAGTTACAGATGGTACAACATGTGCAATAGCTTCTAGTCCAAGAGTGAAATCAAAAAGTACAAATTGTGTGGATAAAAATGCAGAATTTTTACCAGAAAATGAAAGGTAAGATTTATTGAAATGATTTTGATCCAGTAAAATGTTACTTTTACCAGTATAATGTTACTTTTGCCAGTATAATGTTACTTTTGCCAGTATAATGTTACTTTTACCAGTATAATGTTACTTTTGCCAGTATAATGTTACTTTTGCCAGTATAATGTTTCTTTTGCCAGTATAAGTCCTCTTTAAATAACGAATTTATTATTATTATTATTATTATTATTATTATTTATTATTATTATTATTATTATTATTATTATTATTATTATTATTATTATTATTATTATTATTATTATTATTATTATTATTATAGTATAATGTTACTTTTGCCAGTACAATGTTACTTTTACAGTGTTTATCATTCCAAATCATGAGAGGGGTGTTTACTGCATTGACCAATTCATTTGATGATCCATCCAAAATGAAACCTTCCACTAAGTTTTATTTTACTTCTAATTTCTCTGTTAGCTTTTGATTTTGTATTTTTCAAAAGGTTTGATAAAATTGAGTTGAACCATATTAGCCATTTTACGATCTTGCATAGGTGATATTTCTTATTTTCCAAGTGTAATTTAATGGTACCCACTAAACATGAGATGTTTTTATCAAATTTTTTATGCATAGAAATGATTGCATAAATGATGTGCAATGAATTATGCAAAGAAATAAAAGTGTGAATAACATGCCAACTTTCTTGATCCTTGTATATCAAATTGTTTAGCAGGATGTTTAAATAGGCTGCCATGTCTAATCACAATGGGGACCTTAAAACAGATGCCTCTTTGATGGGTCTGTAGATGGCCTATTGCAAGGCAAAATTTCCGCCCCTATTCAATATACCCTCAGTTTACATTGGCAGTCCAAAAGACACACCCTTCAATCTAGTCAATCCACTCATGCAGAACCGATCACTGATATAAGACACACCCTTCAATCTAGTCAATCCACTCATGCAGAACCGATCACTGATATAAGACACACCCTTCAATCTAGTCAATCCACTCATGCAGAACCGATCACTGATATAAGACACACCCTTCAATCTAGTCAATCCACTGATGCAGAGCCGATCACTGATATAAGACACACCCTTCAATCTAGTAAATCCACTCATGCGGAGCCGATCACTGATATAAGACACACCCTTCAATCTAGTCAATCCACTCATGCAGAGCCGATCACTGATATAAGATTTATTGTTACTATGTTCTTGATCTGAATGTGCATCAAATATTTGCAACAGAACGTTTAGGAAAACAATCAATTAATAAAATAGTGTAACATGAGTTTAAGCGTAATTGATTTTTTGCTTTTTGGACCCCCTGAGGATCTTGTCTCCAGGGCAGTTCTCTGCCACTTCTTTAAGCATAGAGAATGTAAAAACTGAGTTATAATATAATCATGTAATCATTTTCCTTAAAAAAAAAAGAAGAAACAACAAGCATATCAAGAGGCTATAGGAGTCTTTTGTGAAATTTGTTAAAAAAGTTCAAACAGGAACACACCAAGTCTTTGTATATGGATAAAACTAAACCAGAGAAAAAATAACACCAAAACATAATAATATGCAGCCAGGATTAACATTAATTTTAGTCTTTCAATTGAAATTGAATTAAAATGGACATTATTTGGACATAAACATTTCATTTGAATAATTCAAGAGGATATCACATATATGTGCAACAGTAGAGACTGCATAATCTTTAATATATAATAATTTTATTTTTGTCCCCGTTGCGCAGGACATAGAAATACCGGGCGTCCGTCCGTCTGGTCTTGTTAGCGCTTTCACATGTACAATTCTTTGCAGATTTTTATAAAACTTATATCATAGGTTTATATCAGCAATGCCTTGGACGAGTTCGAAAATCGGTGCTGATCAATTAATTTAAAAGAGTTATTCCCCTTGGAAATATTAATTACATGGAAAATTGCATCGTTGGCGCTTTCATGTGTACAATTCTCCATCGATTTTTATAAAACTTATATTGTAGGTTTATATCAGCATTGTCATGGACGAGTTTGAAAATCATTGCCAATCAATTATTTTAAAAAGAGTTGTGCCCCTTGGAAACATTAATTATATGAAAAATTGCATCGTTAGTGCTTGCATTTGTACAATTCTTGCCAGATATTTATGAAACTTATATCATAGGTTTATGTCAGCAATGTCTTGGACGAGTTCGAAAATCAGTGCCGATCAATTATTTTTAAAAGAGTTATGCCCCTTGGATATATTAATTATATGGAAAATTGCCTTGTGAGCGCTCTCATGTGTACAATTTTTGCCAGACTTTTATGAAATTTATATTATAGGTTTATATCATTAATGTCTTGAATGAGTTCGAAAATCAGTGCCGATCAATTATTTTTAAAAGAGTTATGCCCCTTTGAGATATTAATTATATGGAAAATTGCATTGTTAGTGCTCTCATGTGTACAATTCTTGCCAGAATTTTATGAAATTTATATAATAGGTGTAAATTGATGATTTTGGGTTAAAATTATTGTTTTATATTAAAAAAAAAATCAATGAAAACTTGTAAATTTAAATATGTATGTTATTGATGTAGCAACATCTTTTTTTACAATATAGCTCCATTCAAACATCCCAAACATGATTGTATAAGGAAAATGACAAAATTTCATGACCAGAAATTAGTACTAAGATTGTATGAAAAAATCTCCGAAAACAGGAAACTCTAAAATTTTTTAATTGTAACTCTATTTTAAACATACAATACATGATCTTATAAGGAAACTGACATAATTTCTATTACTAAATTACTATTTTGAGTAAAAAACAAAGGTTTTTATCATGAAATCCTCAAACAGGAAACCAGAAAGGTAGAAAGTAAGATAAGGCCACTTTTTTGGCCCTTAAATTCAAAAATCAGAAAGTATTATAAATCTACCAAATACCATCCTTCAGATGTTCATAAGCCATTTGTCTGTCCAACATTAGTATTTGTATTTTTGAATTTTATCTTACATATATTGGCTTCAAACTTCTAGCATTTAGTGTAAAACAGCAAAAACCGCCAAAAGAGCCTCATTTTCAGATCTTGTCATTAATAATTAGATGTGAGCAACATCTTTACCCATATAGGTATTTTGATTGTGCTTGAAATAGCAATTTTACATCAAATATGTAAATTTCAACATGCTTATGATGTCATAGTCACATCACAAGTGACCTTCCTGTATTAAAGTGTCCAGATTATATTAACTTGTTTATTATAAATAAAATTAATATAATTATGAAAGGTTTGAATATGTTTACTGTTTTTGCAATTTAAGGGGCAAGATAAAAACTTGTATCATACCTCCTCCTTTGTTAAATGTAATGTAAATTTAGTTGGTCAATATTTTCCAAAATGTATACTGAATAAGTTGATTATTTAAATCTCTCAACTTTAGATCTACCTTCAATGTTCTACTGCTTGTTCTAATCTCATCTTGAAAATGTCATGCACATTATGAAATTTGGGTATATAAATAGTGAACAATAGCTCTGAGTTCATCAAGTTTTCTGCTTAAGTTAGTTGGATAGGAACTACTTGTCATAGATCATTGATATTTTGTATGAAGTTGCATTACTATCTGTAGATATCAGTTTGACGACTATTTTGAGTCCCTGCCCCTTAGAACATTGTCCAGTGACTTTGAATTAATAATCAATTTGAAATGTTAAGTTTTTTGCTTGAGTTAGTTTGATAGCATCTACTTGTGATAGATCACTGATATTTTGTATGAAGTTGCATAACTATCAGTTCATATCATTTTGATGACTATTTAGAGGACCTGCCCCCCTAGGTCATGGTCCAGTGACTTTGAATTAATTAGCAATTTTCAATGTTAAGTTTTCTGCTTAAGTCAGTTTGAAAGATCAATGATATTTTGTATAAAGTTGCATTACTATCAGTACATTTCAGTTTTGACAATTATTTTGAGGCCCTGCCAACTAGATAATGGTCCAGCGACTGAATTAATAAACCATGTTGCTGTCCATCAGATTGTCTTTTTCTGAATTTTGTGAAGACAGGCGAGACATATCTCTGTCAACAATGCATTTATAGATTTGATCACATTATAATTCAACTTTAGATCTACCTTCAATGTTCTACTGCATGTTTCCAATCTCATCTTGAAAAATGTCATGCACATTATGAAATTTGGGTATATAAATAGTGAACAATAGCTCTGAGTTCATCAAGTTTTTATGCACAGCCTACAAAGGAAAGAGGGTATAATGTTATTATATCCCACCTAGGGGCATTATGTTTTTCTGTCTGTGGGTCCGTTCATTCCGTGTGTCCGTCCCTTCGTTGTCTGTCCCGCTTCAGGTTTAAGTTTTTGGTCAAGGTAGTTTTTGATGAAGTTGAAGTCCAATCAATTTGAAACGTAGTACACATGTTCCCTATGATATGATCTTTCTGATTTTAATGCCAAATTAGAGTTTTGACCCCAATTTCACGGTCCACTGAACATAGAAAATGATAGTGCGAGCGGGGCATCCATGTACTATGGACACATTCTTGTTTCCAGTCTATTGGTCCTACCATTGTTTAATTTTGTATCAGATGAAAAACATTTGCCGGATCAAGTTTTTGTTTAAGGTAGTTTGGCATGAAGTTGTTGTGCAAGCAACTTGAAACACTCATTCATTACAATGTGACCTGTTATAAACATGTTCATTTTGATTTTGTATTTGAATATTTATGCCAAAATTGGGTTTTAATCAAGATTGGTGTTACTGTTGTTTAAGATGCAAAAAAAAGAACTTTGCTAAAAATATTTTAATGGGAGACTGGGTATTCATTTGGGAACAGGGGCCTCAGTGGCCCAGTGGTCTTAAGTATTTCATCAATAGCCATTACTAGCCTGTCAGCACTAAGGTTGTAAGTTCATGGCAGGTGCCTTTGACTTCAATCTTAATTGACTTGGCTTGCCAGTTTTCCTGTGGAAAATGGGTAGTTCCCTAGGGGACTTTGGCTTCCTCCTCCAATCAAAACTGACTGCCACAATATAGATAAATGTGCTGAAAGTGGTGTTAAACACAAACAAACGATCATTACGATGCTCTACTTCATAAACGTCTGTTTATTGTAGTATACACATTATTTACATTAATAAGTAAGGTAAGAAGTTTTTAAGGATCCTTTTGCCAAACTGGTAAACATTTCATCATAATTTTTACTGTATGTTTCAAGGATGAAAACATTAAAGTCAACTTCAATATTTTGTATGATGTCTTTAAAGTGCAATTAGTTTAGAGGAAATATAACATATATTGTTATCCTTTGAATGATTGTAACTAGATTTTATTATCAGGTTAAGTAGAATATTTTTGGCGTCCCTTTGTGTCCTGTGTTTTTAAAATTATCACATTTAATTTTAAGACTTGTTTGTCATGTATTTGTCGACAAAGATATTATTCTGCACTTGTTTTAAGCTGGGATTTGTTTTTTGTTAGGTGCTCTTTGTATATTTTCCTGTTACTTAAGGATGGCTTATCAAATGTTCCAATAAATATACACCACAAACAAGTAAAAGGAGGAGATATGATAAGAGCCATTAGTTGACTCCTGAATAACAGTAAACCTGTTCAAACCTTTCAATATTATGTTCATTTTATCTGGGACTATTATACTAACTAATAGTCTCAGATTTTATTGATAAATGAACAGGTATATTAATCAGGACACCTTTGTGCAGAAAAGTTACTTGTGATGTCACTTTGTCATCATAAACATGTTGAAATTTACTATTTGACCTATAATGGCCATTTCAACATAGTTTTTTGTCAAAATATAGCTGAGCAACGCTTTACCCAAAAAGATATTTAACATAGTGTTGAAGGTGAGCATTACTGCTTCCCTTTTGAGTTTCCATGATAAAAAATATTTTACATTACCACAACCAACTTCAAGAGAAAGCAAATGGGAAAACAAATATTGCATCTTAATGCAGCCCCCTACCACACTGAAAATTGAAAAAAAAATTTGATCATAAAAAAATTAATTAAATAATCCTAATTTTTTATTTCAGTTTAATTGAGAGCAATAAAGATGAAATGACTACAGACGCTGATACTGATACACAAGATAAATATACTGTAAATCATGAAGAAGGAAGCTGATACTCAGAGGGTTTTTTATATTTGATGAACTTTAGTAAAACAAAGTGGTTATTCTATTCCACTTATTTCAATTGCAGTTAGGTAGAATATGATGTATGTGTATTGTTACTGGTTTATTTATGTATGTAGACACTTTGGTTTCAGTGGGAAATCCTTTTTCTGACTGCCATAATATTTATTAAAACACAACAAGCAAAAATAAATAATGGTTGTTGGTTGATAATGAAAAGTCTTACTCTGCATTTACAAGGTACAAATGGTTTGCACATACTCTAATGAATGACACTTCATTTGTGTTAAATAATGTTCTCTTGAAAATAAATCTTTTCTAATAAAAATGGAAACAGACCAGGATTGACATGTGATTACATTAAGACAAGCTTGATAGTCTGGGTAAATGACAGAAAAAAACACCTCTGAAAAATAAATATTTGTTGTGAGTTTTTTCCAGTATGTTAAATATACACAGAATATTTGTTGTACCAAAAGTAAGTGTGGCATGACTGCTACTGCATTGGATTTGGTATTTATTTCAGGTTAGCTTTATTGGACCCAGCACCCAAAAGGGTCAAGGGTCAATAAAACTGACTGAAAATAAAGTAACTCCAGATACATAATTCACTTTTATGAAGTATTCCAAATAAATAAAATAAAAATTATGTTGTATGATTCACTAATTTCAATATAAATTCAACCAAGAAATTAAGATGTATGTGTCTTGTCCCTGATCTTTTAACTTTTAGAATTACTTGGAACAAAAGGATAGATTGTGATAAGGTCGTTTTCAAACATGATACTGATTTGTGTCAAATATGTTTTTGGGCCTTGTTTGGCAGAGTGGTCCAAGTAGTTCAAGCCTGTTAACACTGAGGGTATGATTTTGATTCCTGTTTGTAGCAGGTGCGTTAGACTCCTTTCTTAATTTATTAGGAATGCCAGTTTTCCTGTCAGAGGTCTGTGGTTCTCTCTGCATACTCTTGTATTCCTCTACCAATAAAAACTGATAGCCAAGATATAGCCAAACATGCTGAAAGTGCCATTAAACACCAACAATTAATCAATCAATCAAATGGGTTTTAAAGTTTTATTTGTATCAAATCATTTGACCAACAGTATAATTTAAAAAAAATAAAATAAAAGCTCTTCATGCTCTGAACGAAACAATTATATTACTGCAAAAGGACAATCAAAATTTAATCAGTCAGCCAATATTGTTTTTGCAAATGAAGTACAGGACCAAGATGTATTTCTCTTGATTTATAAACTTAGTCAAATTTACATATGAAGTTTATTTCTCTAATACAGATTCTCCTTCAACTATGTATTAATGAGATATTTTGATGAAATTTATGATGTACAATATACCTTGCTTTTTTGAAATACATTTTTCTTACATCACTACTCATTATATTAATTTAAAAGACAATATTGGGAAGTGTATACATTTTTGATTGTTGATTAATTTAACCCAACCTGATATATTTTTAATCTAATTTTTTACTTATGAACTGTTTCATTTTATTTGCTGCTAACTTTTCCAGAAATTACACAATGTGCTTTCTGATTTTCAATGAACTACCTTATATACCAAAAGTCATTAAAGATATCAGACTGAAATTGAGCACCCAAATATAGACTTGAAAAACAGAATTTCAATAAAAAAAGTAAAGTTTAGAACTGAACCAGACATTGTCCATTACAGATGTTTGTATTGGCTAATGAATCAAGAAGTTCAATTAATAGCAGCTTGGGAAATTCATCATTAATTATCATGCATACTTGTAGAGTTTTAGAATAGATCTATATATTACATGAAAACACCAATGTGTTGCAGATTAACAGTTATGTGTAACAAGTACCTGGTAAGAGTGAACAGTTATGTGTAACAAGTACCTGGTAAGAGTGAACAGTTATGTGTAACAAGTACCTGGTAAGAGTGAACAGTTATGTGTAACACGTACCTGGTAAGAGTGAACAGTTATGTGTAACACGTACCTGGTAAGAGTGAACAGTTATGTGTAACACGTACCTGGTAAGAGTGAACAGTTATGTGTAACACGTACCTGGTAAGAGTGAACAGTTATGTGTAACACGTACCTGGTAAGAGTGAACATAGGTATTTTATTTATCTAATAGGTTTCACTATATTATGCAAGGTATATTAAACCAATGAAATATTCCTCAAGTGTCAGAATAAGATGTCAGTTATGAAACAGTCATACAATGTTGTTTGAAGAAACAGATTTTAACTTATTCCCTTATGAAGACTTATCAATTGTTTAAGTTTGTTTAGTTTTGTTAGTGTTTGAAATGTTGTGACAGTACAGTTGATTACATTTTATGTAATCTAATTATTTTATTTAAGTGCTTAAATTTGTGTTTTTATACAAAATATGTGATTCTGTATGTTTGATTGCATTTTTAAAGGAATCTGATCCTTTGATTTATTTTTAATGCTCCAACTTTATAACCTCACATATAATTTATTGTCTTGCCTGTAATAAAAGTTGCTGAAGGCAATACATATGTATACTAGATTGGTGATATCAGGGATGACAGCATGAACTATATCTATACAGAGATGATTCTGTTCTGGTTTTTTAGAATATTTCTTGTTATGGTAATTTTGATTTGTCCATTATCATTTAAATTATAGATTCTCTCATGACCATTTTGTGATTACAGAGAAAAAATGTAATTGCTTATTGGTACAGCCTTATCTGCTTTTACCGTTGATGTTCAAAATCATTTTTTTGTATATAAAGCTTAGAATATATCTAAAGGTTGTAGAGCTAAATTCACATTGTATACACTTGACTTATGGTCTATATAAAAATAAGGAGATGTGGTATGATTCCCAATGAGACAACTATCCACCAAAGTTCAAATAAAGTGGATGTTAGCAATTATAGGCAACTGTACGGCCTTCAACAATGAGAAAACCCATACCGTATGGTCGGCTATAAAAAGCCCTGACATGAAAAGTATGAAACAATTCAATTGAGAAAACTAAAACCCTAATTTATAACAAAACATTTTATGAAAAACAAATTTGACAGCCATGAACCAACGACAGCTACTGAACTACAGGCTTCTGACTTGGGACAGGCACATAAAGAATGTGGCGGGGTTAAACATGTTTGTGAGCGCTCAACCCTCCCCTAACCTGGGACAGTGGTGTAACAGTACAACATAAGAACAAACTATAAAAATCAGTTGAAAAAGGCTTATCTCATCAGATGGATACAAATAGAAATACATCTAACAAAAAAACAGAGTGGACGTGGACGGGTACTTATACATCCCCACACCAAAAAGACACTAAGTACAGATCTGAGAGTACTCACAGTTACTGACAGCTTGTTCAAAGCCAATCACAACTAAAAAAAATCACGTATCTAAGACTAAAATATCAATCAGTACACATCAAACATCCAATGGATTTAGTGTAAAGACGTCATTAACAGTCAGAAAAAAACATGACCTTGTGTATAGTTTGCATTTGTCATGTTCATTGTCATTGACATCATTCTTATGGTTCAATTACCTGGTACTCAATGAAAAAAACAGTATAAGTTTCATGATCATTTGGTCTATTGAGTTACTTGGGAATACACTCAACTATGTGTTAAAAATCAATGTAAAACAGATGTCCATTATGGGTAAGTTTGCATAAATGTGACCTCATTATTATTTACCATTGAGCACACTTACTCAGTTTATACAATTAAGTCAGTTTCTCTATGTATAAACTCAATGTTATTGTTCTGCACTCATTCTAGTGTACACCTGATTTGTTATTGGGAGGGACTGTTCATGTTTTGTTTATTACTGTTTCATGATAAGGTAAGGTTCTCCATTACACTGTGTAATTGGTGACATTTTTTGGTCCATGCCATCATAAGGATTACATGTCCTTCTGACAGGGCTACCTGACCTTAATATCATTATATGATTCATTGATAGAAGATGTTTTTAGAAATCAAACCTCAGTTATTTAAAGTTATAGCTGAACTATATTTGTTGTATTGAATCATAGTAATGAGTACAAGTCTGGCTGTTTAGGCTTCCTTTACCTTATTTTTATGGTTCATTAATATGTAAGTTTCTGTAATAAAAGTGATATGACCTAAGTTTGTGCACTTTATTGAATTATTTTCTTTGGGTTTTCTTTGATTTAGGTTGATATAAAACAGTGATAAGATATTTTATCATGGAATATGCATTGTTTGTTGTTTTAGAAGGGACCCAAGTGAATCCAGGGTTTAGTTGTTGCTTTTTTATAGGTTAGGTTTATAGATTAAGGGTGAAGGGCCCAAGTGAATCCAGGGTTTAGTTGTTGCTTTTTTATAGGTTAGGGAAATGTATATATAAAAGATAGATTAAGGGTGAAGGGAAAGGATCAGAAAGATAATACAATGTAGTGTAATTATGAATGGTCAGGGTTACAAATTATAAAAGAAATTATTGTATGGTTTCATTGTTTATTTATTGTCTTTTTATGTTTCTAATATTTATTATATTTATTTATTACAAACCTACTGTTAGCTGTTTTGTTAGTTGTCATGCTTACTATATATCTGTTAATTTACTGATTTGTAGATTATTATTTATACTCATATTTATTAATGATGCGGCTTGGAAGGGTCATATATTTTATAACAATCATTATTTGATAGCAAGAAAATAACTAGAGTATGGGGTGACCTATTTTTGTTGATTGTGGTGATGGGTTGTTGTCTCATTGACATCAGCCACATCTCTTCTTTTTTCACCTTTGAAATAGTTATAAATGTTAACACACTAATACTGTTTTGGCAAGGTATTTTCTTATTTTCCTTTTTTTTTTATTGTCTTGTTTCTTTTGACAGAAGAAATTCAAAAAGATATATGTACATCTGTATTAGTAACACTATTGCACTATAATTGTCATGAAATGAAGCAGGGTATTTTTTCATTAGTAGTGAAGAGATTTCATTTATTTCTTATTATATGTTTAAATAAGAAACGGATAGCTGAATTCCAGTGAGTATTTGTGAATAGTCATGTTCATTTGGGAAATTATTATATATAAGCATTCCATTTTTTGAAGCAAAAACTAATTAAAAATATTGGTTGCAAACCTCTGTAACAAGTGTCCAGAAGTTTCTATGGTATAAAATGTTCGTGTCCTTAAGAATGTTTATGAAGACCTGGAAGTTGTCATGCAATCAATAAATGCCCAAAAATCTTTTTGTATTCCATATAATTTTATACATATTGATATCTAGTTAGCTATTTTATCACAATAAAGACAATCATGATGTAATAAACCCTAGGGCCAGTTAGTTGATTAGCAGATGGGGGTAACATCTAGATCATATTAACCATCAAACTTTTTGCAAATGATGTTTGGAAACATGATGTAAATTTAGTCATTGTTACACATGTATGTGGATTTATTTTTGTTATTTTAGATCAATAGAAAAATAAGTAGACAGTAGGAGATGGAATAGGATTTTCAGGAAATTTTCCTGAAGCAGTAAACTGAATTAAAGAAATTCTCCATGACGAACAAAGTATTCTCTTGTTGCACGATTGTTTTAAAGGAAGTGCACAATGGAATACTTATGTTCTCTTTTAAGTATTCTTGTTTGCAATCTTACGGATCTGCCAATTCTTAAAGGATTTAGTTTAATTGAATTTCTTTTTACATATTAAGGAACATATGCTTGTTTCTTACAGAGACAATGAAGCATCAAATTCTTTATTAAGTATTAAGGGTGAACAGGGATGTAAATACATCTTTTATGTAACAATAGAAGCCATTAATACGTAAAAAAATAAATCATATAGAACACTTCTTGAAAATATTTCCTTAAGGTAGATGGGGTGTCTTAATTATAATCCATAGAATTTTTTAATAATTTGCCAAAATGTAGTTTATATCATGCATTTTTAAAAAAAATAATAAAAAGAATGGGTCACGGGGCTTATTTTCACGCTATAGGTTGTGCAAAATTGACAGATTTTGTATAGATTATGCATGGAAAACCCAATTTTCTGCCATAAAACGAAAACTACACCATAGAATTTTGAGATAAAATATGAGAAGATAGCTCTAATAGTATGCTTTCAGATAAGAAAAAGAAAAAATGGGGTCACGGGACCCGTTTTCTTGCTACATAATAAAATAGGTAAATTCCTAACACATTCTATTGTAAAAGTAACTTTATCTGAATTATCTGCCCTTACATTTGAGTTGCCTCCCCTTATGTGGCAATTTTGATAAAAGTGTGTGTCAGTATTATGAATCAAAAAGATATGCAAATATAAGAAGGGAAATATGCGATTTTTTTTTATACATGTTGGTTAATAAATGGTATTAAATACGGTTGTTTGTTGTTTTCCTCAAAAAAAATTATTGAACACTTTATATGAAATCTGAGACTACTATAACACAGAGATTGGTCACTATAGATTTATCGGATTATCTGAGTCTCCGGTAGTTAGCTACGTTATTTTAACGTAGTTTCGTATTCGACCGTAGCAGACAACATATATCACCTATCACTGATAATACTATAACAGTATCGGATATTATTATTTTTCTTTTAAAAATAATTTAAAAACAAAATTGAATTAATCAAAAAAAAAAATAAAAAATATAGTTTTTATCTTTCAAATGCAGTTATATCTATTCATATTTAAATTTTTGTTTTTAATCATTAATAATTTGTTAATAGTTTGTTATTATGCGGCCACTCTTGAAAATGTGAATGTGATTAATCTTATCAATCTTACAGTTACATTGTTTTGCTACACGTCCGTTAATTGTATCTAATATACAATTATTTTACCTGTAAAGACAGGTAGTCTCATAAGCATGGGAGATGAATTTTGTTTCACAGCTGGGTGCCCAAGGTACACGAGGCTCCGTTTATTGCAGTAAACTTTTATTCTATACTTGTAAGGTATTTCACTGCTGAGTGCCCAATATACATGTTTATTGTAGTAAACCTTGTCAAATATCGTCGGTGCACTTGTGGTAGGATTCAGGAGGGTGTGGATGGGGTTTTATAGAATGGAGAAATAGGGACAAAAAAAGTATAGAATGGAGAAAAATGGACCGACAAATAAAGAATAGAGAAGAGAAAATAATAATTTATTAAGATTTAAAGAATAGAGAAAAATGGCATAGAAATTATAGGAAATAAAGAACCCCCATCCAGACCCTCATTCAGATTTTCCAACGTAAATTTTTTTTTCAAACAAGTTTCAACCCCCCCACCACTTTTTTCAAATTTCCGTCTGATAATTAGGTCAAGTTTTTGCAAACAATGTAATAAGCGGCGATCACAGAAGAGAGAAAAAAATTCATTAAAGGTAAATGAGTAATTTCCTTACGTAACAGATCAGCAAAGAGGTTATAACTGCAATGGATACATAAAGCAGCAAACATAAGCCCTACAAATTATATATATGTTCCAAAAATATCGCCGGCATTTTCATTTTTCAATTCACAATGTCCAGTAACATTGATTTTTTATCTTGGGATGATAGTGATCTCAATCTTGATCTTTTACGTGGTGAATATACTGCATCAGATATTGAATCTGAGGATGACTATACGTCCCTGCTGCAAAGACTACAAAAACTCCAAAAGAAGCATCAACCGCAAGTACATGTAAATCAGAACGAAGAAGCTTCAAAATTACGTGACTGAATAATTAAATTATCTCTATGTTAACATAAATAGAACCACATTAGTGTAAATTACGATGACATTTTTTCAACACCAGAAATATGTGCCCTCTTTCAAAATCCCGGACAAGAAATTTTGTGCTTCAATAGAGAGCCGTAAAATTTTTGAAAATTTGAATATTGTCTATTGTTAAAGTGTCGTATGTTTTAGTTATATCGCTATGCTTTTTGTAACCCTAATAATTGAGCAACTCAGATGAAAAGAGTTGTGATTTGCTTTAGTTTTTTTAGCCACAGCAAATATAAATGTGTTTGTTCAATGTTTGGTGACAAACCATGTTAATTGTTGTCGGCATGATGCTTTGTAAATAGGTTCCCTATAACATTTTTTTGTTGGGTAACTGCTGACAGTTTACCATGTGAAAATTCTGAGAAGCCAAAAATAATGCGGAATGTATTAATACGTAGCAATGTCAGATCTAAACAAGAATGTTAAATATGATAGCATATATTGATGTCACCTTTCTGTAAATTCAACTTCGATTCACAACTGCTTGTCAATGGCAAATATTTCATGTACAGTCAGCCTGATTAATCAGAAATGAACTATTTTCAAATTATGTTTAAAGTTTGTTTTTATGTTATGTCGTTACACCAATGTCCCAGGCTAGTGGTGGTGATGAGCGCCTAAAAATATTTAACATTGTCACATTCTTTATGTGCCCGTCTCAAGTCAGGAGCCTGTAGCTTTGTTATTGTAGACACTTCGTTTTCTCTAGTGAATTGTTATATATTTTCCATGTCGGGGACTTTTGAAGCTGACTGCATGGTATAGGTTTTCTCATTCTTGAAGGTAATTACGGTGCATTCCAATAACTTACATCCACTTCACTGAACTTCATTTGGAATAAAGGAGTTGTCTGATGATCATTAGCAAAAATATATAAAAATCTCCTTAAAGTTTGCTTCAAGTGGCTATTCCTTTGATATATAAAAATGTGTGGTTACTTGTTTTTTTTTCTTTCATTGAACTGTTATCCAAACTGAGCGTGTTAGTGAATTTCTGCATTCCTGTCTTAGTTTTAATGTATATAATAATAAAAACGTATATTCAAAGACTTAAATATTTATTTCTCCAAGCATGACAAATTCAATGAAATTAAAAAAAATACTAAAAAAAGTCATTTTCTCCTGTAGTACTTCTCCCTTCTTCTAATGCGTGATTTCTTTCTGGGGGTATTCCTACAATAAAGAATATATTATAAATAAAAAGAAATAATCTTTGTCAAGTTTATAGCATAGGCAATTCATTAATTTTTAAGACAGTAATCTGAGACTTGAGACTCAGCAGTAATTGACCAATCATGTCAATATGGATCAAAATAGTTAAACTGATAAAGGATGCAGACCAAAGGTGCATGTACTTTTTACATCATGTTTGGGTCAATTATTTAAAAAAAAATACGTCTATTTAGGAACTCATGATGTACTGGTATTTCACATGGTGACACATTTTCATTGCATAATATTATTATACTAGCATGTATAGACTGCATATATATTATCAAAGGAACCAATATAAATCTAAATTTCTTTCACTAACAATACAAATTCACCTATCAGACCTCATGTTGTGTGTGTGCAACTTGTCTCGTGTGTTTCTCAGTTCTGCAGCGGGAACTTACTGATACACAAAAATTGGAATTTCATATAATTACATCGGTTAATTACTAAGGCTTGCACATACATTATCCGGAAAACAGATTGTTCATCTGAATGTAAGTTATGGGTGAGTTGCTCATGCACCCTGTCCCACGGACTGGTAATAACTCGAGGTTACTTTCCGGTTTGGTCGGTAAATTCAAGTCTATAACTGCACTTATTTTATTTAAAGTGCTTATAAACCAACATTTATGAACATGTCAAATCTTATATTCACACTTACCGGAACATAACACTCTTTATAAATCCACATTTGTTAATTATTATTTTCTCTTTCGCTGTCAAAAATGGCGGTCGAATCCTTCTTGTCAATCATTGCGAGTCACGTGCCGAGTCACGTGATCGAAGACTTACAATTAATTACCATTTGACTGGTCAGTACGGGAAGTGACCAATCTCTGTGTTATAGTAGTCTCCGATGAAATGTTGTAATGATGACACATATAGTAAGGCGTTAGTAAATTATAATGTAAAATCTAGTAAATCGATAAGGGAGAGATAAATCAAGGCAACAACAAACACTTAGGGAATTGCATGAATTCCAAAAGGAGCAAAATCATGTGCGTCATTAGGGTGATCGTCTCCTCCTCTGCATGCATAACCCGTCATGCGAATTCACACTTGTTCAAAATGTCACAATCAGGAATAGGATACAATCAGTGAAATTACAGATGAGAGAACTATACTGGTATCTGAAGATCTTAAACTGCGAAAACATATCTCTAATGAGTTGAGACAACGTAACCTCGTATCTGTCAACCAATTCGTTATTGTGACCATAAAACTTATGTAGTGAGTGTCGATTTCAGTCGTTCTTCCTTATTCTATTGGAGCAGATTTACGACTGTAACGTTTTAACTGAGATAGGTAAGTCACAATCAGGAATAGGATACAATCAGTGAAATTACAGATGAGAGAACTATACTGGTATCTGAAGATCTTAAACTGCGAAAACATATCTCTAATGAGTTGAGACAACGTAACCTCGTATCTGTCAACCAATTCGTTATTGTGACCATAAAACTTATGTAGTGAGTGTCGATTTCAGTCGTTCTTCCTCATTCTATTGGAGCAGATTTACGACTGTAACGTTTTAACTGAGATAGGTAAACCCCATACGATGGAACAGATGGTGTGTTACTGTCGAGAAATGTGAAGTTGGCATTAAAAAAGTTGAAATTATCGCTTTTATCATAAATTTTAGTTTAAAGTCGTCCATCTATTTCAATGTCGAGGAAAAGATCAAGATACAAAGCAGATCTTATACTTTCACTGGGATATATGAGATGTAAGCACTCATTGAAATGATGGTTACTAGTGACCTACCCATATGAATGTATCTAAAAGTGAAATTAAAAAACTTTGCATGATGCCTTTATTTGTCTTTGAGAAGGTTCTGTATGAGCTCTGTTTCATATGAGCGCAAAAAACCAATCGACAATTAATACCCATTGGAATACCGACTGTCTGCTAATATATCAATCCACCAAACTCAACAAATATGTTGTCGATCAAAAAGTCCAGCATTTTGATGATATCATCTTCCGTATTTGTTGTGGGGAATAAGTGTGGTTCGAATTATGACTATTGAACAGCGGTATACTACTGTTGCCTTTATTCTTCACAAAGTAAGATTTTTCTTGACCTAAAAACAAGGAATTTTGTCTTTGTTTTCCACATATAAGTCAGACTGCTTACTCATTTGAAGAATGTATTCCAACCTCTTACAAATGAGGGCAAAATGGTGGGCAAAAATGATATATTTGTGGTGAAATTCATCTTATATGTTTAATTTAAGTGCCTTACATTTTTGAATACAAAAAAGCACCTAAAATATGTCAATCTATATGTAGAGCATATATACATTGTGGTTTTACGACGTCTTTTTTTTCCTTGAACACTTAACATAATTTTTAGAAGGAACATGATAAAGTTCATATTTAGGTCAGGCTTTTAACACAAGTTACA